TTGGTGATAAACTTCCCGGGGGGCTACTTCGGGCTAGACGCCAACTATGGCTAGTTTCTTGGCAACGCATAACTTTTGAACTCGTCCTCCGTACCTTGCTTGCCGCTGTAATTAGACTGCTTGGACGCCAAGATGATCCTCCAAACCATCCATGGCGATCTCTCCACCAGTTTGTCGACCTCGTCTCATTTCGCGTCGCCTGCTACGCGCGCCCAATCATTGCACACCGTCACAGCGAGCAGCCTGCAATGTCACCCTCGCTGACGGAGGGCATGTCATGTCCCCCGCTCGCTCTTCTCGTGCTGACTGCCATGGAGTGATTGATTCATTGTTCTATTTGAGTGGCGTCCATCGTGATTATGTACGTACGTAGCGAGGAGCCTCAGTCCTCCAGCCAGTCGACAAACCTCTCCTCGCCCCTCTTCACGAACCGCAGGGCCACATCGTCCCCTCGCAGCTTGAGCGTGAGCAGCGAGCTCGCCCCCCTGATGGTCGCGTCGCGCTTGTCAATGGCCTTTTGGTACAGGGCCCGCCGCTGCGGCCGGTCCATCGCCGCCACCTCCTCATCCGTCGCCCACTCGTCCACCGCCAGCTCCACGCTGTACTCGCGGAAGAGGACGGCCAGGGCGGCGATGACCTCGACCTGCGCGATCCGGCGACCCAGGCAGGCGCGCGCACCGTCGCTGAACGGGATGTAGGCGCCTCGCTCCGGTCGGAACAGCGATGCGCTCGTGTCCCGCCCCTTGAAACCGCCATAGTCCTCGCCCTCGTCCGCGTCGTCCTCAAATTTCTCGTCGCTCTTGCTCTTACGGAACCAGCGCTCGGGCACGTAGTCCAGCAAATCGTTCTCGCCGGGCCGCAGACGGCTCGGCTTCTCGGGCCAGTGCTTGGGGTTCATGTGCACGCCGGCGGCCGAGAGCGTGATGATGGTGCCCGCTGGCACAGCGCAGCTCTTGCCGTCGACCACCAGGGGCTGGTCCTGGTTCGGTGTCACAATCTTGGGCATCTCGATGACAGGCGGGAGCACGCGGAGCGTCTCGTTCATGCAGGCGCCGACCATGCTCCCCATCAGAGGGTTGAGATACTCATCGTAGTCCAGGTCCTCCACGTTCTTGTCGCCCAGCAGCTCGTCCAGCTCCTTGTGGAGGCGGCGCTGCGAGGTGGCGCAGCTGGCCATCTGGATGAGGGTGAAGTGGATGGCGTTGGCCGTCGTCTCGTGGCCAGCCACAATCATCACAAACGCGTTGCCTCGGATCTCGTCGCGGTCCATGACAGCCTTCGTTCCGGTCTTGAGCTTGGCTTTGCCCGCTGAGTCGACGTCGTACGAGGACCGCACGAGCTGGCCCATAATGTCCATGCCCTCGTCAGTGTGCTCACCCTGACCAGCTTCTTGGATCTTAACATCAATCAGCTCGTCAATGAATTGCTCATAGTCGTGGCGCGACTGGACGGCCTCGCGCGTGGGCTCGTACGGAATCAGCCCTGCCAAAAGTTGTCAGCGGTGGTCTCCCTTTTCTTCGCTCTCAAGGCGACGTAGTGAGCTCTTACACAGTAGCCACGAAGGGACGAGAAGCAGCGTCAAGACATTCTCCAGCAGCGTAGCCATGGCGTTGACAAAGCTCATCTTGTACCCCTGGGGCGGCTCGACACTGCCGTACTTGGCACTCATGGCATCCGCATCCGCGGGCATCTTCTCCTGCGGCCAGGGCAGCTTGAGCCCAAAGCCCACGTACCCGATGATGTTGAGCGCCAGACGCATCGTGTCGTGCTCCGCCGTGTGCAGCGTGGCCCCGCGCCCCTTGGTCTCCTCCCAGAACCGGATCAGGCCGAGACTCTGGCGGATGCTCTCCTTGAAGACGAGGGCGGCGTTGCGCTCGTTGAACGAGGCCGCGGTGACCTTGCGGTGGTGACGCCAGAGCGGGCCCTCAGACGTGAGGACATTGTTACCAAACTGGGTCAGAATGTCGTACTGCGCCGTGTGCTTGGGGAAGTGATCCCGCCTGGTGGTGATGGCGCTGATGGCGCCCGCCTCGGCGGTGAACATGTGAATGCCAAAGGGGTGCACCAGGAGGAATGTGTCGCCAAACTTGGCAAAGTGCTCGTGGCGCCATTTCCAGGAGAAGTCAACGGTCAAGGGACTGCAGCACTTTGGGTCAGCCAAGAGCAAGCATAGACGGTCAAGGATGGAGCAAGACTCACGGCAGCCAGGCCTCCCATAGCGGTTTGGGCAGAAGCTTGATGGCAGGTATCCAGAGCGTCTGTGTGATCTGCCAGAGAATCCACCATGGCGAGCAAGCTGGTGGCGCGTCAGCTCATACGATTCTCTTCATCAGCAGCAGCTCAGCTCAACGTACGTGAGATGTAGTATCGGATACCGCTCGCCTTGGCTCTCTGCAGGTTGCGCCTCCAGCTGCTCAGCACATACGAGAGCCACAGGACCACCAGGCCCGCGAAGCCGAGCAAAAGGGAGCGCATTCTGTACCAGACGTTCTCCCGAGCAGCAGTATCAACAACTATGTAAAGACAATGCGTGAAGAGCGGTGCGAGAGGCCCAAGGCGGTGGTGAGGTGCATGGAATTTTGTACGGAGTATGCACATGCAGTGATGCACCAGATCAAACGATGATGCCCTCTCGTGCGTTCCCCTCGATCCTGCAGCCGCCTGCCTGCCTGCCTGCCTGCCTACCCGCAGACGGCCATTTCACGCCGGCGACCTGGCTTGTGGTGAAGGAGTCGGCCGCCGCCAGTGGGGGGGCCAAGATCCGGGAGGAGGGCGTTCCGCCCCGCTAGAAGACGACGAGGAGCGAATCAAGCTCGCCGTATTGCGGTCGTCCAGCGCTGTTAAGGGATTGGTGCTGAATAGCCCTGAGACACTAATGCGACAGCAATACGCGACATGAGAAACAACTGTCCTCGCGATGATACAGACAGACTACAGCTAATACAGCTCAATGAACGAGGGTCAGTGGCCACTGGTCAGAGCATCGTTCACGCAAGCCTCTCCCCTCACTCTTGAGTGGTGTCGTGGATCAGCTCGTTCTATTAGAAACAACAACAACAACTCTACAGAGCGGCCAGTGTATCCTCCAGCGACTTGCCCGTGAGCTTCTCAAAGACCTCCTTGTACTTGGCCCGCGTCTCCTCCACGACTGTCGCCGGCAGTTCCACCCCCGTCTTGCCCTTGAGTCCATTCTCCGTCAGGTAGTCGCGCACAAACTGCTTGTCAAAGCTCGGCTGGTCCACCCCGACCTTGACGGGCGCCGGCCAGAAGCGACTGGAGTCGGGCGTCAGCACCTCGTCCACGAGGATGACCTCGTCCGTCGCCTCGTCCAGGCCAAACTCAAACTTGGTGTCCGCAAGAATGATCCCACGCTCCGCCGCATAGTCCCGCGCCACCGTGTACAGCTTGAGCGCGAGCGTCTCAATCTTCTCGGCGTACTTGGCCCCAATGATCTCCGCCGCCCGCTCGCGCGAAATGTTCTCGTCCGAGTCGCCCTGCTCGGCCTTTGTGGACGGCGTGAAGATGGGCTCGGGGAAGGCTGATGACAGCCGGAGACCCTCGGCCTGCTTCTCGCCGTGCACGGTGCCGGACGTCTGGTACTCCTTCCACGCGCTGCCCGTGAGGTAGCCCCGGACAATGGCCTCAATGGGGAAGACCTTGAGCTTGCGGATCTGCAGGCAGCGACCCTTGAGCGCCTCGAACTCAATGGTCGACACACCCTGGCTGGGCGGCTGTAGGGACAGCACGTGGTGCTTGAGCTCGGGGACGGCCTTGGCGAGCACCTCGAACCAGTGCGCCGAGATCTGGCAGAGGACAGCGCCCTTTTCCGGGATGCCGGTCTCTAGGACCACATCGTAGGCTGAGATGCGGTCCGTGACCGCCATGAGGAGAGTGGCGTCATCGAGCTTGTACAGCTCGCGAACCTTGCCGGTCGCAATCTTCTCGAGGTTCTGTAGGTCGATGGAGGTGACTGCGTGTACCTGTGTAGACATTGTGCCTCGATTTGCTCAGGGGGCTGGACAGATGCGCTGGCAATCCGGTATGGTTTGTTCAAGCTCGACAGCAAGTGAATCGACGAATCGTGGGCAACTTGACGGGTCGACTGCGGTGAGTTGCGTTGAAGAGTGAGTAAACTTTGGTGATGAAGTGGGATCCACGTGACCCAGTTCACGCTGCCGTGTCCGGTCGCGGTCGCTGAATAAGCCGCCTTTGGTTACGCTGCCTACCCTGGAGAGTGTGGCCTGATCTGCCTCCGATAAGATAGTACTTTGGTTGAAATCAGAGTGAACAGATGTATTTAAGGACACTGCTGTACAGATTCGCTAACGGATCTTCGGAAGTACGTCGACACCAAGTCAATCAATTGTAGTGCATACTGTATCACGCCGTGCTCGTGAAAAGTATTGTACCATGCTTCTCCCTTGATAGGCTAACGTGAAAGCACCAACGACTGCCTGTCGAGCCAAGGTAGGACAATCTAACGCCAGGAACAGTCAGAGGATCAGATCATCAAATAAAATGCTCTCGATTCGACTCATGGTGATGATAGATGATGGGATCATGGGAGTCATACAATCTTGCACCACCTTGCCAGCCTAATTGGCACCCACCCCACCTGGAATTCGCCATCCGCACCAGCTTTAGCCTCCTTAATCCAAAAGAGGTGCCAATGACTCCCCGCGCGACTGGGCCCCACCAAAACGCACAACCCGCCAAAAATTCAACGTCGCCCCGTCCGACCTTGACCGACGCATACTGAAAAGAACGAGATCCCCATCCGACATCAACCACTCCGACTCGATCGATCATCACAACTGCCCGCCATGAGACCTATTCTCCTCGCTGGGCACGAGCGTGCGCTCACCCAGATCCGGTACGACCACCTCTCCCTGCCCATCGCGCCGCGCCCACCCTGCCCCTCCAACCCAAAACAGAGATCCTTAGGAGGAGGGGCTCCACGATGGTCGCGATGCCCTCAGAACCGTGCCAGGAGCTAACACAGTCCCCCAGATACAACCTCGATGGCGACATCATCTTCTCCGTCGCAAAGGATCAGCACATCTGTGCCTGGTACTCCCACAACGGCGAGCGTCTCGGCACCTACCACGGCCACGTCGGTGCCATCTGGACCGTCGACGTCGACCCGACCACGACCATGATCGCCTCGGGCTCCGCCGACAACACCATCCGCCTCTGGGACGTCAAGTCCGCCAAGAACCTCAAGACCTGGGAGTTCCCCACCGCCGTCAAGCGCGTCGAGTTTAGCGAGGACGGCACCAAGCTCCTCGGCGTCACCGAGAAGCGCATGGGCTACCTCTCCAACATTGTCGTCTTTGACATCAACCCCGACCCCGCCGCCGAGCAGACCGACGAGCGCGCCCTCACCATTGTCTGCGACGAGAGCAAGGCCACCGTCGCCGGCTTCTCCTACCTCAACCGCTACATCATCGCCGGCCACGAGGACGGCAGCGTCAGCCAGTACGACGCCAAGACCGGGGAGCTCATCGACAACATCCCCATCCACGAGCTCAACCAGCCCATTGTCGACCTGCAGTGGAACGCGGACCGCACCTACTTCATCACAGCCTGCAAGGACAAGTCGGCCAAGGTACGCGTGCACCCCCCCTCTCTCAGAGTAGCCCGATACTAACACAAACACAGCTCGTCGCCGCCCGCGACCTCACTGTCCTCAAGACCTACCCCGCCGACACCCCCCTCAACTCGGCCACCATCACACCGAAAAAGGACTTTGTCATCCTCGGCGGTGGCCAGGCCGCCATGGACGTCACGCGCACCTCGGCCCGCCAGGGTAAATTCGAGGCCCGCTTCTACCACAAGATCTTCGAGGACGAGATTGGCCGTGTGCGCGGCCACTTTGGTCCCCTCAACACCGTCGCCGCCGATCCCACCGGCAAGTCGTACGCCTCGGGTGGTGAGGACGGCTACGTTCGCGTGCATCACTTTGACAAGGGCTACTTTGACTTTTTGTACGAGGTCGAGAGGGAGAGGATCAACAGGATGTCGTGATGAGCTGAGAAAGAGACGCGGTATAATTTTTTTTACAAATGGGATAAGAGACCAAAGACAATGCTCTTCCCCTTCTTCTTCGGCCTCGGCTTGCTTTCTTGCATTGGTTTGGCGTTAACGGTAGGGGAGGCGGGACAAAGGCCCGCCAATGTCGTGTGTTTCCGGTCGAGACGAGACAAAAACGAAAGGAACGAGAGGAGAAAAGGGGGCGGCCATGCGCGGACTTGGGATGGTCGAATTAGATCAGCTAGTAGCGTGATTCAACGTATGTAATTCGTACATATGTCATGGATATTGCCTCTTCCTCGAATCCATTCATTATAAAGCTTCTACAGTGATTTTAGTTGCCAAATGTGTAATCATGTCAGTCGACGACTGTGCCTCGTCCTCACTCCAGCCAGCCAGCCAGTCAGTACCTTGCACCAAACGCCTTGATCCAGTTCTATGCCGTCAACGCCCCGCGAGCCGCCCACAGTGGCGACTGTTTACTTCTTGCGACCCTTCTTAGACTTGGACACCCCCGCCGAAGCTGTTGACGCAACACTCGACGCCCTTGAAGGCGCTTTGGAGCTGGCCTTGCTGGCTTTGCTTGACTTGACGTTGTCGAGCGCCTTGTTCTGCGAGGAGACGGTTAGCACCTGTTACCACATGGTCTGCAAGCAACAAGACATACCTTGACGCCGTTCTTGGCCTTCTTCTTCGGTGGCGCGGAGCTCAGCACGCTGTCTTCGTCGTCCTCCTCTTCCCTCTTCATCTTGCCATTCGCGCCGTTCTTGGACGGCACGTCCTCAAACTCCTTCACAACTGTTGTGATCAGCGTGGTGCATCGTCGCGACAGCTCAATAGGCGTGCGGCTGAGGAAGAACCAGTCGAATCGGAAAAGGGGCGAGTCCCGAATGTCGTCCCGCATCTTCTCGTACAGACCCTCCGAGTCGATGCCGTATCGGTCCAGCAACACCAGCAGAAACCTGTCCTCCTCCTCTGTGTAGACCTTCTTGTTTGTGGTCGAGACGGAGTAGTTGATCTTGAGCTGCTGGAGCGGCACGCGGTACTGCTGCATCTTCTTGCGCAGGAGCTTCTGATGGTGACCGACCCGCCTGATGCGCTCCTCGCCATCCTCAATGACACGCAGATGCTTCTGGTAGTCGGGAATCTCCGTGTAGCGTTGCCAGAACACCTTGGCGTACTGCTTGATCTCGGCTGGAGTCTTGCTATCAACCTCCTCCGAGATGCCCTCGTAGTCGGTGCGTCCTGATTTGGCAGATCCGTTGATGAACTGTTGGAAATCTCGCTTGTTCCATTCGCCGAATCCCTGCGTCGCCAGCTCCTCTTTCTCCTGACGTTCTGCTTCCGTCAAAGGCTCCGCGTTGTTAATCTCCTGCTGCTCAGCGTCACGCTCGGCCTCGCGCTCGGCCAGGTTCTCCTCGTCGCCTTCCGGCAGCGGCACCTTGTACCCAATCTCCTTGCGGTGGTGCGCTGTTTCCCTCTCCTGCAGCTCCTTCAAGCGGGCAGGGTAGAACTGATAGTCGTGCACGGGCACCTGCTTGGGCGCTCGGGGTGCCTTTGGCTTCGTCTCCTTCGAGGGATTTGGATACATTGTCTGGCGGAAGTACTTGTCCATGGAGTATGACTGCTCCTTGCGCTCACGCTTGGACGGGTTGATCCAGCTCATGCCAATGTCTTTCTTTGTGTTGGCAAAATTCTCACCGTTCCATTCGTACGCCGACTCTGATGTGAATTTTTGCAAATCATCAAGACCCAATTTCTCGTACTTGGCGTTGAGCTGCTTTGTGCGATCTTCACCTTGAGCCAGAATCGCCTCAATGTCATCATCGGTAACATCAGAGCCCTTGGCGGCGAGGCCAGTGCCTTCCTTCTGTTGGAACACCTTTTCCGCGCCGTGCTGGATCATGTTTAACAGCTCGTCCTTGTTCGCAGCGGCCTTGGCTGCAACCTGGGCACGGCCCTGTTGGATGACCAGCTGATCCAAACGGAGCTTCTGCGCTGCTCGCTCCAAAACCTTCTCCTCGATAGCTTGGTCCGTCACGAATCGATACACGACCACTTGCTTCGTCTGGCCGATTCGATGCGCACGATCCATAGCTTGCAGATCGGCTTGAGGGTTCCAGTCGCTGTCGTACAGAACGACAATGTCAGCTGTCGTGAGGTTGATGCCCAGGCCACCGGCACGAGTCGTCAACAAAAAGATAAACTTTTCCGACCCTGGCTTGTTGTAATCGTCAATGGCCTGGATACGGTCTTCATGCGCGGTGCTACCGTCGATACGGCAGTATTTGTATTGGCGGAACACGCAGTAATCCTCCAGAATATCCAGTAGACGACTCATCTGGGAGAAGATGAGCACGCGGCTGCCCTGCTGCTGCATTTTGGCCAGCAATTTATCCAGCACCGCCATCTTGCCTGCATTGTAGACCAGATGCTCGTCAGTGGTATAGGGCGGACCAGGCTCGGCTCCCTCGAAAAGATAGGGATGGTTGCAACATTTGCGCAATTGCATGACGATGTTGAGCAGCCTTGTCTTGGACTCGCGCTTGCCACCTGCGCCGTTGACAGCATCAATGTCCTTTTCAAGAATTTTCTTGTACCACTTGATCTGCATGTCGGACATGCCTAGGTACAAGTTGATTTCTTTCTTGGGCAGCAAGCTCTTCTCTACATCGCTCTTGACACGGCGGAGCAAGAACGGTCGGAGGATGCGATGAAGCTGCTGCACCACTCGATCCTGGTCCTGGTCCTCGCCCGAGAACCACTGGTCGAAAGCCTCTGCATCACCGAACACATCGGGTAGCAAGAAATTAAGCAAAGCCCACAGCTCATGCAGGTTGTTTTGCAGTGGCGTGCCAGTGATCAGGAGGCGGTTGAGCGAATGGAACAGTCGGATGACCTGGGACAACGAGGATTCCTCGTTCTTGATACGATGGGCTTCATCGATAATGATGTATTTCCAGGGCAATTTCTTCAGGTGCGTCTTCTCTCTCAAGACCATCTCGTAACTCGTGATGCAGACGTCGAATTTCGCATCCACTAGGCGGTTTTGAATAAGTTCTTGTCGCTCGTCCTTGGCGCCCTGGAGAACAAAAACGTCGACTTCTGGCGTCCAGCGTTCAAACTCGCGCTTCCAGTTGTCCAGTGTTGACTTTGGTACGGTGACAAGATGAGGTCCCTTGATGTCGCAAACGTGACGCAAGTAACCCAGAAAGGCGATCGTTTGCAGTGTCTTGCCCAAGCCCATCTCATCTGCAAGGATACCCGAGATGCCGTTCTCATGTAGTGAAATCATCCAGTTCAAGCCAGCGACCTGGTAGTCGCGCATGGTGCCTTGGATGAAGGGCGGCGATTCTCGAAAGACGGTCTCGGCAGCGCCGCCACGTTTCTCGTCGCGGATTAATTCTGCATCCTCCTCGGCTTCAGTACGTCGGACACGACCGCTGGTGGCGCCGCCTTGACGGCCCCCACCCTTCTTTGTTTTGCTCGACTCCGCGTTCTGACGATCAATTTCGGCCATGACTTCGCGAATCTTGGGGTCGGGGTTGGTCTCAATAAAGTGGCGGAACAAGTCCGTGAGGCCCAAGAGGTACCTGAAGCGCCGGATCGTGTCATCCTCTTTGTACTGTTCGAGACTGTCGTGTTTCTTTCGCAAGACTGCTTTCTGCAAGTGGTTGTTGTCGGCACGCCTCCGGCGACCGTCGATGGGCTCGCCAACAACGCTGCTCGCTGTGGTATTTGGTTGCGTATCAGAGCCGGTGTAGTCGGGGGTCTCATCGACATCCTTAGGTGCAGGTTAGCAGGGAACCATCCATCTCTGGCGACGACTCGAGAATTCCATACCATCGTGTCGACAGGACGAGCATCCTGTGCCTCAGACATTGATGCGTCGGCGTCCGTATCAACACCGCTGTTGCGCGACGATCGTGGGGCCATGATGGCTGGCGTCGATTTCTGACGACCAAACCTCTTAACGCGAGCTTCCAATCCGAGACGCGTCTAGAGGCTTGTAATTTGGCGTTTGATACAGATTGCGACTGAATGAGTGGCGAAAACGGGTTAACGCAGAGCTTCACAATTCTGCGAGGGCCTGGGAGCTGTCATGGACTGCAGGTTCAACGCGATAATTGTGAGGTGAGATGGATCTGAGGAACAGACTACGAAAGTTGAATCTCGAGATGCACGTTAGAAGGGCGACTTCGGCGTTAGCGCGATGGCGTATTACCCCTGCAATGCGCCCTATACTCCATCGGAGCGGAATAAATATAGCCCGGAGAACAGTGGCCTGGATGTAGCTCCGGCCGCTAGAGTCCGGAAAGTTGTCAGGCTTGATAGAATACTTGATTAGAAAATTAGGAAATCAAACGTCGGGAATTATTCGTGATTTCCTTCAATAACACAACTTTGACAACAGGGGCTATCTGAGATAATCCAAGTTGTTATTCCGTGGATGATCACGTGCACAGCAAATGAGCGGGCCACGTGCTGCAGGATGAGGTACCTGTTACCCCTCGGTTAGTGCCGTCTGGGTTTCCAGGCGTAGATTTGCAAACGCTTGAGACCCTACCCATCACGCATCTCCAAGCCACATATCACCCTTGCCAGACTATCTCTGCAACATCATTGACGATCTGCGAGTCTCTCAGTGCCTCTCCTTTCACTTCCTTGACTCCAGATTTCAACAAGACCACCTTGCCTATCCACACTAGGAACGCCATTGCCCTCCACTCGGGCAAACCCTCCAACACAAACCAGTCATTACTCGTACGATCCATCACCCGCTGTGTCAACACTTTCTTTACTAATTTCACATGTAGTAACATCCTTGTCTGGCTGGCAATAAACACGATCCGCTATGGACGCCAGCAAGTCTGCCCAGTATGAGTCGCCTGAGCAGCTCCTCGATGTTTTCAAATCTGCCGCCCTGTCTGTTACGAAGCTGTACAGGTCGTCGGTAGCAGCAGAGACAAGAGCGCGAGCGGAGGGATACCAAGACTGCCTCGATGACCTACTCGGCTTGTTGGAGAAGGAGAGCCAGTTTCTGGGGGAAAGCAGTCGGTCGCGCCTACACAGGTGGATAACCGACCGACGCGCTGGAAGAGAAGCGAGCCCAGCCGTCGCCGAGAGCGATGAAGACGAACCCGACAAGTCTGCCCCAGTGCCAACCTCGACTTCCACAGCAGCCCCCTTGACTACGCCAGTTCCCCCAGCACCGTCACCGGCTCCTGCGACAGCCCCCACGACAGCCTCTGCGGACGTTGCATCCCAAGACATGCGCGAGCCAGAATTCATCGTTCCCAGCCAAGATAGCTTCACGTTCCAGTCCGACCATCAGTATCCTGACATCGAGCTGCTCGACCTGTCTGAAGATCGGGTACACAACAACGCCTCCAACAACCATGGCGCACGAACGAGGCGGAATGTAAGGAGTGGGCCACGACAAGCCGGGCCGCTTGGCCGCGGTGCTGGCGCAAAGCGCCGCCTAGACTTCAACGACTTCTTCGACTTTGGCAAAGATGGGTTTGGGGGTGGGAAGCGAAGCAGACACCTCTAATCCTGATGACAGGTCAAGGGCGTTTGTTTGCACACATCTGGTCAGGACCACTTAGATATAGCTTGAGCGACGCATTGTTGCGGAGGATCGCGGGAACTAGCATACTGCATGGGCGGCGTTTGAAGATGTAACGATCGGCATTGGCGGTGTTGTGATTTATGGCCTGGATACGGTCACAAGATACCTCGAACCAGAGTGTTCACCAATACAATGAGCAATGATGATGATCCCCACAGATTTGCATGAAGCTACACTTGATATAAGCCTAGCCTATGTCTCAGGGCCACGATCTCGTCTCTGAGCTCCTGATTCCGTTGCTCCAGTCCATGGATTCTCTCGTGTGCATCAAGAACAATCTCGTCGGACAGTTGTGCCAGCCGCCAAAGACGCAATGCGATGACCAGGGAGCCAACGTCTGTAACCACCCCACTCGTCATGATACCTATAATCAACGCAACCCCAATGATGGCTGAGTCGAACACATGAAACCAAGAGGCCAGATACCTGGCAATATCAGCTGATGAAGCTTTAGGATTGTCCCTAGCTTGGCTTACTTTGGCCCGAAAGCGACAAGACATGCCACCAGTTCCAGCACGAATAGCCAGCTGAATCCAACTCCAATATCCTGGAGCGTCTGCGAGACCGCTTGCACCCACGGCTCTTTTCTCTGGTGCATTTCACACGCCGTAAGCTTGATCAAAATGTTCAAGAGCAACAGTGCCACGTCCAGAGTGACAAGAGCCAGAATGAAGTAGTCCTTGGTTCGCGAGGATAGTTTTCGGCGCGCATCGGCGCGATGACGTCTGAACGAGGATGTGAGCTGCACCTGCGTCTCCGAGAAGGAAGATTGCTCGCTCTGCTGATGTAGACTGCCGATTAAGGGCTCAGCTTCGACGATGGCGCTGGCCATGTTTGCGAACTTGTACACAGGAGATAGTCTACCGACAAAGGCATGCCCAGACTAAGTATGTAACATGATGCGCCTTGAAGAGAGCAGCCTCGAAAGGTCTGGGTCACTGGTCATGTTTCCGTCATATGACTGACTGCCGGCGAGCTTTGGAACTAGCATCCCTCCCATCCAAGAACAGAGTTAGCTTGACGATGGTAGTGTGTCATGCGACAGGCGTGGGTTGACTCGGTCGTTTTCGGGGTCCGATAATTGCCTACCCTGCAACCGCACCTCTGGAGGCTGCAACCTGATTGGAACCCCACATTGAAGTGAGCCAGAGTGAATTCGTGACGTGCCTGCAAACTGCGCCGATCAAACTTACAGCATCTTTGGGCGCGCAGAAAGCTGAGCCTCACGATTCAATCTGCACTTTGGGCGCGCCCAATTCTGCCTTCACAAACCGTAAAGCCACACCCTTTCTATCCTTCCTGGCCCCCAGCATCATTTGTATCAACTCCAGCCAGCTTTTGTACGTTGTTCCCCTTGTCTACACTATTTGTACGCGACGCGACTCGCCCTGGTCGCAAACGCATCGTTCTCTATACTAACTATGAATTGAACAGCCTCGTCAAACTTTAAGCGAATTCCCGATCGCAGCGAGCATCATGTCGGACGCCGAACAGCCAGAAGACGTTCCCATTGTCGACCAGGATGCCAAGAACGAGGGCGATGTCGACCCCAACGATGAGGTTCGTCAGGCAGTCACAGTGGACATGTCCCATGACCCAAGGTTCTACAGGATCTTGCAAGAGGTGGCACTGACACACGGTTTGCGGAATATAGGAAGAGATCACGGCCATGAAGCGCCGCGTGAAAGAGATGGAGGAGGAGGCTGAGAAGCTACGGGAGATGCAAGCTTCGCTCGACAAGCAATCCGCAGATCTCGCCGATGACAAGGAGTCGGTCGATGCGCGCAGCGTTTTCGTGGGCAACGTGGACTACTCCGTCTCACCAGAGGAGATCCAAGAACATTTCCAGAGCTGCGGATCGATCAACCGAGTCACCATTCTTTTGGATAAATTCACCGGCCAGCCTAAAGGGTTTGTAGCACCACGCAGATATGGCAGGAAACTTCTCTAATGAGGACCACAGCTACGCCTATGTCGAATTCTCCGAACCCAGCCTCGTTGCCCAGGCCTTGGTCCTGAACGAGAGCGTTCTCAAAGGTCGCAACATCAAGGTCACACCCAAGCGCACAAACGTGCCCGGAATGAGCCGTGGAAGGGGCCGTGGCCGCGGAGGGTTTGGCCGGGGCGGCTTCGGACGTGGTGGTGGTAGCTTTCGCGGAGGAGGTGGTCGCGGTGGCTACCGAGGCGGCCGTGGACGAGGCTACACTCCTTACTAGGAGCAGGGACTTGATACTTTGGAAACGGCCCCTCCTGCGAGACCTTTTGGAATTCCGTTTCCTGGGCCGCAGTACCCAGCCCCTGATGTGGTGATGGGTGGCATGGGTATTCCATTCTCACATGGTGCCTACGACATTCGTCGAGGCGTATATTCCCCGCAATGATCGAGAGACAGACGTGCGGCTCCCCAGCACTGTCTGCTGTGCAAGGCAAGTCGTGGTTGAGGAGAGCAGCAGCGCACAAGACCCTCGGCAGTATGGAGGGATCGAAAAGGATGAGTAGTTTGGAGTTCAGGTTGGCAATCTTGCTTGGTTCTTTCAATCAAAGTTTGGAGCTTATGGCGTACCGAGGCCCTTTTCACATACGTATTTCTTCTCTCTTGAACGACGTGCATGCGGCTGCGGACAATACGTAGCCGAATGAGCGGTACGCCAAGCGTGCCTGACCTCACAATAGCGGCCTCTGTCATTGTGACCTGTTGGTGAGTGATGTGAACCAAATATTGACTTAGTGAAAGAGACACCTGTAGGCTGTTCATGGTCTGATAGACTGATACGCCCTTTCCCACCCGAAACAAGGATTGATGCATCATGATCGGTGATCGTGTGCCGATATTCCATCTGCACCTTGGCGGATTGGCTTCGCCATGCCGTCCACGCGGCTTGCAGCTCTGCTAAAGGAAAGCCGAAAGCCAATATACGTGAAAATTAGTGCGTACAATATACAGACTAATGCATAACCATATGTTCACCTTGAACTTGAGTAGATGATATCAGTGTTGCGGAGCACAGAATACAGGTGATGATTACTACCTCCCCTACCACGGCCGGGGTGCCACTGCGTGTGAGTCCGTCATAATTGGTAAAATGCCCAGTACTGATCAAGGATAGGCGACCACCAAGATCAGTCCAGGTTCAACAGTTCCATCTGCCACTGCGCGATGGTATCTAAAATCGAAGGTAGGATGTTTTGATTTGGAATACCGCCTTGAAGTGCCGCTAATCAAGGGTGAGCATCGCGACAGATCCGACTGATTCCAGCCGCGAACGCTGCTGTTGTCAATGTTGCATGATTAGCTTCACTGTGACAGCACCTAAGAAACACATACGTATTTAACGTTTAATCCCTGGCAATCAGTGCTATTTACTTAACTACGGATAAGTAAGATGTGACAAATGGCCACGTACATAACCCGTGGTTGAACATGCGAAGCAAAAGTACATGCACTGGACCCCGCCGATTGGCGCTAATGGATTCTCACCACGATCTGTCAGTTTACGCGACTGTACGTATATCAATTGTTCGTTTTTATTAATTCCATGGGCTCAGCTATTGCGGCTTTCGGGCGAAGGCTGTCCGTAGACTAGACGCCAATCTGACAATGCTTGGTCGCAGTATCCTCATATCGTCGTGACAAAACTTCACAAATAATACTGTAATCCATGCCGAGCATGACGTTTGGAGCGACTGCTAGACAGACGCCCCGTACGTCCGTCCAGACTCCGGTTGAGCCATCTTCCAGTCCAACCAACCTACGGACCTATCGATAAGTACCCACCCAAGCAAGGCCCAGCCCAGCCCAGCCCAGCGGCCTACAGGCGCCCTTAGCCCAGGTCCTGTGGCCCCTCGTCCGTCAGCCGCCCGCTTGTTGCAGACGAACCATCCATTCATCATTCCCCTCCATCACTCATTCATCGAATATTAATCGACGACCAGCCCGCTCTGCCGCCATCGTCGCCACTTGGGTTCCCTTTGGACTGATTGTCCACCCGAACGACACGGCCGCATAGTAGCGCTTCTGTTCTTCGGCCACGGTCCCCGATCAACCTCGAGCGACGCCAACCTACGCCTCCACGAGCCGTGCACAGCCCCAGGTCCTGCCACAGTTGTTGCGTCGGGCCCCGTCATCGTCGCTCGTTGGCTGCGTCTTGCTTGCCGACTGCTCGAGAGGCTGTGAATGCCTTCTAAACTCGCATTTACATCTCCTCGCTCAAATAGGTGGTGCTTGAACCTAGCCAAGGCTTGATTTCGCTCCGACAGTCTTCGACGCCGTTGGTGGCCCCTCGTAGCGCTCTACCATCAACTCGACAACGGTCAACACAAACATGAGCCGTGCCGAATCTTCGCAGGCTGGGTGAGTACTTCCATCTCGACAACCATACAAAGAAAGACTTGTGTTAATGTTTCTGTAGAAGGCCCAACCTCCGCGTCACAAGTTCGTCGCCCTTGCCGACCCCACTGTCGCCATCCAAGAGCCATTTGTACTGACAGCACAGTTATCGCCGCCGATGGCCTCTACAAGCGAGATGTTTTCCGTACGTACCGCGAGCTGTGTCTCGTAAGACTAGCGCACTGACCGCTCAATAGGCTTTCCCGACCCTTTCGCGGTCGCTACCGTCAATGGCGAGCAGACCAAGACGACGGCCGTCAGCAAGCGCACATTAAACCCGTACTGGAACGAGAGTTTCGACTTCTGTGTTAACGAGGGAAGCATCATTGCGATCCAAGTCTTCGATCAAAAGAAGTTTAAGAAGAAGGACCAAGGCTTTCTCGGCGTTATCAACATTAAAGTCGGCGATGTTATGCCTGAGCTAACACCCGAAGCTGATGGTAAGTTTGGCATCGCTAGCCGCTGTGAGGGGTCTGTGCAAACTAACTTCTCAACAGAACAGATGCTTACTCGGGACCTGAAGAAGTCGACGGATAACCTCGTTGTTCACGGCAAGCTCATAGTCAATTTGTCCTGCGACCTCAGCGCACCGCCTCGCGGAGCACAAGGATCTGCAGCCTCCCGCCCGAACCTGACCGCAGGCTCTTCCACTCTCTCCACACCGGTCGGAGACGGACGACCCGGATCTTCCATGTCTAGCCAGAATGGCCCGAATTCGTCTGCCGGGGCCTCGCTCTCTCAGCGACCATCCAGCCTCAGCAACAACAATAACAGCTCGGCTGGGCCCGGAGGAGCCAACCGGTCAGCCAGCCAACTCAGTCCATTTGAGGATGCACAGGGGCGCCTTCCTGCTGGGTGGGAGCGCCGCGAGGACAACCTCGGCCGAACTTACTATGTCGACCACAACACCCGCACAACAAGCTGGAACAGGCCGTCTGCCAACGGCGCTGTCGATAACTCAAATCGCGAGGCTGCCACGCAAGTAGAGAGGCAGAGGCACCGTGACCGTACGCTGCCAGAGGACCGCACCGGGGCCAACTCGCCCACTTTGGGCTCAAGTTCGCCATCCCAAGCCGGAGGAGGAGGTAGTCCACCCCCCGGTCCAGCGAGTGCGGCCGGGGCCGCCAGCAACACAACCATCCACACCGGTGCCACGAGCCCTGGCAGTGGAGAGTTGCCCGGTGGCTGGGAGCAGCGGTGGACGCCAGAAGGCCGTCCATACTTTGTTGACCATAACACGCGCACGACCACCTGGGTCGACCCCCGTCGCCAACAGTACATTCGCATGTACGGCGGCCAGAACAACACAAATGGACAAATACAGCAGCAGCCGGTCTCGCAGTTGGGTCCCCTGCCTAGCGGGTGGGAGATGCGCCTGACGAACACTGCCAGGGTCTACTTCGTGGACCACAACACGAAAACTACAACCTGGGACGATCCCCGACTACCAAGCTCGCTCGACCAGAATGTACCACAGTACAAGCGTGACTTCAGGAGGAAGCTCATTTACTTCCGTTCTCAACCCGCGATGCGCATTCTCAGCGGGCAATGCCACATCAAGATCAGGCGTTCGCATATCTTTGAGGATTCCTTTGCTGAGATTACCAGACAATCGCCGACTGATCTCAAGAAGCGACTCATGGTCAAGTTTGACGGTGAGGACGGTCTCGACTATGGTGGTGTGTCAAGAGAGTTCTTCTTCTTGCTTTCCCACGAGATGTTCAACCCCTTTTACTGTCTGTTCGAGTACTCGGCCCACGACAACTACACGCTTCAGATCAACCCTCACTCCGGTATCAACCCTGAGCACTTGAACTACTTCAAGTTCATCGGTCGCGTTGTGGGACTGGCCATCTTCCACCGCCGTTTCTTGGACGCCTTCTTCATTGGTGCCTTGTACAAAATGGTGCTGGGGAAGGCGGTATCTCTGGCTGATATGGAGGGTGTCGATGCCGATTTCCACAGATCGCTCCAGTGGATGCTCGACAACGACATCAGCGGCGGTATTCTCGAGCAGACCTTCTCCACTGAGGATGAGCGCTTTGGTGTCATGACCGTTGAAGATCTCATCCCAGGCGGTAGGGACATTGAAGTCACCAACGAGAACAAGAAGGAGTACGTGGACTTGATGGTCAAATGGCGTATCGAGAAGCGCATTGAAGAGCAATTCCAAGCTTTCAAGGAGGGATTCCAGGAGCTGATTCCCCACGATCTCATCAACGTGTTTGATGAGCGCGAGCTGGAGTTGCTCATTGGCGGTATCGCCGAGATTGATGTCGATGACTGGAAGAAACACACAGACTATCGCGGCTACACTGAGTCGGACGAAGTGGTGCAACAGTTCTGGCAAACCGTCCGATCATGGGACGGCGAGCAAAAGTCGCGCCTGTTGCAATTCACTACGGGTACCTCACGCATCCCGGTCAACGGATTCAAAGATCTCCAGGGCAGCGACGGCCCAAGGCGATTCACAATTGAGCGAGCCGGCGAAGCAACAAATCTTCCCAAGGCACACACATGGTGAGTCGCAAAAAGTGCACGGAGATGACATTTGGCTAACGAAATCACAGCTTCAACCGGCTGGACTTGCCGCCGTACAAGAACTTGGAGACACTGCAACAAAAGCTCACAATCGCCGTAGAAGAGACCATGGGCTTCGGCCAGGAATAAAGAAGGACCAGTGTATATATCGGTTGTTTGACAGCAAGCGGTCGTCAATCGGGCGGCAAAACTCCATTCCTGCGAAATCAACATCACTAACGTCCCTTACTGCCTTTGTTCTCTTTTCATTCTGCGCTCGTGTCCTGGGTCATTCGTATTGGGATGGTTGGCGCCGGTGGTCTTCATGCGGCGACCTTTTCGAGCACACCCTGCGCAGGTAGCTAGCTGTCGATGCATAGAACAAGATCAGACTTGGACAGTGGCTACGTGCCTGCAACATCATGGCGCACGGTCGCTTTGGTTTTTCTTTTCTATATATACAACATCAATGATAGGGGCATTGCACAGTGATACACTTTGCGGCACTACATGTTTGATTGAAGTTTTTGTTGCATTCGCGTACAGGTGTACGTCCGACCATGGCCTGTCTAATATGTACACTTGACAAAGGGAAGTAGGTGGCGTATTCAAAGCCGCCAAAACAGACCTCGGTACTAGATCTCAAGTCGCTCCCCGCGTGTTCCCCGTTCCAGATTGCTCCAGTGTCCGTCTCTCTCTTTATCGCCTGTACCACATCCTGGTGATCTTGGTGTTGCGCATCTTCCTCTGCAGCTGGAAGATGCCGTACATGAGCGCCTCGCTGGTGGGCGGGCAGCCAGGCACGTAGATATCGACAGGCACGATCCTGTCACACCCCCTCACGACGCTGTACGAGTAGTGGTAGTAGCCTCCACCGTTGGCGCACGAACCCATGGAGATGACCCAGCGGGGCTCGGGCATCTGATCGTAGACCTGGCGCAGGGCAGGAGCCATCTTGTTGGTGAGGGTGCCCGCGACGATCATCACGTCGGACTGACGGGGAGAAGCACGGAAAATGATACCGAGGCGATCTTGATCGTATCGAGGGGTGGAGAGGTGCATCATCTCGACGGCGCAGCAGGCCAGACCAAAGGTCATGGGCCACAGCGAAGATTGACGAGCCCAGTTGGCCATAATGTCGAGTGTGGTGCTGACCACTTGTTAGCATCTTGACCAAAGAGGAACACCTGGGAAAGTCATACAGCGCATATTGGACGACGCTCTTGGGCTTCTCCTGCGAGGGAAGAGGGACCTCACGACGCGGCTTGGAGAGGCTGCTCCCGGCACCGTGGGGGGTGACCGCGCTGGCTTGGTGCTGGGGGGTGGTCGTCGAGAAGGCCGCGGCAGCGACGGGACGGAAAGGGAGGATGGCGGTCGTGGGCTTGACTATATTTCCAAAAGAGAGCAGTGTCAGTCCCCCATGTCCATCGGCTTGTCTGGCGTAGCAGCATTTTGACGCACCTCGCAACGCCATTGCGGCGGCTGTCCGCGTCGAAGGAAGCATTTTGTCTGTCGATTCGTATCGCGGTCGGGCTCCAGACGCGAAGACGATAGACTGTGGGAGTGGAGAGGAGGCGCTGTTGGCCGGGGATGGGTGGTCGTCGATGTGGTTGCTGGCCGGTGGTCGTTGACGTTGAGGATATTCGCCTCCCAAAGGGAAGCACAAATGGGTGGACGATGATTGGCTGCCGGCTAAGACGCCGAGGATTAGCCTTGGGTGGTGATGCTCCCCAGTTTATCATCTGGGCAGCATTGAACATCACGGATCATGAGCGTCCTCGTCATCCGTTTTGAACACTTAGTGTGGCCATTTGGTTCACAATTTTAATTGCCATTAAGGAACTACATCGTGCAAGTCGTGCACTCGCAATGGAGGCACGCTGTTGTCACAGAGCTGGGCGATAGATCCTCGCGTTGTCTGCTTGGCCAGTCTGAAGCCATTGATCACGAGCGAGCGCACGGATGCATCGGTGAAAACAGCTAGAGAAGAAGTCAGTTGTAAACTTGTAGTGGGCGTGCTGGGCATTCTTTAATGGGATTTCCCCTACACTTGTCTTGGACCTGGTCGATATCTCACACCCCAGACAAGATCCCTAAACGCGTACGCGTACAGGTTTGCCCTCGTTGTCGATACTCGATAGGCTCTGAGACACCACGACAACGCACGCGCTAAATCTTGCACGGAGCGAAACAGAAAATGATCTGCTCAGTTGCCATCGCCTTGTCATGAAATACAAAAAGCACGGAAGAGCTACTAATAGTCACTGCTCATAGCCGTGTTGGCACTCACAGTCACAGAGTCGCAATGTGGCTTGCGGGCCCGACCGAGCACTACGGGTAAGATAAGGTAGACTTTATTTCCAGACTTAACATCGAGAACAAAGCCAGGACCATGACGCCATTTGGAGGCCCACGATATGACAAGCACCATGAAATCAAGAAATCCGTAATTGCACCGCGTGGTCTTTGTATACTCTGCAAGGACACAATGTCTTGATCGTCCCACCCTGCCAAGACTGCAGTGGCTTGCTATCGCTAATGGTAAGGTACGCTAGGGTCCTGTCAAATGCGCGCCCCCGTCAACGCTGTGCGTGGTCCTTATTCTAGACATTTAACTCAAACCATCGCTGTCTTCCCCCCTTCTTGAGCTGGGCCTTTTGCATTACATACCGACGCCCTGTCTTCTCGCGCAATTGTTTCTTACTCCGACACTCGCTTTCCACGTTCCTCCCGCCGTCCGCGCCCGGTCTTGAGCGCATCGATTCGAACCCGATCCGACACTCGCCCACATGAACTGAGCCGGTCTCGCCGTCGCGGCGCATTCTGACAATAGGCGGATAATACGTACGCGAGTGACTCGTCATGTTCAAAGGCTTTGACGTTCGTGTCTGGCCTTCGCGCCTCGTCGTTCGCTACTTTGTCGTCTTCGTCGTACTCGCCTTCCTCTTCACCAACTACTACCTCTGGTCCGACTGGCAGACATGGGACGTCGATAGCTATCAACCGCTCTCGGGCCCCGGGGTGGCACAGCACCCAATCAAGAAGCTCATGAAGGATGCTCGCGCCCGTCATGACGAGCAGTTGTCCCGCAGGAGTCTTGATGTGGCGACTGCAGCGGCCAGGTATCGAGAGGCTCGTGGGAGGCACCCCCCTCCCGGGTTCGACCTCTGGTTTCAAGCTGCGCTGGACACGGATGCGGTGATTGTCGAAGACTTCTTCGATCGTATATACAAGGACTTGACGCCGTTCTGGGGCATGGACACAAAGATGGTCCGCGACAGGGCACACTCATGGCCATGGGTTGTGAGGGTTCGGAACGGCACGGCCCACGGTGACGGTAACGTCGAGGGTCGTGTGCCATGGTTGCAGCTCTGGACGGGGTTAGTGGGAGAATTTGCCGAAGGGATGCCCGATGTCGACATGCCCATCAACTACATGGACGAGCCCCGGCTTCTCGTCCCTCACAACCAGATCGCCAAGCTGGTGGCGAAGGAGGCCAAAGAGCGCAAGATGCCCGAACCCAAGGACGTGACGAAAGAGTACCAAGGCCTGGCTGCAGTGGATGAAGCCAAGCCAAAACTATACGATCCTCGATGGTACGGCTTCGCAGACTCGGACTATTGGTCTCTTGCCGCGAAGACGTGCGGCCCGAACACACCAGCCTACGGCGTGAAAGCAGAAAAGGACTTCTCGAAGCCCGCCGAGTTTCCTAGTCACTACAAGCCCAGCTACGTCGAAGAAGGCTACATTTACAATTGGACCTCTGCCATGGACCCTTGCCAGCAGCCTCACCTACGTCAGCTTCACGGTAGCTTCGTCGAGCCCGTCAGCATGTCCTCGACAGACGAACTCATCCCGCTCTTTGGTGGGTCAAAGCTGCCAATGAACAACGAAATTCTCATCCCTGGTGCCATGTACCTGACAGACGACGAGTTCTACTCTGGCGGCGAGTCTCACGGCCCGCAGTGGCACTGGAAGAAGACAGCGGCTATCTGGCGCGGAGATGCCTCGGGTGGTCGCGCAAAGGCACACACCTGGCACCACTTTCATCGACACCGTCTAGTTGACATGCTCAATGCGACGACCGTGTCCACAGCCGAGGCTTCGGGCAAGCGCCCGGTGACGTTTGAGCCCCCTGACACAAGCATATACTCTTCCTCCCGTGCAGAGAGCAAAGAGCTTGGGAAATGGCTGGAAACTTTCGCTGATGTCGGATTCACCTACTTATGCCCTCCCGAGCAGTGCGATTATCTCACAGACTACTATCACGTAGTCGAACGGATACCGATGAAGACGCAGTATACGTACAAGTTCCTGCCCGACGCTGATGGTAACTCGTTCAGCGCGCGATTCAGAGGATTCATGCGATCGACGAGCGTTCCGCTCAAGGCCACCATTTACGCAGAGTGGCACGACGACCGGCTCACACCCTGGGTCCATTTCATCCCGCTAGACAACACCTATCGCGACCTCTACCCGGTGCTCGAGTTCTTCGGCGATGGCCCTGGCGGTCAGGGCGATGCTGCCGCCCGTTTCATCGCCGAGAAGGGCCGCATCTGGGCGGAGCAGGTGCTGCGACGCGAGGACATGAAATTGTACGTCTGGCGCTTGCTGCTCGAGTGGGCGCGCGTGTGCGACGACGAGAGGCACGCACTTGGCTATGTGGACGATTTGTTGCTGTGACGAGCTCTCCTTCTGCTTCGATCACATGAGCCGGCGTTTCGGGAGCATTACTTCTTCACTTCTTCGATGCATATTAGATTGTATTGTAGTCTACTACCTCATTGCGCAGGCCACCGTTGGACATGGGATTGGGGAAACAAACACGTACACAGTATGTTACGACGTGCACGGCAGCTGGTAGACCAGTATGGAACTCCATAAATGTACTGGATATGTATTTCTCTTCATTTCATTATACCGAGTAGTTGGCAAGACCTGCCTGCCCGTTGTTACTCTTGCTCCAATATATGGCCTGTGACTATAACTGTAAATCTGTCACGGCCGGACGACTAGGCTGACCCTTCAAGTGCGCCGACGACCCCTTGAACAAACTCTGCCATATAAACGCCTCGCTCAACAGGAGCTCAATATCCTTCTCTGTCCATTCCTTGGTGGGCAGGCGCTGCAGAAACATCATGACTTCCTGAAAGTCCATGTTGACAAGTTTCGATGACCACTTGACCAGGAACGCGGCACAGACGTAGAGATGGAACTCGGAGAAGCCCTGCTCCTCAGCCTGCGAAGTGTTAGTGGATCATGCAAAGGACTGCTGAGAGCAGGTGTACGTACGAGATAGGTGTCCCACATGCGAATAACATTGCGGACGCTGACTTCTCGCATGAGCAGGCAGTTCATCCAGCGGAAGCTGAACTGAATGAACTCCACCCCCTCCTTCTCCAAATGGCGCGATAACTTGGAGTCGATGCGCGCCGTAAGATCCCTCAGGGCTGCAACTTGCCGTTGGATGCCGGGCTGGGCGACTATGTAATGGTCCTGGATCCCGTCCAACAGCTTCGTGAGACACCAGAAGGAGTCCGCCTCGACCGCGTCAAGCACAGTCTTCGGAAGCTGCCCGGGATCCATGCCCGACTCGATGTTGCTGTCTGAGATGTAGAGACCGAGGAACACCTGCCAGAAAGGTGTGACAAGATCGTTGATACCTTGAACATAACCACTGGCAGGGTGGCGGACGGCCCACAGGTACAATATGCGCTCCAGCGATCTCTGTGTCGCTTCGTAGCTGTATAGCTCGATATGCGGGTTTGTGCGAGGGACATCGATGCTGATCTGATGCCAAATAGCCTCGTCCAACCCCCTTGCCCGACCGGCCGTTGCGCCAGAGGTGGATCCTCGTTCGAAAGCCTGTCGGACACCGTCGAGGTACTCTTTGCGCTTTCTTTCCAGCGTCGCAACTCGCCTCTCACTGTTCGTGGGCAGATAGCTCAGGAGCAGCTGCCAGGTCATTGCGCGCACCTCCTCTGGCACTCCAGACCATGCTAATCCTCTCAGATCCGGCAGGGGTATCGTTGATGCTTGCAATAGCTTTTTGAACTTGTTGATCCGTGTGATACGCGAGCTGATCGCCTCCGCTTCCTTTGAGCTGGCATTGCTCGGTATCGGTGGGTAGCTGATGAGATGCAAAGCGTTGGCCGGATCTACCCATGGTCAGGGCCGGCTCTTGCTTCCAAATCGGCAGACTTACCTTTCAGGATATCCTTGTATTGAGGTCGCAAGATCTTGCCCTCACTCTTCTTGGGCATCGGATAGGAAGGCGCTGGTCGCTCGATAGCGATATCGGCACTATTCGAGTATCGCCGCTCCTGCGTGTTCAAAGTAGAAGCCATCGCTGCGGGCGCGAGTGTCGTCGAATCTTGCCCTTTGCGCTGTGACTCTCTCCGCCGCGTTCTTCTCTTCATGCTTGAGATGCTTGGCAGCCCAAAGTCGTCCCCATCATCGTCGTCATAACCCATCATTTCGTCTTCGTCCGCTTTCCAGTCGTCGTTTGTATTAGAAAGAAAGTTTATATAGTTTTTATAAGGGGGCGAAGTCGTGCCGCCAGAGGCTCTTGGCGGAGGCGACGCATCATTGAACCGATACTTGGAGTTCGAGGCGCCAGATGGTGGTGTGTCGGGGCGGGAGTTTGTTCGCGAAAGGCTCCTGGGGGGCGATGGTCAGTATCGTGGCTTCCATGGTGGCTCTGAGATTGCACATACAGCGAGTCGAGCTTTAGAATATCGGCATGGGAGTAGGCAGCGCCAATCACCAGGTTCTCGCGACCTGATCCCACGGGTGTTGTCACGCTTCGCTTTGCAGTATCTCGAGGAGGCGGTCTCCAGAACGGCGAGCTAGACAAGATCAGAACCATCCTACTTGAGACCGCAATCGTAAATTCAGACATACTCAGATCTTTCTGCAAAATGACAAAAACTCTCGGTTAGTCTCTCCGCCATGTATTTGATCGCAGGGGTGCAACTTCATCATACCGACTTGAATCATCTCCTGCGGCAGTGGGGCAGTCAGTACCGATCGCCATTACGTCGTTTGAGGTTGGGTAAACTCACTGACTGCGCAGGCTTCTTGCTGCTGCTGCCGCCGGAAGAAGACCACATCGTCGGAGAGATATTGAATGTAGTCTGCGGCGCAGTAATATCACATCCTCAAAGTTGGTGGACGAGCGCGAGGCTATGCTGGAGCCTCGGACTCGACTGGCTGCGTGCGTGGGACGAGTCTTGTTGGATGGAGATGAGGAATGGCATTGGCAAGGTGAGGAACGGTACCAGGTACCTTGGGTTGGTTGCGGCGCTGGAAGCCCAAACTTGGGGCAGTTAGCGTGGTATTGCAGGCACTGAATGCACTAAGGAAGGTGCGACCGTGCGGCTCACGCTCTTGCCAGTCGGCATATAGAAACGAGATGTCATTGGCCAAAATTGCTGAGTAAGCAAACGGGCAGAGCAGAACGCGCGCGCAGGCGCGCGCAGGTGCGCTCCTCCCAAATCTAACTTGGGCTTGCGGGAACAACATCCCCAAGCAACCTCGCAACCACTCGATGTACATCCAATCCTCTGCACCTTCCGTCTTTCTTTTCCTCAATCATCATCGACACGCTATTCTGTAATTATAAACGAGATACTAACCGATCCGACCCTTTGTGCTTCGCAGCGAAATTCGTAGCATCATGGCTGACCAGGACAACTTCGAGGAGGATCTTTTCGCAGACCTGTACGTTCATTACGCGGGTGTGCAACCACTTGGCTTGGCCCTCGTACCATGTCCAGACAGCTGACATGCCCACAGCTACGACGACAACGACGCATCCAAGCCAGCGCCTACTACGACGAGCGGGAGCGTCGCTGAATCGGCCCCTGCTGCTGCCGCTCAGGATAACGGGGCTGCTGGAGCCGAGGATGCGAACAATGACCAGGAGGAAGACGATGACGACGACGACGACGATGTCGACTTCAACCTAGGCGGACCCTCGACAGGGATGAGCAGTAACACTGCGGCCGCTGAGACCGTCTCTCATAGTATGTCAGAGACGCGCGATTCTCATGATGTATACGGGGCCCAAGATGGCGGACAAAGTGCGCAAACTCCCACATTCGGATCCGTACACAAGGCAAGTGCCAAAGACGATGGGTAAGTCGAAATTCTGTGTTATAACTTGCATACGTATCTTTGCTTTGCTCTTGGACAATTCTGGAAGAGCGACGGAAAAAAAAAACAAGAACATCAAGACCACGTGGTTCTCGTCGGTGGTTGCACAAGGGCACTGAAAGCTAGCATGAATCCTGCGGCGCGGGCTCGAGTTTCACCAGGCATATGAAGAGAAATGCCAGCGGAAGAATGGCGATCCGCAGGCGTGGAACAAGAACTTCTGGGTGGTCGAATGCCAATATCAAGGCGCCAATGACGGAGTCACACCCCTGGATGTGAGAAGCATCTGCGCCATGAACAAGGAAGAATTGTGTCTCCTCGATTGTTGTCGAACACACAGTAATTGTCAATTATGGCGTGGATCAGTCAAAAGATGGCGGGCACTTGCGGTCTAGACACCAACACGTGGCGAGCTGGCAGACGAGTCCCAGCGAGTACTTTAGTACTTGAGCTAGATCCTAGCCAGAGGCAGACAGAGAGACAGTCGACCCGATAGCACCATACGAGAAAGAGAACACAGAGTTGGCCGATAAATGGTACCTCGACACGTTCGCGACGTTCTCTTGACTGCCATCTATGTGCGTCGGATGTCCCACTCTCAACAAGATACTCGGACATGTTGGGCCCGTACGATTCGACACAACAACTACACACGTGGGCGATGCTGCTTGGGAGGGCTATAGTCGTCTTCAGCCATACATCGACCGGCCTTGTGGATCTCGAGGAGCAGGTGAAACAGACACTGCTCTATGTGGCCGCCTCACGCCGTCACTTTGAGGTGTGCATTATACAGCCTTGTGGATGTTGCCCCCTATCTTTCTCACATAAGGGGCGGCTCACAGCCAGCCACGGAGCCCTACCAAAGAATAACGACATGCGGCGGGGAGAGCACTCACCATCTGGCACGCCTCAAGTTGTTGCCTCGCCTTCTTCCGCCATCCTGATCTTGTCCTATCCCAACGAGTTGCATTTTGCGCATATTTGATTTTTGCTGGTAAACACGGTGAATAGTAACTAATGCTTTGCGCGCAGAAAGATGTTCATTGGCGGCCTTAACTGGGAGACCACAGATGGTACGTTGAAAGAACATGGCAGGCTTGTGTGGAGTCTCTGCGAAACTGACACCCCTTAGAGTCTCTTCGCGAATACTTTGAACAATTCGGCGAGGTCGTTGAATGCACAGTCATGCGCGACAGCGCCACTGGTCGCTCAAGGGGCTTCGGGTTCTTGACATTCAAAGAGGCCAAAACCGTCAACACAGTCATGGTCAAAGAGCACTTCCTAGATGGCAAGATTGTATGTGACATTCCCCATTTCACAGGTCAGAAGGCTAATGCACTGGATAGATCGACCCCAAGCGCGCTATTCCCCGCGATGAGCAAGAGAAGACTAGCAAGATCTTTGTGGGAGGCGTCAGTCAGGAAACCACCGACCAGGAGTTCAAGGACTACTTTGCTCAATTTGGCCGCGTAGTTGACGCCACTCTGATGATGGACAAGGACACTGGTCGACCTCGTGGATTCGGCTTCGTGACATTTGAAAGCGAGGCGGGCGTCGACGCTTGTATCAATGTGCCGCTGGAGATTCACGGCAAGCCCATTGAAGTGAAGAAGGCGCAGCCGCGCGGTAACCTTCGGGAGGAAGAGGAGGCACAGAAGCGCATGAAGTTCCAAGGCCGAGGGGGCGATCAAGGCCAGGGCAACATGGGACAAGGCATGCAAAATGGCATGACACCCCAGCTCATGGCGCAGTACTTTCAGCGCATGAACCAGTACTTCCAGATGATGCAGTCGCAGATGGCTATGCGAGGTGGCATGGGCCAGATGAACCCCCAGATGATGCAGCAAATGATGCAGATGCAACAGATGCAGCAGATGATGGGCCGCGGCGGCGGCGCCGGTGGTGGCGTCGGAGGCCAGCAGCAAATGAACCCTCAGATGATGCAACAGATGCAACAAATGCAGCAGATGCAGCAGCAGATGATGAACCAGCAAGGCGGTGGTGAAGGTCAGGGCGGGAACATGGGAGGCGGCGGCTTCAACCAAGGCTTCCAGCAACCTCAGCAGGGCGGTGGCTTCCACGGCGGAGGTGGCGCTCGACGAGGTGGACGTGGAGGTTACGGCGGCGGGTACGGAGGCGGAGGTGCTGGCCAGCAGCAGGGAGGCTCGCAGAGCTCATATGAGGGCATGTACGATGATCATCCTCAGCCAGCGGGAGGCAACGCGCCGCCCGCGAATGCGCCCACCGGCCCGAAGAACGCAGGTCGCCCTGGCGCCAACTACCGCGGAGGCGGCCGTGGAGGCAACCGCGGGTTTCATCCGTATGCGAGGTAGAGAGCGTGAGTGGATGAAGGGCAGTGATTGTGCGACTTTGGGACATGTGGAGGACCCCTTTGATGCCGGGAGGAGTCGCGCTATCACCGGGAGCCCGAGGGGCAGCGCGAAGAGGATCATGATCATCATCAAATGGGCGGGCAATCTAGCAGACCATGAACGGTTGAAGGTGTACGACAAGTCAGGGAGGGTACTTTAACATACCTTTGCTTGCGAATAGCCCTGGAACCCTCTAACTAGCCTCCCAGGGCTTCTATCAGAGGTTTACTTATACATGTAATTTAAACAACCATGCAATTCTTGTTCAGCCGAAAGTACAACAGTGCCTTTACTACTTACAGGTAGGCCTCCCCATCAAGTGATATGGGCACATCAAGAAAATACGGAACTTGGCTTCTCTTGTGGCGGTGGCTGGTGAGCACGTCACAACGTTTGGAGCGTTGACGACGACACCACAGCGAGGACACATTGTGTCTCTTGGACTGCCTCTAGACAAATATCCCTGCTGGAGTATATAGTTAGTACCTTAGATATTAACTTCTTCTGCTACGAGCTTGACAGTCACGTGACCATCTCTGGGCGCAGCTCTCGACGATCCAGGATGACGACATGAATAAGGGTTGCGAGCTCCAGCCAGGAAGCTGGCGCAGTTCCTACGTAAGTTTTGTGGCAAGAGAAAACTTGCATCGTGGCTTGCTACTACGCAACTACGCATGTGATGCGCTGGGCACCGTGAAGCTTTCTCTATCCATTATCCGTACTGTGAATCGAATGGACAACCTGGAAATAATACGATGCAATGTCAAGTGCTGAAGTTGAGCGCGTTCGTGTCGTGTCGCGCGTACTCCAGTCCCCTGCAATTAGAAAGGGGTCGGCTACCTGACCCACTATCGGTCCTGTGCGTGGGGCTAGTGACGTGATGTTAGTGCAAAGGTATAACCTGCTTGGGACGTTAATCTCCCAGTCAGCTCATCCAAGCGCGATACCTGCACCACTTCGCTTCAGTCGCAAGCTCCGGTCCCCTACTCTGATACGGCCCCATTGCTGCCGATTAACCTGCTTGCGCCCAGCGTAGCCATCACCTCACCTTCCATCACCACTCTCTTCTCCGTGGAATTCCCTGCATTACCTCCTCTCCCCATCCCTAGAAGTCCACTGCGGTAAAAAGCACCCGCTTCGATCGATAAGACCACCATGACCTCTCCAGCTTCAGCAGCCGGCAAGCGCAAGCGCACTGCTGCTGCGTCCACCACCGATCTGCCCTCAGCTGCGCAAGCCGTCGACAGCACAGCCGACCGGTCCCACGACGAGAACGAGAACGAGATAAATGTCAATGCCGGCCCCGAGTCCACTCCCACACCTAAAAGGCAAAAGTCAGACCGCGACGACGACAACAACGATGAAGAGCGCGCCGGTCGCAGCAAGACGCGCGAGGCGATGCCTCCGCCGCCGATTGGCACTCTGACGCATCCCGTCGGAGGGTACAAGACCAACCAGCCGCCCGTGGGAAGGCCGGTGCGCGTCTATGCGGATGGCGTCTTCGACATGTTCCATCTAGGGTGAGAAATGACCCCGAGTTGCGCTGGATGGGGACGGTAGACTGACCAAGAGGCAGCCACATGCGCCAGCTCGAGCAAGCCAAAAAGGCCTTTCCCAACACGACCCTCGTCGTTGGCGTCACCGGCGATGAGGAGACGCACAAGCGCAAGGGCCTCACGGTCATGTCCGCGCGCGAACGCTCCGAGACAGTGCGCCACTGCAAGTGGGTGGACGAGGTCATTGAAGACTGTCCCTGGATCGTCACGCCCGAGTTCCTGGAGGAGCACAAGCTCGACTATGTCGCGCACGACGACTTGCCCTACGGCGCCGCCGAGGGCGACGACATCTACCAGCCGATAAAGGAGGCGGGCATGTTCCTCGTCACGCAGCGCACAGAGGGTGTCAGCACGACTGGTCTCATCACGAGGTTTGTAGCATGTGGGCGTACAATAGACGGACATTGACCGTGGACAGGATCGTCCGCGACTACGAGAAGTACCTGGCCCGCCAGTTTAAGCGCGGCACGCCGCGCCAGGAGCTGAATGTCAGCTGGTTGAAGAAGAACGAGATGGACCTCAAGCGTCACGTCCAGGAGCTGCGCGAAAACATCACCAACAACTGGACGAGCACCGGTCAGGAGCTCAGCCGTGAACTGCGGCAATTCTGGCCAGCTAGCCGCCCCGCCAGTCCTGCGCGCTTTAACAGCAGCGGCTCCGTCAATGACGCTGCGCGGTCACCCACCGGCACCACGGGCGCCAACTCGAAGGAGTTCCTCACTGGCTACGCCGTCGGCCTGGCAGGTGGGGTTCGATCATGGGTATATCATCACCAACTGCACGTGTTGTCTTTGAGCAGAAGCTAATCCCCCCTAGATGACAAAGAACCGAAGGACAGTCGGCGATAGTCGCCCTGTCAGTGATGACGAGTCGGACGACAGCGATAGCCACGGCAACAGCAATGGTGCTGGATCCTCGGCCAAGGCCAAGTCCCCCAGCGACATCCATGAGCCGACGCCCGTCAGGCCATGAGTATTGCAAGATATCTAGAGGGTCTAGGGACGGTCGTGCCATGGCGTCCGCGAGGAGCCATGTTAATCGACTTGGCTGTGTCGAAAACGGTGAAAGCAGTGGCTCTGTGTGTGTGTTTATAGTAATGCATAGAGGCAGGCGGAAGGAATCCTTTACAACGGCGTTTCACGGATATGAACAATGGGATTAACTACGTTTGTCTACTCTCCGCTTTGGGGGCTGTTTCGATAGACTGCCGGACACATGGTTGCAACTTGTCGTACGGCCGCATTCACTAACGGGGCGGCCCGCGCCCAGGCACGACTGCGTTGGGGGCTATCGTAAGTTGCATGAACATTCTTGCCTCAATGCTCACTATGAGGGGCAGTGGTCTGTTCAAGACTCAAGTTAGCAGAGAAGCCTTGGCGAGTCCTGGCCTTGAAAGATGTGTCCTTGTTTCGGCTCTTTCGAGCGTCTGCTTGCCGTGTCCTCGCGCCATGCCACAGTCAGGAGCATTCTTGCCTGTTGTGGCCAATGCCGAGGAGGTGTACCGATTGCTGGCTGGCTTGGAGGATTTCACACGTTCCATGCAGCTACGTACAGCGTCACGATGATGGGCGTGAGGGGGCGTGTGAGTTCGAGCCTTTGCGATCCTTCGCGGTAGTATCATGCATCACCAGTCCAGGTTGTTTCAATTACTCCATCTTGCATGCTGTAGAATGCGTCTCGCATGTCTGACCAGATCAGATCTGGGCTTGCATCGGCCGTCATGGATGCAACGAGCTGCTTCCGAATTATCTACCGCGACATGCATGGATGGATGGACCGAAATAATCACGGCAATGACCACATCTGGCTACGCACGCAGCGTGCCATCCTGGCTCTCTGCGACGTGATTCAATACTTCTTATAATTATTATTTAGCGCGCACCGCAGACCGCCGCGGCTGATATGCGGTTCACCTTGCTAGGCGCTTGGCGGGCATTCGCGAGTTGCCAGTCTGGTGGTGCGTCGCGATTCCATCTGAGGCTGACAAGCGAGCGACCGAGTGAGCTGGCAGCTGCCCTATAATTATTAATTTCTACGGGCAGATTTGTGAGACCTCAGTCCAGCAAGAGAGACATGGAGATATTAGGATCTGCTAGACCAATTGGGCCAGGGCGTTCGTAGCGCCTCCGGGGAATCAAGTAGCCCCCGCGCCTCCGTCATATTTCACTTTTTAGCTGGGCTCATTGGCCGGGCTCGGCCGAAAGACTGTTGGCAACTTGGCAGACTCGTTTGGTGATAGGGCTCGCAAGGGAGGGTCAAGCTGCGGAAGGATGAGTGTTCCTTGTTGGACTGGGAGTTGGGATGATAATATGGCAGGGGCTGTCTTCCTAGTCACGATATTCACTGAACAGGCCAGGTATCCGTGGCCCCCAAGGATGGAGAGTCGCATTGCATGCGGGACTGGAAGTTGAGAGACGCCAATGTCGGGCATGTCCCAAGCCCACGGTGCCGCACATATGGCTGCTTGCCGGTTCGTGCCAAAAATAGCACCCTCAAGCGCAGGAAGCGCGATGCTGCGACGTTTGTCGACCATGATGGCGGACTCATGTCTCTGGCAAAGAAAAAAGAAAAGAAAGGGCTTCCAAGTAACGTCAGGAGGAAGCACTGGATGGGCAGCCGCTGACCGTGGCTTTTTGGGACCGACAAGCTGGCATTGCATCGCAAGGTATATTCCAACCCTTGCTATCCGTACAAGCCTGTCTGCCCGCCATGTCAAGTAGACGTAGCGATTGCCGGAGGTGGCATGTGAGTGGATTTAATTATTCGTTTGGTACCAGACACTGTCCAGGCGTCTAACACGCTCCAAAAGCTCTAACCCCTATAATTACGCACTGAATGGCGTACAGGGCAAGGTAAGGCAGAAACATGGAGTCAAAAGCCCGATCTACCCGGAAGAATGACAGTCATCCTGCACAAAAGTACTCGTTCAGCCCTGTGCTTGACCCCCGGGAGCAAACACCACCGTCACCTAAATTTCATGCTTATCCTTGGACCTTGACCAGCTTTTTCTCTGGTCGCTTTTCGCTCCACACGCACCTGTTCAGCCCCCGCTCATGTCATCGCTTGTCGCTTGCCGGCGTCTAATCATTGATTCTTGTTACCGCTGCTCCAACCTCCAGCCTGACTGGTGAGTCTTGTGTGACATTCTGCAGGTCAGATTTGTTGGTGCCGTCGGGGCCCGGGCGCTGTTGGCTCAGGCTCGTTCGTACGTGGGCCTCTCGGTACGAAGCGGCCAACCATGTACTTGACAGTTCACACAGCGACTCCATGCTCAGTCCCTTTTTTCAGTGTTGGTCGTCTCGCACATTGACTGATTGCCAGTAAATGCCTAGTGCCAGTGCGGGACAATGGGTCCAAGAGGCGGAAATTGAGATCACGTCTCTCCCTCTCGGCCGCTCTTTCCTTGCACGCGTCGGTTGGTACTTTCTGGTTCTGGGACTGGACAGGTGGGCAGTGAGGCGTGAACCAGGCAGGGTCGAGTTGACAAATAGAGCGAATGCCCGAATGCGGCAAAGCAGGAGGGACATGGACCTGTCACCCGGACGTGGAATTCACCGACACCTTGCGGTCCCTCTCTCTCCATCACCCGAAATCATTCGCCGAGTCGTTCCCCATCTTGTCCTTCTAGCCAGCAGCGAGAACCCACCAGAGGCTAAACAACGGTGCATGCGCCCTGCGTTGATCGCAGGGGGTCTACATATCAGATTCAACCCGTAGTGCTGATGCTGATTTGCACCGAACCAAGACTGCAGAGCTGCGGAGGCATCACCAACAAGTCCAGAGTGCCGGTGTCCTCCCCTGTGTGCGCGCCTGCGCAACGTTCCGCACAACAAGACCCAGGACGATGCCATGTCGCGAGGACTGGGGAGCATGACAGGGTTGCCATGTCGTCCATAACAACGTTTGAGCTGGGCACAGAGGACCGAACACCCGAGAACAAAGTTTCTACAAACGTAACTACTTTGCGGAGTACGATTACTCGATCTGCTAATCAATGGTCCCCTGCCCCTGTTTCCTTCCAAGAGATGCACGGGCTACAAACAGACGTGGAGCCTGCCGAAGCAATTCGCTGCCCCAGGCCAGGTCAGCCGTGTGGTTGTTGGCTGGCTCGTTGCGACCACCCAACACCATCAAATACCTCCATGCCCCTTATAATAGAAGGAAACTTGCCAATGACCTGTTGGCTCGCTTACTGTCGCCGGCAAGGCTGTGGATCTGCAGATGGAGCAGAGGCACAACCGCACAAGGCACACACACACACACGCTCCATCACCTCAACTAACCAACGTTGGACGATAACTGCGGGATGTCGTGTGCCAGCACACCACAAAGCTATTTCAAACTACCTACCTTGTTTCCACGCTGCCTACCTTACAGTCTTAGCTCATGGTCTTTCTTGCCAACCAACCGTGGGCCTGAATTGCAGCCTGTTGGCTGAGCCGCTCGGATCGGCCCATATACACGCACTTCACACCAACGACTGGGTCTCTACTGTTCTTTCCCCCCCTTCCTCGACACACCTCTGCTTCGGCGTCGCATCTCTATTTACATACATGATCCGCCAGTCCACATCGGCTATAGACGAGCATATCTGCGAAACCCAGGGTGGGGCTGTGCCGCTCTCGCTGCTATACTTGGTCTCTCTCCTGTTACCTCGACCCGTTTCTCGCGCGTGCGCGTCGAGCTTGTTTTAACAACAAACTTCCATTTTAATCCTCCATCATGGCCAGCCTAAGAGAGATCATGAATGCCGATGAAGACAGCCCGGACTCGGATTCCATAAAAAGGGGCCATCGCGCGGTGCAGGGGACTTTGGCAACAACCACCGACCCATTGCCTTCGACATCGACCTACGCCTCTCCCACCGGCACATCCTTTGACATCTTGTCTGCGCAAAGAACCCAGACGAAGAGCCCTTCAGGACCGTTGCCTCGACCGTCTGCGCCCAAGGCAGTATCATCGTCTCCCGTGTCGTCTGTGACGGGAAGTAGAAGCGGCAGCACCCACAGCTCCAGCAAACACCCAATGGATCCGTCATACTATGGCCATGGCCACGGCTACATGCAAGGCTCAGTTGAGACAGCTGCGGCACCCTCCAGGTCCTACGTGGAAAGTTCGGGCACCGAGGCCCCCGTGAAACTGACCCCCATTACTGGAAGAGTCAGTCGGGCCAAAAAGGGGGTCCCTGTGCACATTTGTGACATTTGTCAAAAAGTGAGAATCTCGGTGACAGGTTCCAATGTTTGTTGCTGACCTTTCCTGCAGACTTTCACCCGGGCTGAGCACTTGAGGTTGGTTATAGGACACTCGATTTCTTTCTGGCACAACTAACGCTAGATGCATCCAGGAGACACAAGCTCAGTCACTTACCCCCAGACATTGCGTGTACTGTGCCCGGCTGCGACAAGGTGTTTCATCGCCGAGACTTATTTGAACGTCACCAGCAACGACAGTATGAGTCTTCAACTCCTCGTGCGCAAGTGGACACGGCTGACTTCCCATCTACCCGCAGTGAGCAAGAAATCAAGATGGCTGGTGACTCCCTTCCAGGCCCGAACGCCAATGCCCCCTCGAGAGGCGGCAGCTACCTGTCACCAAACACCGCATCGCATAGCTACCCACCTGTCACGTCCACTATGGGCGGCTCGATGCCAGGGTACGCTGATGTGGCCATGGCTGAGGCCCCATGGGATTCCATGGGGGGTTCCGATCTGTATCCGAGCGCCAGCGGGCTTCGACCCGCTCCAGGGGATGCTGCCAATCACTACAGGATGAGCCCAATGTACCCAGGTGCCTATCCGTCGGTCAGCAACCACTGGGCAGGCTCGGATGTCTCGCCAGCGACGTCTGGCAGCAGCAGCAGCAGCAGCGGTGTCGTGGCCGATCCTGCACTGCTGCAGACATCAGGCCTCGGCGCATCCTGGACTGACCCTGTTGGACCGAACCCTGCCCTGGGATCCCCAAGCTACTACGCGTACACGACGTCGCCGCCGCAGGTCAGCTCGAGCACGGCCTACGACACAGCCATGGGCTTGGTCGTGCCCGACTACAACGAGGGTGGCGCCGTGCACTCGCCTGATGCTCTTTTGCACAACACTGTTCGTGAACCATCCCCACCACTGGCTGTGGCTCAATCATCTGAGACTTTAGTCACCATGCCGGCCGCGGTCCCGACGACGGCGCGAGTAACAGGCGGCCAGGGCACCGACGCCCCGGGCCTAGCGATGCCGTCTGCGCCGGTAGCGCCCACGAAGCTCGGGGAGGAGGTCCTTGGGGCGATTCCCACATATCTCGAGGTGTACTGGGACACGATACATCCTTTGTACCCCTTTATCCACAGGCATACGCTGGAGGAGAAGCTGGGCCAGCCTCCCGAGCATCTCGATCTTCTGCGACGCGCGATGGCTGCCGTCGCCACCCAGTTCCTCCAAGACAAGACTCATCGCATCAACGGAAGTTCTCTGCAAGCATCGGCTTGGCACGGGTCAAAGGTGGTGCGTAGCATGACTGGGGTGGCACCGGGAAGCGACACACATGCTGACGGGCAGTTAGTATACGGAAGCGGAGGAATGGCCATTACCTATCATGCAGACCATCTTGCTGTGTGAATACTACTCGAGATTCAGGGGGCGGAAGAAACAGTCGCACCGGCCATCGTTACGCTTCGCAAGGCTGTATCAAATGGTTTGTCTATCCCTGAGCCACGGGGAGCCGACCCATGAAGTTGTCTTATGCTCACGATCATATAGGTTGTCGATGGCCAGCAGGCAACCGTACCGACTGCGATTCGGGTGAACAGCCTCTCGTCTTGGTATCACTGGATCGATATGGAGTCCCGTCGACGACTACTCGACGTTTGCTTCCTGTTAGACGTCCACAGCATGTGCTACTACGAGCAGCCCGGTCTCCGACTTGCCGGTCTTGACTACAGCAACCCGTACAAGCTGCCAATACCACTGTCTGCGAGCTCGGTGAGACTCTGGGAGGCCACGGAGCGTCACGCGTGGAGCCATCTGGTGCCCTCCGCCGCGCCCTTGCAAACGATAGCCACGGCACTGTCAGTATCGATCACGGCGGAGGACATTGCCGCCATGCCTCAATTCGACGCGGCCATCCTGCTGTGTGCCTATCTGCTTGCCCTACCGAAGCGAAAGGAGCTCACCCAAGTGAGCACGACGGGTGACCTCAAGCTGACTGGGGCGCCCTATCTGCTGGCGACCATCTTCCCGACGTCGCACGTCGCCAACACATATCTCGCGCTGCACTATACGCCACTGCACATCCTGCTGTCGGTGTCGGGCGAGAGTTGGGTATTTAACAAGAAGATTGTGAAGCCGACACTCTTCTTGGAGAATCGGCGGACGCTGGAGGCCTGGCGCCAATCCAGCGACGGCACAATGGCCGTGAGTTTTGCCGCGCGTGCCATCGGCGCCTATCTCCAGGTGGATGACCCGCAGAGCGTGGCCGAGGCTGAATCGTTCGTCGAGCGCAGGCGCGGGTCGCCCTGGAACGACCTGTCCGACTTCTGGGGCCTCTACGTGTGCACGCTCATCTGCTGGGCCTACGGGCGAGGATGTAGGGCGAGCGACATGGACGCGAGCCGGAGGGCCGGGCTGCGGTGGATCTTGGAGGCGTCGCGGCGGGAGCCCGCGCAGTGGAGGGACTGGCGCGAGGCCGAGGACACGCTTGGGGTGGTGTGCCTGGTGAGGGATGTCCTGACCAGGGACTGCGTGGGCGGACGAAACATTTTGTTTGCCGACTCGGTGAGGGTGCTCCGGCGACTCGGTGGGTTGGATGCCGCCGAGTGGTCCGAGTAAGATAGGGCGAGAAGGCCGACGATGGACATGAGGGTATGATTTTAACGATGGGGCATGCATTCATGGGCAGCGCGATGAGGCGTTTCGGTTAGGGACATTTTGATCTGGGGGTTGAATATCTTCTAGACATACATCGCAGGTGCAATGCTTCCTTTTGCGGTAGATACAGTACAAATAAAAGGGGCTCGCATGCCATACGTTCTCGATAAGTACACTTATCAGGGGTGGTGCCGATAACTATGAGCCACTATGTACGAGGCCTCAAGGCTACACAGGGCTATACGGAAGGGTCTTTAACATTTCGCATAAGTATTGATATAAAACACTAAAGCATATGTAGCTAGGTTCCAGTCTGCTCCCCTTTGCGGAGCGAGTATTACGATACTCAGAGCGAGAATGCCAACTCTTGTTGGTGTTGGTGCCCCTCGCTTGGCTTGCGCAACACTTCAACCATACTCTGTATTAATATGTATGTGCGTACGTTGCCGCATGAGACGTGCCTCATCGACAGGTGACAATCAAAAGCCCATCGACGTATGACGTCGTACTCGATGACCGTGTTCCGCAATCTACAACATGTCTGGTGCCTTGCCCCGGGATCTTGGCGTTGGTATTATTAGTATGGGAGGAGGGCGGGGGCGAGCCTATATTTGTTGGAGAAGGGATGTCGTGTGAGGTCAGTGGGGAGGATGACTGCGTCTCGTTGGACTTGGCTTTTTGTCTGTGAGCAGTATCTGCTGCGTTTATCGACACTTGGTGCACCCATGCTTCGTGTCTCTGGACAGCTGTACGTATACTCCGTACAAGAGACCCAATGACGCAAGTACGTAGCATCAGGATGGCACAGACAAACCAGGCGAGGCTTTCGTGCCTCGGCCATGTCCATGATGGGATGGGGCCGGCCAACGATGGACATGAAGTCAAGAGACTGAATGTTGCAAGGTTACCGAGGACTGGGCTTGGCAGCCCCGAGAGAGAGGCCGCCAGGGGTTTGAAGGGCTGGGCTACTAAAAGGTACCTTACCTCACTACGTACTGCCATTGTTTCAATGAGGAAGGCCGGTCAGTCCAGCGTGAACAAACAGGCTGAATCGAATCGTGCTCTGATCTGAGGGATTAATAACTTGTAGCACTATGAAAGTTTGGGCTAATTACTACTTGCCTAGCTATCCGTAGTTCCGTAGAGGAGTGAGTAAAAGTACTTTTAGTAGTAGAGCTCTAGACTGGACCCGGGATCGAGATGCCGTGCCTAGACTTGCTTGGTGGACGTGGCCTATGGTGAAGCAATATCCGTACCAGTAATCTGTTGCAGGTACCTCTACCTAATTACCTTCCATACTCGTAGGCACTGGATGATAAGAAGACACATTGTCAGAGGCCCTGACTGGGGACAGGTAGTGGGCAAGGAGGCAATTATGTCCAGTGGCAGAGAGGAGGGACAAGCTCACAGTGTCGTGCCGTTCCTACAAGTACATCAGCTATTATTATTATTACCTCGCTCGCGTCGTGTCTGTCTCAACTGTTTCTTCTGGAACAAGCTCCCATTGCGGCTGACGGCTTCTGCAACGCGACCCTTGCCCACGCACGCACGCACGTCCTCTTCACTTCGCGGCGGCGGAAAAGAGGCTGGAAATTTTGTGGACAATCAGGGGTTCGCTGGCCGTTTCTTCATTTCATTTCATTCTCATGTGACAATTGTTCAACTCTATTCCAAGTTTACAACTTGCCCAGTGGTTTGAGATTACCAAATCTGCCTACTCGACCCCTATCGATCCCATCTGTTCTGCCGAAGACCTGCCCAACTCCGTACGTACAAACACACGCGACTGAACGATCGAGCAACCGAGGACGAGTTCAGGAGAGAGAACAAACAAACAGAAGAAAGGAGATCGCGTCGAGCTCGGATGATCATCGACCGTGCCGTGCAGTGCAGTGAGTTGCGTCCGAGATGGCTGGCGGTGCCCACCACGACCACGTCGTACCGGCATTCATCAGTTGGGATAGGGAGATCTGACATGCGATCAGCTCAACGCGACAATCACACCGGCCACCCGTCGTCGTCCTCCATCATCGCCACGCACGCACGCTCTCTTCTCGAACGAGACCAGTATCTGGTAGACACCATTGGAAGACGCTGACGCCGCATTGGAATGCTGGGCTCTCACGCTCTGTTGGACGTCCATTCCCGAGGTGTTTGCAGTACAGTGCTAGAGGCCTAGGCTTGGCTTATGGATTAGCGGCCTCCAGGACCCTCCAATTGACGGGACCTAGCGCTCCAGGCCGTTGAGGGACGACTGGATCCAGTCACCATCAGCTTCCATCCGCTACCACGGAGTCCGCACAGCACGGGACAGCGCCTGTGCAGTGACCCCCACTAGCGACGAACGGCCCCAGATCCACTGAAGCTCCAGTCCCCCAACTGCCAGTGCCACTGTCCAGTTGGCAGTTGCTGCGCCGTGACGCGTCCAGCGCATTGAGGGCAGTGCCAGCCGCTGCAGCAGCCTGGCACAGACGCAGGCGCAGACGCCTGGCAGACGCAGACGCACGCCCGGCCCAGCAGCCAGTGACGCCTGGCGGGCGGTCGATCGTCGCAGGTGCGCCGGCAAGGTAACGCAGTTTGGATACCTCAGACTGGAGGTGGTGCCCTCCATCTCATTGGGACTGGACTGGACTGGACTGGACGGCAGTAGCCAGAAGTGGTAAGGTATTGAGCTGCCTACTAAAGTACCTACCACCACCATGCAGCGCATCATACCAAACCGACTCCTCTCCTCATCCTCCTCCCTCCGCCGACCTACGCCTCAGTCTCGATCCTCCTCCTCGTCCTCCTCCGCCAACTCGAGCCCCCAGCAGTCCCAGCCTGCACGCAACGAACTATCCACCTCGCCCAGCGCGAGGAGCACCCTCTACAGGATGCGCAGCAACCGAGACTCTACTAGCCCAGCCAGGGACACGGGCAATGGCCTCGTCCTCAAGGTCGACATCCTCAAGGGTCGCAACCTCGCTGCCAAAGACCGGAATGGCAGCTCGGACCCATACCTCGTGCTGACCCTGGGCGATCGTCGTGCCGTCACACACACCGTTCCCAAATCGCTGAACCCCGAGTGGAACGTCGTCGAGGAGCTGCCGCTCACCTCCATCAACAGCCTGCTCCTCGACGTCGTCTGCTGGGACAAGGACCGCTTCGGCAAGGACTACATGGGCGAATTCGACCTGGCTCTCGAGGACATCTTTCACAATGGCCACACGGCCAAGGACGCCAAATGGTACCCGCTCAAGAGCAAGCGCCCTGGCAAGAAGACTGGCCTGGTCTCGGGCGAGATCCTGCTGCAGTTCACCCTCCTCGACACGTCCAATCCAGCCGCCACACCGGCCCAGATCTTCGACAAGTTCTATGCGCTCGTCAACAGCGTCCCCATCAACGCGACAGACTCCTCCGCTGCCGTCACCCCCTCACGGACACCCGTCCTCTCACCCACAATCCCACGCTCGACGCCAGCCCCCGCGGGGACAGCCCTGTCCAACAACGGCGCCATCGACGACGACGAGGACGAAGATGACGACGATGATGATGACGACGTGGACGACGAGACATCGGACGAAGTCGACGACCCCTCGAAACCCGACAATGCCGAGAAGCGCAGGAGGCGTCTGCGCGTCAAGGGGTTGAGGAGGAGAAAGAGGCGGGGCGCCTACGCCTTCACAAACGGCGAGCAGGACGTCGTCGGCGTGCTCTACCTCGAAATCGTCAAGATCACCGATCTGCCCCCGGAGAGCAACCTCACCCGCACCAGTTTCGACATGGACCCCTTTGTGGTGGCGTCTCTGGGACGGCAGACCTTCAAGACGAAGCGTGTCCGTCACAACCTCAATCCAGTCTTCAACGACAAGATGGTGTTCCACGTGCAGGGCCACGAGACGACGTATCAGCTCGCCTTCACCGTCATCGACCACGACAAGTACTCGGGCAACGATTTCATCGCCTCCTGCAGCCTGCCGATCCAGGAGATTATTGAGCAGGCGCCCGAGGCCAACCCCGAGACGGGGCTGTATGAGCTGAGGGACCCGGCTGAGTATTCACGGACCGCCTCGTCGGGCACCAAGCGCCGCTTGAAGAAGTTTGGCATGTCCCGGTCCTCCTCTACACAGAGCTTGACCAAGCTCATCCGCCCGGGTCTGAACAAGAGTACATCGGCCGCCAGCGGCATCTCACAGGTCTCGGCAGTGGACCAGGCCGCGGGCGCGAGTCGCAACGGTATGCTGGCGCCGCCTGAGCATGCTATTACGGCTCCAGCTGCCCTTGGTGCCGCGCCCACGTCGGCGCCGGCGCCCGAGCCAGCTGCCGAGACGCCAGGGGAGGCCGAGGGCGACGACTTTGCGAGCGTGACGATCCCTCTGCAGCTCAAGAACCTAGAGAAGTGGGAGGCCAAGCACAACCCTGCCATCTACCTACGGGCCAAGTACATGCCCTACCCAGCGCTCCGCCAGCAGTTCTGGCGCGCCCTGCTGCGGCAGTACGATACGGACGACAGCGGCCGCATCAGCAGGGTGGAGATGATGACGATGCTGGACACACTAGGCTCGACGCTCACAGAATCTACAATTGACAGCTTCTTCCAGAGGTTTCCGCACAAGGCGGCCGACAATGAGGACACCTGGGAACTCACGATGGACGAGGCGGTTCTCTGCCTCGAGGACCAGCTCAACGCCAAGTCGAAGCCGCCGACGGTGGGCGAGAAGCTGAAGCAGATTGTGCCGGACATGAAGAACCTGCAGCTACCAGATGGGGAAACGACGAGCGCCTCGGGCACGAGCACTCCGGCGGCTAGTGGCATCTCCCAGGGGGCGGTGCCGGAGATCACCAAGGTGGTGAGCGACGAGGGCGACCTCACGCTGGACAACGACCCGGCAGAGAATGGCGAAGAGCATGTCATCGAGATCAAGGAGTGCCCCATCTGCCACCAGCCGCGTCTGAACAAGCGCAGCGACGCCGACATTATCACGCACATTGCGACGTGCGCGAGCCAGGACTGGCGGCAGGTCAACACGGTGCTCATGAACGGCTTCGTCACCGCCAGCCAGGCGCAGCGCAAGTGGTACTCCAAGGTGATCACGAAGCTGTCCTACGGCGGTTACAAACTGGGCGCCAACTCGGCCAATATTCTCGTCCAGGACCGCCTGACGGGCCAGATCAACGAGGAAAAGATGAGCGTCTACGTCCGGATGGGCATCCGGATGCTGTACAAGGGCCTCAAGTCGCGCGACATGGAGAACAAGAGCATCCGCCGGGTGCTGAAGAACCTGAGCATCAAGCAGGGCCGCAAATTCGACGACCCAGCCTCGAGGGATGAGATTGAAAAGTTCATCCACTTCCACCGCCTCGACACGAGCGAGGTGCTTCTGGGCCTGGACGAGTTCAAGAACTTCAACGAATTCTTCTATCGCGCGCTCAAGCCGGGGGCCAGGCCCTGCTCCGCGCCCGACAACCCCAAGATCATCGTCTCGCCCGCCGACTGCCGCAGCGTCGTGTTCAACCAGATCAACCAGGCCACCAAGATCTGGGTCAAGGGGCGCGAGTTCAGCATCAAGCGGCTGCTCGGCAAGGCGTACCCGGAGGACGTGCAGCGGTACGACGGCGGTGCCATGGGTATCTTCCGCCTGGCGCCGCAGGACTACCACCGCTTCCACATCCCCGTCGACGGCATCATGGGCGAGCCTAAGACGATCGAGGGCGAGTACTACACAGTCAACCCCATGGCCATCCGGTCGGCCCTGGACGTCTACGGCGAGAACGTCCGCATCCTCGTGCCCGTGGACAGCCCCGTGTTCGGGCGCGTCATGATCATCTGCGTCGGCGCCATGATGGTCGGCAGCACCGTCATCACCCGCAAGGAGGGCGAGGAGGTGAAGCGCGCCGAGGAGCTGGGCTACTTCAAGTTTGGCGGCAGCACGCTGCTCGTGCTGTTTGAGCCGGGCAAGATGAAGTTTGACGACGATCTGGTCGACAACTCCAACGGCGCCCTCGAGACATTGGTAAGTGCAAGAATGCACTGGCGGATCCTATTATGGGTGGCTCCTATTATGGGTGGCTAACACTTCCAGATTCGCGTGGGCATGTCCATTGGCCACTCGCCCGACGAACCGCAGCACACGCCCGACATGCGCAAGAACGACCAGGAGATCACCGAGGAGGAGAAGCGGATGGCCGCGCGCCGCATCCAGGGCAGCGTGGCGACGGGCGACTCGCCGGACGACAGCGGCGAAGATGCCTCTCGACCCAAGCGGAAGCTGGGCAAGGCGCCGACGATGAACACGCTGGCGGCGTCGGCGATGTAGGGGGGGTTTGGTTGGGTGGAGGAGAGAAAGACTCTTTTGTTGTTTTTTACTGTTTTGTTTTTTTAGAGAGCATGGCATGCAACTACTACTACTACTACACATGGATAGAAGAGCAACGGCGGAGGCCTACAGGAGCGCATGGCCTATCTTGATTTACATTTGCTACGTACGCATGGGCGTACTGTTGGACTGTTCATTGTCCAGGTGTCTATCTTTTGAACCAACCTATCATTACGTGGAACATGGCGCGCGGAGAGGAGAGCATATGAATGAATTGACGAATTGCATGATTGAGCAATTGAATGAAAGCTGAAGAAGTATTGAGGGTATGATGCTCCAATCCAACGCCAAAAACGCCCGTGTGTTGTCCTGTCATATCACGTAGCCTGCTGCCATCCTCCTCCTCGACGACGACGATCAACGGGCCCAGGGGTTGTTGGACTCTCGCTTTGCCTCGAAACTGCGGTTGGAACTTGAACTCGAACTCGAGCTTGACCGTCTGGGCTCCATGGCTGCTGGTCCAGTGGCTGTTGCTGCTGATGATGAGGAGGCGGTTTCGGGTTGTTGGCGTTGCTGGCGCAGGGACGAGAGGGACGAGTGGATTTGCTTGCAGAGGTGCAATGTGAGGGTATGGGAGGGCGCCATTGGGGAGATGGTGGTGAGCGTCTTGTGCGTGCTCGCGTGATGCTTTGATGCTTGCAAGATGTTGCGTATAAGTGTGTCCCGAGTCTGGTGGGGCCGAGCGAGTCTGGGCTGAGATGGAGGCAGAATTGCTAGTAATTATGATGGGAGCTAGTCTGGTATTGACTCAGTAAATAAGGTACTGGGTGTATATGTATTATATGAGAGTATTCATTCAAGAAAGGGAGAGAGGAACGGAACGGATAGGGGCGGCAGAGGGGGAGGGCGTCGAGTGGGCTGATGTTATATCGCCAGACATGATGTGATCTGTTCCGTATTATGAGCCCAGCCAGCCAGTGCCTTTCCGAGCAATACACCCCACCAATCGCAGCGAGCGGGGACGAGGCATGAATTGTTCCCTAATGAGGGACATGGAGCTCAAAGGGCCAGTCTTACTCGTTGGGGGCGTCGTGGAGTTGGGGAGCGCTGGGTTGGTTGGCGGCGGCTGGGTCGGCTGGAAGGTCGATCGATGGAGGATTTGTCGGAGCCTGAAGATGATTCTATTCATACATCCATTCATGCATTCATGTGCGCACGACCACAGACGCCTTCTAGAACAAGGACCCTCCTCCAATGGCGACGGCGGCATTACACACAGCCAAGCATGGAGAATGCAATTCATTAGAGCCAGCTAAATCTAGGTATCAAAAGATCAAGCAGAGTGATTAAACAAGAACACGTCAAGCATACGCCTTGGCTACTGTCAAGGGTTCCACGTCCCGACTCGAGAACGCAGCGTGACCGACCTTGCCCTCGGTCACCACGCCCCACGTCAACGGCAGAGCAGCAATGTCTGCCCCCTCGGCAGCAGAGCGATGACACCGCGAGCTGATGACTGCTGAGCACGAGCCGCCCTTGAGCGACAGCGGGTTCCCGGGTCGACGACCTTCGTCGCTTGCCGGCCCAATGTCCGACCTCCTGAGCGACAGGCCCAGGACCATGACGGCCGTGACAGCCAGGAGGCCAATGAGGACCACCAGCGGCAGGGGGTTGAGACTGATCGAGGGCGTCGAGTCCAAGGCCGCCAGATGGAAGGACTGGCTCAACATGAAGCCCTTGGCCACAAAGAGCAGGAAGAGCACCCACGACAGCGGCCGTGGCAGGGACAGGTAGTACGACGTCGTCTGCGCGCCCAGCGGCTGGCCAGACGAGATGCGCAGGGCGCAAAAGTTGCCCGGGATCGCAAACTGCGAAAACTCCCGGGCGAGGTAGAACACTGTCAGGATGGCATTCGTCGAGAAGTAGAGGGCCGCCAGCAGGAGTTGCGGCAGCGCCAGCACCATGGACTCCCCGAGACGTGGGATCGACAGCGGCAGGGCGTATGTCACCGTCGGCTTGGTGAAGGACCCAAACGCGTTCCTCGGTCCGTCCACGAGAGCCATGCCCAGCATCGCCCCAGCCATGCCTGTGGGCAGAAGCCAGGTCACAAACCACCCTACCCATCGCACCTTGGACGGCACCGCAATCCACCGGTGCGTCTGCGAGAACCAGTACCGCGCCTCGCCGCAGCCCCAGCGCCCAGACGTGATGTCCGCCTTGGTGACGAGGCATGCGCCCTCTGTAGCCTGGTCTGCCTCCGTGATGAAGGAGGCAATGGCGTCGCCGACGGTCACGAGCGGGTTGTTGGACGCCGGTCGGGCGAGTGCTGCCGCCAGCCCCAGGATGAAGACAAGGTTGAGGATGGCCACGGCGCCTAGCAGAGCGCCATTCACCATGAGCTCGCAAGAGGCTCCGTCGTCGTTTCGAGTCGTAAAGAGGATGGAGTTGTAGCTGTGGCCGGGTCAGTCATCGCTCATGGGTTTGTCATGAAAAGGGGCTTCGGTACGCACACAACTTGCGCGCCAACGGCCATGACAATAATCAGGGCCGACAGCAGAGCTCGACCCGCTGAAATAGCTTTCAAGTTCCTCACCGAGGGGATGCCGATATCCAGCGCCTTTTGCTTGCTGTGCGCTGTCGCCACCTCGGTCCGTGTCGGGCTGACCAGCACCTGGCCAACGTAGTTGGCGCACACAATGAAAAAGACAGCAAACACGTTCAGCAGCACGTGTAACCCGATATCAATCGAGCTAACCCGGCTACAGGTCCCCTGCACCATCATCGTAGGCTCCGCCTCCAGCCGCCCCGTGGTGACGGCAACGACGACACACACAATCGCCGCCACGAGGATCGCGAATGCGAGCGACATGTTGAGCACGATGCCACCCCTCCATCCGGACATGAACCTCTTGAGGAAACTCCCCTTCGGCCCGTTGCCCAGCATGTCCTCCAAGTTGGCTCTCGATCCCATGCGCGAATGCGTGGGGAAGAACTCGCCCCCCTGTTGTGAGTGCTGGTTCCTCGTGTGCCCCGTCTCCGCGCCACGAATGCCGCCCTCGCGCTCGTGCTGCTTTCGGGCGAGTGACTCCGGGGTCTCGCCCCTCATGAAATTCACCACATAGTCCGGGATGATGTCGCTCCCCAGGACGCTCGACGCAGGACGAAGGTTGATCCATCCGCTGCTCCTCCTCAGGAAGCTCGTACTGCGCGAGTTTTGTGCAGAGTGCTGTGTGGATTGTTGCGTCGAGTGTTGTGTCGAGTGTTGCGTCGAGTGCTGCGTCGAGTGGCGATGGGAAGAACCAGCCATGGACTGGGCGATAAACGGCCACCCAAATGCCGGTTTGTTAGACGAAGCCGTCGTCACATTCCGAGTCGGGGGCGGGCTTTCCTCGCCCGGGATCTCGGGTATACTCTCAATCGTCGTCGAACCGTTCCTGGGATGCCTGTAGGAGGACGATCCCGCCCTGTGCCTCCCGTTGTTGAACACGCGCATCTTCCCCGTTGCTGGGCCCTAGGCTAGGGCGTTGTCTCTTGTTGTCAGAGTGTAATGAATGTGGCTGTTGTATGAGAATCGAATCGTCAAGCTGCCAGCTCACAGGATCGTCGTGAACGAGCGAGTAAGAATGGCAAGAAACGAAGGAGGGTGTGGACCGACCAAGCAGTACCTGCACGAAAGAAAGAGTGACTGTGAATCGAAAGAAACGAATGAATGACAACGAAGCAACCGCAAATAGCCCAGGCCAGCGTCCGATACGAGGAGGGGAGAGAGAGAGCCTCGCTCTCTGACTGGTGGCCATGGCATGAATATGTATGTACGTACGAGCATGAAGAGCCAGCCAGGTGTGTCGTTTTCGTTGGCCAGGGGTGGACGACTAGGGACGCATGGCGGATGACAGGGGAAGGCCATGCGTTACAGAAATGGCCGTCTCTGCTTTCTGCTGGGGCCCGAGACTCATAGTGAGACTTGGGAGTCTACACCAACAAACATACTGGCGCCCGACGGGCTGGACAGCATCATGACCAAGCACAGTCGCCTGAGAAGAGTGAACTCAGAGTCAGAGCTGGGCTCAGCATCAACTCCCGAGCGACATTGTGCCGCCTCTCACGCAATTCATGAGTTCCAGACTGCTCGACGTTGCCCAGTAAATCGGACATGAGAGGAGGACGAGGAGGACTCGGCAGTGGACGAGAGTCAGTGGTTGCACGAATTCAGCCCACCGACCAGGGTTGTCGTTTCATATCGCGGGTCCGACGCCAAGGTTCATTAACCTTCGGCAGTGTAGCAATTTCCTCTCGCTTGTCCGTCCAACCCACCCTGGCGATGCGATTGGTAACGCTTCTTGTGCAGATGGCTGAAATGGTAGAATCGTGGACCTAAATAAAGGTGATTGACGATCGTGGCGGGTGACGCTGTGCCCGGGTTTGGTTATTCTTATAATTAGTAGTTACGTAGTACCCATTGCTGTACGCCGTAACTTGCTCTGCAATGCGTATCATCCATGCATGCATGCGACATGCTCGGTGCCCCCCACTGGTGCCATTGTTTCAACAGTCTAGTCGCTTACACACCTCTCAGCCTCTGGCCGCCGCCCAGCGCCTGGAAGCCAGGTTGTGAATGCGGGTGCTTCGCAAGTCGCCTTCGGAGATTTCCAAGGATGGCTCGGGAGAGGTGCGGGAGATGCGCGCAGGCTTATTAACCTAGATTGGTGACAGGCGCATGGTCGAGACAATGATGATCTCTAAGCAACATGGAGCATGTGAGGGGAAAGTCACGCTCAACAGAGGCGGGGTGGGAAAGGGAAGATGATGTACAATAAGAGAGGAAAGAGAAAACTCGGGATGGATGCACAGCACCTTCCGTGGCGGCATCGAGACATCGCGTCCCAATACGCAGCATGACTTACCCTAGACTACACGTCCAGGTTCGTCAACCCATATTAGATGTCCATTGCATCAACCACAATTGGCCAGGTTGCATATCAGCACTTAGACACAAAACTGTTGTTTGTTATTTCCATGGGTCTCATGAAGTCTTGACCCAGGCCCAAACGCCGTACATGAAACGTCGTAACGCTCGCCTCAATCCAAAATCCCATGGAAAACGAATGATATATATCCTTACCAACCCTGCGGACGCCAAAACAAAAGCGCCGGCCCAAGGTTGTACACCATGCTTCGCTCCTCTCGGCAGTGGCTCGATGAATCAATGAATCAATCAGCGACAGCGCTCTCGTCCGCCTGCTGCTCCTTGCCCTCGGACGACACACTAATGTTCGCGCGAGCCTTCTTCTGCGACTCCACGAACCGGTCATAGTGCTCGGGGTCAGCCTCCTTCATGCACCGCAGAACCATCTCCCGATCCTCCTTGAACACCCGCGTTGGCCCCTTCTCTTTCACTGCTTCCAGCAGCTCTCCGCCAATATCATCGGCCAGGCCAGTGAGGAGCTGGACATGCTTGGGGTCGGAGCCAATGTCGTCAATGGTGGTTAGGAGATCAACTTGCTCCTTTGTGAAGAACCCTGATCGGAAGCGATGGCCAGCGCGAAGGACGCGACCTTCCTCCTCTGCCAGCAGCTTGGACAACACCGAGCTGGAGCGCGACAGGGCCTTGGCTGGGCGTATCTTCGAATCATCCTCGCCATCCGAGATGGCAGTAGTGTCGTCGCCGGGAGGCGTCGTAGATAGATCTTCCATGCGCACGTGAAGCTGAGGCGGCGGGGTATCTGTGCCAGGCACACCACCCTCCCTCGTGTCGGGGTACTCGTCTTCGAACCGCTTGATGATGCCCTTGAGCGTGTCATCCAGGAACATGAGCTTGCGGAGATTCACCTCGTCTGCCGGGTTGGTCTTAGCCTTGGCAAGCGCGGGCTGAATACGCAGGCGGATCTTGCGGGCTCCGGCCAGGAGATGTTTGGACATGTCTTTGGCTTTCCCGGCGGTTGCCAGTTTTGTGGCGGCATTGTCGCCGTTCGCATCGCGTACAAACTCGCCCGATGGTCGGCGAGAATCGTCACCCCGGTTCTTCAAGCAGCAAGCCAAGGCCTTCACAACGCCGGTACCGCCAATGACGTAGTCTTCATCCGGCGCGGGTTCCTCGTCGGTGTCCATGTTCTCAGAGTCGAGCACATCGTGGCCGACCAGGTGGGCCAAAACGTCTGGATAGCCTGGTGGAGATTTGGGTTTGGCACCATCCTCTGTCTGCGCTTCACCAAGCGCAGCCGCAACAGCTGCGCCAATGTCGGGGTCGTGAATGCGCTCCATGTTGCGCAGACAGTAAGCGACCACTTGCTTCGCCATGGCCTTGACGATCTCGCCTGACCCCTCGCTAGGCACTTCAATGTCAATGCAGATCAGGCTCTTGGAGAGCCTCGCAGCAGCCATCAACGATGCATGGAGTGCGCACGCCTCTTCTTGATCTGCCTCCGACCGTGCGTCTGCAAGCTTCACTAGGTCTGCATTCTCCAAGAGGTTGATGTGGGCCAGGGAGGGCACCTCGGGCAGGATCTCAATGAGTGCAATGGCCTGCTCGGCGTTCATCCCCACGTCCTGTAGATGAATGCGCTTCAAAGGTTTCATCTTGGGAAGATTCCTGCACAAGGGGTTAGTCCACACTTCGCAAGCGAGACGTCGAGAAACTTACTTTCTTAATAACGCCAGAGATCTCTGTTCCGTTTGGCCGGGCGGGAAGAGGTCATGATTGTGTGATAGATCAATAAATCGGAAGTTTTCGAGTTTCGTCAGGACCGGGAGAATCGTGCCAAGCGCGACGTAGTCGAGGTTGCACGCCGAGAGACTGAGTGCCCACAAGGGATCAGTCTCTCTGAGGTGTTCCGCAATCTGACCTATGTGGTCACGCAAGTCGTTGCCGCCGAGATCGAGGCCCACACACTTTCCAGAGGCTAGGAACTTGTTCACGTGGGCGACCCCTTGCGCATCAAGCTGGTTGTTGGCCAGGCCTAGGCGCGAGACACCGCACTTGATCACGCCGTCAATGATCGTGCCCAACTGGTCCATGGCCGGGAGTGTCTCGCCCAGGTTGAGCAGTTCCAAGGTTGATCCGCCAAGGCGATCCGTCAACGCCGTTGCGAAAATCTCGGCAATACCTTGAGGGACAGACACGCCGTTGGGGAGGGCGCCTTTGCTTTGGCAAGCTGCTTGCCGAGGGAATTGGACCCGGGACACGTCGAGGTGCTTGATCGACCGGCAGTGGTACAAGAAGAGAGAAATGTGTTTCCAGCCATCCGGACCAATCTTGTTGTTCTTGATGACCAGGCGCTCAATGACACCACCTTTTCCCTCAGACTCGTGCTTGGCTTTTCTGCGCTTTGGGTCAGGGCGACGGGCTGCTAAGAGCCCCGCCAGTACCATTCTCAAACCCTCGTCGTTCAGGTTACAGTCCTCAAGGATCAGCTCTATCACCGGGACAACCGCCAGATAATCACCCAGGGTTGTAATGTCCACGCTCTGGAGATAATACCCGGTGAGGTCCAGTTTGCCCACCACCCCTGTGGCCTCTGACGAATTGGTAGGATCGAGTAGCTGCTCCGTGACCTTTTTGAGGATCGGAGTCTCCCGTAGCTGGCAGCATCTGCGGTAAATCCGTACGGGATTGATGGTCGGAAAGTGTTGTGTTTTGGGGCTGTGTGAAGTGTCGTTACTGTCGCTGGAGTCGCTGCTGTATCGAATCTCCATAGGAATCGTGCCGTTCGCCTCAGCCAGCTTTCGCTTCTTCTCCTTCCTTGCCTTCCTTTCCTCCTCGCTCTTCTTCTTCTTCTCCTTCTTTTTGGTGTTCTCGGGAGCCCCCTGATCTGTTTTGGGCTCAACTTCAGCAGGCTTGGGAGGCTTGTCGACAGCAGCAGGGGCCTCGCTGGGGATAGGGTTGGGCTCTACAGGCGTCAGAGGCATTTCTCCGTGGGCCTCTTTCTTCTCTTCCATAGCCTTGGGGTTCTTCAGCGCCTCGCCTTCCCCTTTCTCGGTGATCTTCTTCTTGGGTGCCGTGTCCACGGGCGCGCGCTCGTTGACCTCGGGGTCCGCGTACTTTGGCATGGGGGCAATCTCGACATCCACACAGAAAGACACCTTCTTCATCTTGGCATCCTTGAGCTCTGAAATGGTGCATCGCTGCCTGTTCTGGTCCACGTTCAGGACCCGCCGTTCTACCAGGCCGTTTCCCGTCCTGGCGGCATGATGATTGGCGCCTGATGACGAGAGGCGCCTGAACACACCCAGAATCCCGGCCTGGCCAGTCCTTGGAGGAGCCGGCGTGTAGGGTCCATTGCCTGTCGGTCTTTGCGCCGGAGGGAGCACAGCACTTCTGGATTGTCCCACCTGGGGGACCCGAGGTTGGGGCGGCTGGGGCGGCGTGGGCGGCGTACCGACCGCATCTTCCTGCTCGGGGATCTCCTGTGGTGGTCCATTCAGTGCATCGGAAGCCGCGTGGTTCGATGAGAATTTGGCCGAGATGTTGGAGAACCAGGAATTGCGCCGACCTGGGGAGCTGCCCAGGGGACTTGTGCCATTCTTCTCTACAGATCCTGAGCGTGATCGTGACCGCCTGCCTATTGGAAGCGCTTGGCTTGTTGTGGGAGCGGCCGCAGCAGTAGCAGCAGGTGCCGTATAGCTGTTGCCATTTGGGTGGTGGTTGCCAGTCGGTGTCGTTTTGGCTTCGACCGACGTCGGCTTTGAGTTCGGGGCGTTTGTTGCTGCTCGCGGCTGCGCGGGAGTCGGTGTCTTCGCTGGAGGTGATGAAGGCTTCTTATGGAACTTGTCTGTAGCTATCAGAATCGCGACCACAACACTATGGGCATTGGTTGCAAGGCGCCTGGCTTGGAGGACATAGCCGGGGCAGCCGAGGCGACGATGCGAGCGAGCATACCTTTTGGAGAGGCCTGTGTCATCCAACTGACATCAACGCCGTGCACCTGTTCCATACTTGACATGAAGGCGCATGAGAATACAAGGGGCTAAAACAAACGCGAGACAGGAACTTGGTCAAACACCAAGAAAGGAGTGAAAGTAAGTGACCAGACGCTTCGATTTGATATGTAATGCACCGTGGTGGCCGATCGTCAGCAGCGCTGAGAGGAAGTCGCTCAGCGTGGGTCTGGGCCCTGGGGTCCAGTCCGGCCCAGTCGGTCGGACGCTAACAAGCGTTCAGTGAGTGAGGGTTCACTGTTCAGTGCGACAGGGGACCTCTCAGGCCCTAGCGCATCCGCGGTGCGAACGTTGGGCGAGCAGCGGTGAGGAGGAAGCAGTTATGCTCGCAAAGTCAAGATCAATTGTGTAACTCGCACGCCACAATTAGGAGGCTTCTCTGCTTGGCGAGGGGCGTTCGTATTGTGCAACTTCAAGTGGTAGTAGGGCAAGTGATTGATTGAACTGAAGGCGACGGAATGGGACCAATATGAGGGGGCCACTGGACCTCTTCGAGGCAAGAGCCGGCCACAGGCGTAGGCGCGCGCACCTTCGTCATAGCAGATCGGAGGGCACATGCTCAGTCCCACCAGCGTGCACGCAGAAGCCAATCAGCATTGCCTCGTCCGCCCACGACAGTCTGGGGTAAGGCATCCACTGTCGCACCCTGGAACTCAAAATTACCACGCTGAAGAAACACAAAAGTGCTGCCAAACGTCATGTCGGCTGCGACAACGGACTCGGGTGGACGTTCACCTGAGATGTCTCATTATTAGGACTTGTTTGTCTTTGGTGAGGCACCGTTCGCCACCGCTGAGCTAACCATTGAAGAGTGGGCGTCCCACAGCACATGGTATCCATACTGAGACCAGTCTGCGGACACCGGCGGTCCGGCGCAAGAGACGGATACCCTGGGCTTCCTTTTGTTGGTCAAAAACCCTCACTCACCGGGACTGTGGTGACAGGCTCCCCGAGAAAGATGTCACCGCCGCCTGTCATCAACATCCTAGTGCAATCACACCTCCCACAACCATCGGCATGATCATCGACGGAATCCGCAGCTGGTACCATGCGTTCACTGCACATGGAGTGGCGTAAGAAGCACCGCTCACGCAAGTGTGAGCTTCCCAATGGTACCTCAAGTGCTGCAAAAGGCGCGACTCAAAAAATGTAGCTTCTGTGCAAGTGCCGCAACACTCCGTCGTGGTATGAGGACCAGAACAGTATTTTTAGTTCTGGAAGAAGAGTTCCTGGAGCCAGCACCTCTGTGCCCTCCTGACTAACGTCGGGCACCTCTCGGACGCCGCACATGCGGGGCCCCCGGAAGCTTCGCGTGAATCAATTTCGTGGCAGCAAGGTACGACATCAAGCAGTGTGATAATAGACTCCAGGCACTAAGCTTCAAACAACCACATGATATTAGAGAGCGGAAGTTCTGCGTCGCAGGGAGACCAGGCAATTGGACGTGGACTCATGATACTTTTATTCATTGACCATAGGCAGACCATCTGCACAAAACTCCGAAACCAGGCCCAAGCCGTGAAGTAAACCCTTGCGATAGATTGAAGCGGACAACGATAGCACTTTACTCCTCGTCCAGGATCTCCTGGATGCGCTCCTTGATGCCAGCCTCCTTCTCCTCCTTGGTCAGCTTGCGGTCCTTGTGCTTCTTGGAGATCTCCTTCCACTCGTCCTTGGACTTCTTGGGGGCGTCGGACTCGGCCTTCTTCCAGGGGTCCTCGCGGATGGCCTTGTGGGCCTCGGCGTAGAGGTCCTCGAGACCGTCAGCCTCAACGTCGTCGTCGACGTACTGCTGGAACTGGGAGGCGAAGCGCTCCTCGTCGTCGTCGGCGAGGGTCTCCATGTACTCGGCCACGTGGCCACCGAAGATGTAGCGGCGGAGGGTGTCGGCGTCGAGCTCCTTGGACTCCATGTCGTAGCCGGGGAAACGCTTGTCGGAGTGGGGGATGAGGATACCACCGTCCGAGGCACCCTTCATGGCACCGAAGACACGGGCACCAGTGGAGGTGCGGGCAAGACCGACATCGAGGAAGGCCTTGAAGGGGCGGCGCTCCTCGCCATCCTCACCCTCGGCGGCCTCGGTGAGGGTGAACTCACCGTCGGCCTCCTCGACACCAGTGAACTGCTTGTCGAGGCCGAGCTTGCTGAGGACACGGCGGGCCAGGAGGAGACCAGTGGCGTAGGCGGCAGCCCAGTTGGTGAGACCGTGCTCGATGCCGTAGGCCTTGAGCTCGTGGCCGTAGGCGGCAGCGAAGACCTTGTCACCGGAGATCTCAGAGGTCACAATCTGGGTGATGATGTCCTTGTTGGTGAAGCGGACGACCATGCGGTACTTGGGCGCATTGTACTTGTTCTTGGCCTGGGTGATGAGGCGCTTGCGGGCGTAGTAGTCGGTCTTGCCTTGCTGGCGACGCTTGTACTTGGTTTGGTAGCGGCTGGCAGCAGGTCAGCATGGGACCGTTGATCCCCAAGTAGTAGTGATAGAGCACTCACCTGTAGTACGCGCTGTTCTTGACCAACTTGTGGAAAGGCTGTCAAGACCATCGAGTCAGCAATTTGCGCTTCAGAGTGCTCGTCCTCCCTTCCGAAGCAACTTGCGTGGACTCTCCCGAGCAGAGAAAGAGACGGACATTTCTGTCCTTTGCAAAACAATGGCACCACTACTCCTCAAAGGAGGCAGTGGCCCAGGATAGGCCTGTTTTCAACTTACCATCTTGACGGTTGTTGCGCGTTGCGGCTTGTTGTCCTGATGATCAAGGGAATGGCTCGTCAAAGTGCAAAGGCCAGGAGGAGAGAGAGGGCGTAAATTTTGGTGGGGGATTTTTCAATTCGCAGCCCTAACGACGTTGCGCTGCGTGCGGCCCCACTCCCGCGAGTTCTGTGCAGTGGTGAAGTTGCACCGGCTCTGTGGTCGGGGACGAGTCACATGACAGATCCTCGACCAGGTGTGGCTCAGGCAAGGCTGCGCCACAGTAAGCTGCTATCTTATCAGCCTGGCGTATGGTCTCGCAGTCGCGGCGCGAACTGCTCGTATGAAGTTGAGCCATTCCTGCCGGCGCGATCACTGGACATTCGCTTGCATCTGTGCGAGTCTGGCTGCTTTAGACATAAGCAGTGTCGCTCTGTATACTGGGGCAAGGCATGCTCCCCAGAGGCTGCGGCAGTGGCATCTCGGGCCCCTATCCGGCATCCTTATCTGTATCTGCTGCCAGCGTACGGACACAGACTCGCCTGCCTTTGTCGCTCAGGCTCAGACTACTGACATTACGGGCCACTTCCACTTGCAACGCCGACCGCCGATATATCCCCGGTGGCCCCAACAGTCGGATAGCAAGCGCAACCTCGACTGCTAGCATCACTCACCCATCACCCTCGTCACCTTGCCCTGCAGCGAAGCTGAGGAGGAGTAGCAGCAACGTCAACAACCGTCTTTTCTCATCACAGCTTTCTGCAGCGTCCTACCGACGGCTATTTACCACCTCAGCAGCCATGGGTGCCACAAAGCTCGATGGCACGGCCATCGCCAAGAGCATCCGTGAGCGCTTGGGCCGGGAGATTGCCGAGAAGCAGAAGCTCAATTCGCGCTACAAGCCTTCTCTGAAGATTATCCAGGGCATGTGCAGCTCAATGCAAACAGTATTTGTAGTTCTTGGCTAACTTTGCAATAGTTGGCGACCGCTCGGATTCGAGTACGTGTGCTTCTTTCTTTCTTTCTTCTCTTGATACCCCGCCCCCGCCTAGGAGATGTGAAGGAAGACGCATGGCCGCCCAGCCATCGCGCTACCCACTGCTATAGCCATATGCACGAGCAATTGACTGACAGATTCATCTAGCTACGTATGTTCGAATGAAGCTGAAGGCTGCGGCAGAGGTGGGTGCGACATGTTGGCGGTTATAGACGTTAGGCTAATAGTGAGCAGGCGGCCATTGAGTGTGAACACATTTGCCTCTCCGAGTCTGTCACTGAGCCAGAGTTGCTGGACAAGCTTCGGCAATTGAACAACAACCCCGAGGTGCACGGCATTCTCGTGCAACTCCCGCTACCCAGCCATCTCTCCGAGTACAACATCACCTCAGCCGTCGCTGACGAGAAGGATGTCGATGGTTTCGGGACGCGGAATATTGGTGAGCTCGCCAAGAAGGGCGGTCATCCCCTATTCACACCCTGCACACCCAAGGGTGTCATGTATCTGCTCCAAGAGGCCGGAGTTTCTCTCACAGGGAAATCGGCTGTCGTCATTGGGCGCAGTGACATTGTCGGGAACCCCGTGAGCTACCTGCTCCGGAATGCCGATGCTACAGTTACCGTGTGCCACTCCAAGACGAGAAACCTCGAGGAACTGGTCAGGACTGCAGACGTGGTGGTGGCTGCCATGGGACAGCCCCGGTTTGTCAAGGGCGATTGGATCAAGGAGGGCGCGGTCGTGATTGATGTCGGTACCAACTTCATTTCCGACGACACCAAGAAGTCGGGATACCGCCTGGTGGGCGACGTCGACTACGACTCGGCCGCCGAGAGGGCCTCTGCCATCACTCCTGTTCCGGGTGGTGTCGGCCCCATGACAGTGGCCATGCTCATGCAAAACGTCGTGGACGCCACGACTGTCTACTTTGAGAGGCAGAAGCTCCGGAAAACCATCCCTCTCCCTCTCCACCTCCAGGACCCTGTCCCCTCGGATATCGCAATCTCGCGGGCGCAGCAGCCCAAGCAGATCACCCAGATCGCCGCCGAGGTGGGCATCTCGCCTCATGAGCTGGAGCCTTACGGCGCCTATAAGGCCAAGGTCGACCTGGATCTTCTGCAGCGTCTGAATCACCGCCGCAACGGCCGCTACGTTGTGGTCACGGGCATCACTCCCACGCCCCTGGGCGAGGGCAAGTCGACCACAACCATGGGTCTGGCGCAGGCTCTCGGTGCTCACGTCGGGCGCCTGACCTTTGCCAACGTGCGCCAGCCTAGCCAGGGTCCGACGTTCGGTATCAAGGGCGGTGCTGCTGGCGGTGGCTACAGCCAAGTCATCCCCATGGACGAGTTCAACCTGCACCTGACTGGTGACATTCACGCCATCACCGCAGCCAACAACTTGCTAGCTGCCGCCATTGAGACGCGCATCTTCCACGAGAACACGCAGAAGGACGGACCCCTCTACCGCCGTCTCGTGCCCGCCAAGAACGGCGTCAGGAAGTTTGCGCCGGTCATGTTCCGCCGCTTGCAGAAGCTCGGCATCACCAAGACCAACCCCGACGAGCTGACAGAGGACGAGATCCACCGTTTCGCTCGGTTGGACATTGACCCAGAGACAATCACATGGAGACGCGTGCTCGACGTCAACGACCGCCATCTCCGTGGCATCACCGTCGGCACTGCGCCCACCGAGAAGGGCCAGACCCGCGAGACCGGCTTCGACATCTCGGTCGCCAGCGAGTGTATGGCGATCCTCGCCCTCAGCACCAGCCTAGCGGACATGCGGGAGCGTCTTGGCCGCATGGTCATCGGCTCGTCGAGGAGCGGCGACCCCGTCACATGCGACGACATTGGCGCTGGCGGCGCCCTGACTGCACTCATGAAGGATGCCATCAAGCCCAACCTCATGCAGACACTGGAAGGTACGCCTGTGTTTGTTCACGCCGGACCCTTTGCGAACATTAGCATCGGTCAGAGCTCCATCTTGGCCGACAAGCTGGCTCTCAAGCTGGCTGGCACGGAAGCCGACGAGGACCATAGCGAGAGGGCTGGCTTCGTCGTGACGGAGGCTGGTTTTGATTTCACCATGGGCGGCGAGCGCTTCTTCAACATCAAGTGCCGCACGTCTGGCCTCGAACCGGACGTCGTGGTGGTGGTGGCGACCGTCCGGGCGCTCAAGGTCCACGGTGGAGGCCCGCCCATTGCGCCGGGCGCCGCTCTCGACCCGGTCTACAAGCAGGAGAATGTCGACATCCTCCGCGCGGGCTGCGTCAACCTGAAGAAGCACATTGAGAACGCCAAGTCGTTCGGCATCCCCGTCGTCGTGGCCATCAACAAGATGAACACGGACACCGACGCCGAGGTCGCCGTCATCCGCGAGGAGGCCATCGCCGCCGGCGCCGAGGACGCCATCCTCTCCAGCCACTGGGCGGAGGGCGGCAAGGGCGCCGTGGACCTCGCCAAGGGCGTCATCGCGGCGAGCGAGAAGCCCAAGGAGATGACGCTGACGTACACCCTCGAGGGGTCAATCCAGGACCGCATCGAGGCCATCGGGCGCAAGATGTACGGTGCGGAAAAGGTCGAGTTCAGCGAGCTGGCGCAGAAGAAGGTCGACATGTACACCAAGCAGGGGTACGGGAACCTCCCCATCTGCGTGGCCAAGACGCAGTACTCGCTGTCGCACGACCCGGATCTCAAGGGCGCGCCCACGGGCTTCACGGTGCCAATCCGCGACGTGAGGATGGCTGCTGGCGCAGGTTACTTGTATGTTCCATGTCTGTCTGTTTCAGTGTTGTCTGGTGCTAATGAGAATAGGTATGCCCTTGCGGCGGACATTCAGACCATTCCTGGTCTGCCCACGGCGCCTGGGTACCTCAACGTCGACGTCGACCCCGAGACTGGCGAGATTGACGGTCTCTTCTAAGTGTACAAACAACATGCATTGGAGGATATTGGATGATGGTTATAACTCAAACGTGCCACGATATAGGATTGGAATGGAATGGGAAGACGGGTCGGTGCATGCATTGTCGAATTCAACACAGCGAAGGTACATGTCATTTTCTGGGGATGTGATACATGAGTATCTAGATGGTCCATCAGCTATAGAAATTCAATGTCTCGTCAATTACTCAAACTGCGCCCATCATTCTATGGTTCAAAGCGGATTAGGCACTGGTGTTTGTGTCTGCCACGGCGAGCCGAGGTTGTTTGGTGGATTGCCGACGGGACGTGGGGGATCGACCGCCAACACATTCACAGCGCTCACTTACCTCCAGTCCTCACTTGCACTCAGGACAGACGTTCACTAGTTACACTCATTTGAAGACCTATATATACAATTAAGGCAATCAGCCATCGTCCATCATGGCCACGCAACGGCAGCCCAAGGTCCTGCTCTTCGACATAGGCGGCGTCTGCGTATGGCCCATCTCACTCCCATCCATCCATCACATTGCCCACCTCATGTGCCAGCCAAACTAACTCTCCCCCCAGGTCGTCTCGCCTTTCCAAGCCATCTTGGATTACGAGCTGTCACTGGGCATCCCACCCGGCTGGGTCAACTACTCCATCTCCCAGACCAAACCCCATGGCTTCTGGCACCGTCTCGAGCGCGGCGCCATACCCATGGACCAGGCCTTCTTTGCCGGCTTCAACGCAGATCTGCACCACCAGGGCCGCTGGCACGCCTTCTACACCCGCGAGGCGGCCAAGAAGAAGAACGGCCACCAGCTGTCGAGTAGTGACGTGCCGCCCGTGCCGCGCATGGACGGCGAGTGGCTCTTCAACGAGATGATGACGGCGAGCAACCACCCGGATCCGTGGATGTTCCCAGCCCTGCAGAAGCTCCAGGAGAGCGGGCGGTACATCCTCGCCGCGCTCAGCAACACGGTCATCTTCCCCGTCGGTCACCCCCTGCACGCTGAACCTCCCTTTGACGACCCTGTGCGGAGGATCTTTGACGTGTTCGTGTCGTCCGCTCACGTAGGCATGCGCAAGCCAGACCCGAAAATCTACCAGTACGCCCTGGAGCAGGTGGACAAGTATGCGAAGGACCATGGCAAGGGATCAGTGGGACCGGGTGACATTGTCTTTTTAGACGACATTGGCGAGAACCTCAAGGAGGCGAAACGTCAAGGGTTCCAGACTATCAAGGTACCGCTGGGCAGGACATACGAGGCAGTGGAAGCGTTGGAACGGATCACGGGCCTGCAGCTGGACGGTGGTCACCCAAAGATCGCCATTGAGCCGAGATATCCAGCGCCAAAGGCTAAGATGTAATAAAATTGCAAAAGCACAAGGAGGCCATGTTGGTCTACACCTTGTCGCAAAGCCGACAGGAGTACAGACAGATAAATGTCCACCAAACGCCGAGCTGTGCTAGCTACTGTTATGCTACCGGTAAGAGAGAGAGACAGCGACCGCCCTCGTCGTCTCGATCAACTGAAAAACAAACGCCAGCTAGAGGGTTAAATGGTATCATGAATCGCAAGCCCTCCATAGTCCAAAGCGCCAATACACACAATGTAAATCTCGTATCCGCCACCAATCGTCGGTAGCCATGTCACCCACCACTGTCCCTGTCAACGTCGGAGCAAGGCTCAAGCACGTCAACCATCATCCAGAATTTCAATCACTGTGGACTTGTTGACTTGCCTCGCTGCGGCGAAAGACGTTTGTTCTCCATCGTCCGTGTCCAGGTCATCGGGCTCATCAACAGCAGTCCACGCGCCATCTGCGGCAACCTGGATAGACTTGACCATCGGACGACCAGCCTCCACGAGGCTGTCCCGGACGCCTTTCAAGAAGAGGTCGACGACCAACGTTGACGGTCGCGCGTCTGCGCCGCAAATGGGGCATTTCCACTCATCGACAGCCGAGGGTTCCTCTGCGGACGTCCTCCCCGCCGTCTTCTTCCCGCTCCTCGTGTTGAGCCAGTGGGTAAGATCGAAGCATTCCAGGTGCTTGCAGGCTTTCCCCCGCACTGGCACGGTGAATTGCAATGAGCTAAAGGGGTCTGCCAAGGAGACGGTAAGGTCATTCGAGGCAAAAGCCACTTCTTCATCATCGTGAGCTGCCTGGAGCCGCTGCGCGATAGCATCCTTTGTCTGCTCCGCATCGATGGTGTGCCTGGTGGTAATAGATTGCACGAGGTCATCGTGCTGTCGTGTAACCACGCATTCCACGGCAAAGAAGAAGTGCAGCCCTCCAGCCACATTCTTCTTGTTCTTGGGCACGCTTATTTTGACCTTGTTCCGACCCTCGATAAGAAAGTCGCTCAGCTCAGCAGGCAAGTCGCGTTTGAAGTGCTGCTTCCGACCGAGTTGGATCGGTTGGTCGTTGATCTGAACATAACACTCTGCAGGCCACGAATTTGGCAGAACGGCCCAATCCGACATGCAGACCTTGTCAGAGTCCGGCCCCGACTGCGTCAAGCAGCGCAGCCGCCAACGATACGTGCCGTGCGAGAAAAGCCGTACTGGGAGACCAGAGTGGTCCACTGCTTTTGTGGGCAATGCCGCCAGCTGAGCAGCAGAGACGTCAAACTCGAGTGCCTTGACTCTTGTGGCAGCGCCCACCAGCACTGGCGCCACTGCAAAACCTTCAATGTACTGGTAGTGCCTGCCAGCGGAACCATTCGTAGGCTTCCGTGACGGGCTGCGGAGTTGTGGCAGATGCGCAGCCATCTGCACGGTTTCCCAAGTATTCGGCCCCGTCACAGGATACCTATGCGGGGGAATGACCCTTACGGTTCGTCGAGGCCCAGGCACGGTGCGCTGTTGGACGGTAGGCGTTGATATCGGACTTGGTACCGTTGGAAGCTGTTGTTGCGCAGCCGCAGCATTCGATGGCGGAACGAACGCAGGACCTACCTGCGTCGAAGTTCGAGCGGCGGCAGCAGACCCATCAGGCGCAACATGGTCCTGCCTTGCCGAGTTTCCCAGCCCTATGGGTTCCAGGGCGGCGTTGCTTCTCGTAGAGGACCCTCCAATGCCAGTAGGCCTGGCTATATCAGTGACAGCGGCCATCGTCGGTGTATTCGTGGTCATCGGCGACCGCAGGCTCGGAGAAGACGCTTCGTGCAAGGAGGGACTATGGATGGGTTGAGATTGAGGTTGAGGTTGCTCAGGTCCATTGTACATCATTGCAGCACCAGGAACATGATGCCCTCGCGGACGAGGCACATCCCGTTGCTGCCATGTTTGTTGGGCTCTTTGAACCTGAGGCTGGGATTGAGACGGTATAAAATGGTCTAGCCGGACGTGGGCCACCTGATGGTTTAACTGGTGGGTGTACTGAGCGTGAGCTGGATGGATTTGCTGATGCGGACTGTGCTGGGCGCAATTCTGGCACTGGTGGGTTTGGTGTGGCGCGTTCTGGACATGATGTAAGCGGTTCGGTTGACCATGAGTGACATGATGGTGTTGGGGCGCTCCAATCCCGCGTTGACCCTGTCCCTCCAACTGCCTTTGCATCTGCCAGGGTTCAAATCCTTGCTGGGCTGAAGTCGGCTGAGCTGGGTTCGGGAGTTGAGCCCATTGGCCTGGAGGCTGCGGGTTTTGGGGCCAAGGCGCGGGCTGCTGTTGTGCGTGAACCTGCTGTTGCACGTTGTTTCGATGCGGCCAGTGTGGTTGATGTCCAGAGGGTAAGGGCTGCTGCTGTGGAGCGTGAGGCACGGCGTATGATTGTACCTGCTGAGGTGTCGCGGCTTGGCCGACTCTGTAGGCTTGGATCAGCTTCTTGTATCGAGATTCATTAAGGCCCCGGAGACCCGCAAGTTGTTTCTGATTGCCAATGCCTGAAAGTGCTGCCTGCTCAGCGTAATCTTCCATTTGCCAATGTTCGTTCAGGTCCGTAGCGTAATCATCTGGAACAAACCCCCGTCTGGTAAACAAGTAGAACATTTGTCGTAGCAACGGTGATCGACACTGGAACTGGTGTGTCATAATGTAAGATGTCGCAGGTATTTCTTTCTGGCGAAATCGATGCACATATTGCTCCCACTTCGTTGCAAGGTTCGAGAGAAACCTTGCTATCAGAGACATTTGGTCGGGTGCCATTCGTGCCGACGACATTGCTACCGAGGTTTCTGGAAAAGTAGCGAACCAAATCCGGTGCCTGTCGCCCGCATTGCCAGTGTAATCAAGCAGCGAGGACAATATGGAAAAGGCACAATGTATGTCAGGTGGCTCTATTGGAGCACGAGCAAGAGCCATACAGGCCTGGTTCCTGTCAATCAACCAAACATGGAGCAGTTGATGGACGAGTACGTAGAACTCATCAGAGTTAAGACAAGCCTCCCGCAGTCCTTTGAGCGCAACCTGCAGCACTCTATTCGTCTCGATTTGATTGCCCAAAGCGCGGATCTTGGCTTCGACACGTGGTACGTAACTCTGAATGCCCGACTGCTGTTGCATTGTCTCGGCATTTGAGGGAGTAGCAGACGTATTCCGCGGCCTTTTCGATGGCTGAGTAGATTCGTGCTCGGCGTCTCTCGACCTCTTTTCTTTGTCGGGGCCGTGGCCATGTTCACGAGATTGGGGACGCGCCGGAGACATTGCTGGCGGCCCTGTGAAAGTGACTACATCCTGCAAAGTAGGTGTCCGAGCTGAGACCCTGATCGGGGGTGCTGGTGCGGCCGCTTGAGAGGTCGCTTGGTTGGGTGTGGACGACAACCCGCTTTCCGTTATAGGTGCGAAGGCGGCAGTGTGGTATTGAATGCTTGTTCGCGCAGTCGGGTTTAGAGAGTCCGGTTGTGCGCCGGGGCTCGCTCGGTGTGTGTTTGCAGGGGGGCTCGACTCGTTGGTGAGAGCTGGCGATGGCAGAATGGAAGCTTCGCTGCTACAAACGGTCAGCATCCTAGGCAACGAGATGGTCGTATTTTGCGTTTTGGCATACTCGAAACTGCTCGATCCCTTCTGGACAGCCTGTGCTTGGTGTGTAGGGACTTGTGCTGAATAGTCCGACCTTGTTAGCTGAGGCGCTCCTGGATCATCGGTCTGCTGAAGTGCCTGGGTACTATTGGAGGTGTCTGAGGGAACTTGGACCAGTAGATGGTCCGATTGCGTTGGCCGAGACGCTCTAGAACCGTCGTTCTTTTGAAGTGTCTGATTACTGAGAACGGCGCCATCAGAACTAACTGGACGGCCTTGGGCGCCTGGTGACTGCACTGCTCGCGTCGTGGACCTCGCATCCCCAGCATTCACCGACAGCCCATTTTGCATCCACGGCCTAGCGCGACCCCCTAGGAAGGCAGTGGCTGTTTGATTTGTAGCCTTGACGTTGTTTTGCGTTGCGTGTACGGTATCTCTGCGCGTTTTCGAGGACGACATTGAGGCAGGGAATTCCCACTGGACTGACTGGTGGCGTCCGGCAGGAGATGGCAAAGGATGTCGTTGTCTAACTTAGTTCGTCCGAGTTTTTCTCCCCTTGACTCCGACCTGACATGTTTTCGAAATTGGCAATCATCGAATTCGACAAGCTTCGCACACTGCGGCTTCGGCCAAAGGTAGAGAGGGCGCGTCCCGGTGTTTGATCTCTTCGACGGGCCGACACGGCTTCTCTGTGTTTGCTGCGAGAATGGCTCGTGGTATGGGAAGAGCTCGGTTACGGGCGTTGGTCGCGGCGGGGGGTGTGGGCTACTCGTTTGTATCGACGTTCTGCAGGTGCCCTCTCATGGTCTGAGATGCTGAGATGAAGCTGATCGGCGCCTGAGCCTGGTGAACTTAAAAGTGTCGAAGTGGATCGCAGGGGAAGGAAAGAGTGAAACTGAGGTGACGGAAAGAGCGCGCGTGCACTTATCGATACCAGGTATCCGTAGTCGACCGGTTCCTGCTCCAGTCGTCAACGCGCCTGCCTTTCTGCACAAAGAATGCTACAGTGCGATGTTACAGTGCAAGGATAGCAGGGACAAGGAACCTGCTATTTCATACAGGTACATGTCTTCCTTAATTCCTCCTCGAATTTATTAAGGAGAGTCTAGTAAGTCATGTCTGGGCTCATATCAGAGGTTACAAGGCCACCTGTGTTGTTGGCGGAACACATCGTGCTACGTATGTACTCGATTGTATAGTGCATGCACGTGCATACTAATTACTTTGCACAAGGTAACAAAAGTGGTGTGTTTGTGTTCTTCAGACTTCAACAACTGGCGGCGAGACCAGGCAGGCCACCAAAGTCCTTCCTGCCCCTACTATCCACATCTTATTAATAAGTCCAGTCACTTGTAAGTGGTAAAGATTCACGGAGGCGCACCTGTCTGCTGCGCTGCTAAGAGATTGCTTGACCTATATTTAAGTACTATGCTGATGTCAGCCGAGAAACAAAGCAGCCTTGCTACAATCATCCGTCTACGTACATTGCGGATGATTTGCTCATAGCCCATGACTCCATGTAATAGGTTCAAAAACAGTCCTCTCGTGGCCTTCAAAGTCTGTGCACTGATAGTGCGCGCCCGCCTATTGGATTTAATACTTGGTACTCACCTAAAAACATTCGCAGTCGATGAACTTCTGCTTGCGTTGTGTGCTTCAGGTCATGGTTTAGGGTAGCTAAATACTGCTAGCGAATGACCGGAACCAATCGCACTGCTGGGCTCTCAACTTTGCATCCGTACAACGTCCACCGCTGAATCCGTTCACGTCGATTTTTCTGGTCCGACGTCCGTGTTTGTTGTCTCGAGCGGGCTCTGCAATCCCTCCTCGCCCCTTTCCTGTCTGCTAGTCGCCTGATAGTTGTTTGGGTGATGCAGTGTCAGTACTTTAACGCACCACTAAGCTGAGGCGGCCCACCTTTAGTCGAGAAGAAAGGTACCGCCTACGCTAGCAAAGTAAGGTACTCCTAGTAATCTTCGTCAGACTTGGGCGCTAGAGGTACCTATCTTACTACCTAATGCTCCTCAGATAAGTAAGTACCTTACCTACCTGGTATTGATGGTCTGCCTGCCTGCCTGTACTCATTCGCTGGCAATCCCCAATCGCGCGTCGCTCACACTCCACCATTCACCAACAACCTCTTCATCCGGCAGTCCTCCATACTCTTCATGCCGACAGACTGCTCGTCTTATTAGATAGCAGCTATTGGACATTGTCCAGAAAGTCCATGGCGTTATCTAGTCATCGCTCCACCCTGCGCTCTGCCTGACGAGAAGATCACAGTTCCTAATAACTAGGTCACCACCCCACCTGGCCACCCTCCTGTCTCACCAACGACCGATTCGTTCGTTCTCTTGCCGGCCAGCGCGCGGCGTTCTAGGACGACAGCTCCACGCCGAAGACTGCATTTGACACCTCGCGACGATCAACATCGATCCCGACTATCGCGACCATGCCATCGCCGCCGGCGCCCGCGCATTCAGCGCCACGTCCTCAGGTGGGCGACTTGCTCCTGGTCATCCGTAAGCCCCTTGAATCCGCAGTTGCACTCTCTACGGCCGCGCTAATGTCTACATGGCAGATGACTTCGAGGCCAGAGGCTCCGATGAGCTTAGCCTGTCCAAGGGTGATCGAGTCGAGTTGGTGGAGCGCGATGACGAGTTTGGGGATGGATGGTTCATGGGCAGACATCTCGCGAACGGCAACACTGGCCTGTTCCCTGAATGTGAGTCCTCAATGCGCATGCCTTCGTCTCGTCCGATCCGGCTGACCAGCCACTTCCAGTGTACACACGCCCCGCGCAGCCTGCTTTGGCAGCTTCCTCGGCCGCCCCATCGCCTCTACTTCCTCTCGCAGAGGACCCGTCCGAGAAGCCCACTGCAATGGTGGACGATCGCTCGCAACCACCCAAGTCCCCGTCTACCGGACAAGGCGCATCGCCCTTGACCCTTCCACTAATGTCAAATCGACCCGAAGCGAGCGAAACCACAAAGTCCATCGATCTACTCGACAAGGCCGACGCTCCGCAAGATAGCCAAGTCCTGAACGAAACACTCAACGTCATCAACGAGCACATCACCAATTTGAGATCTCCTGGGAGTAGCAATGCCCTTCGGACCCCCGGCATGGATTCGGGGAGTGAATACAGCGCTTCGATTCACCACCGGATGTCATACATCCACGGGGAAGAGACGGACGAGGAAGAACATGATACGCACACGCGCGCTGAAGTAGTGGCCTGGTCACCCGATGATGTTGCCGAATTCCTGTTTACTTCCGGCGTGGAGAAACAACATTGTGAGGTGTTCCGGGATCAAGAGATATCGGGCGAGGTACTTCTCGGTATGGATCAAAGCTCACTTTTCATCAAAGACTTTGACCTTGGCTCCGTTGGGCGCCGCTTGAAGACATGGCACCGGATCAAAGAGCTGCAAGATGAAGTAGGGGACGAGGGCACCCATACTCGACGCACAACGCAGACGTATGGAAGTGATATTGGGTCTGAGGATGCGGGGCGGACCCGTGTCAGGACGAGCACTCTCAACTCAGTATCGAACGCAAACCGTCGACTATCTTCCAATAATGCACCTCCGATGCTGACACCGATCTCGAGCAACGGAAACCCCGATAGTCCGACACGCATAGGGCATGTCAAGCGGCCGTCAGCGGCATCTATCAGGGATATGCACCACTCTCGCCGCCATTCATCCACAGACTATCAGGCAAACGCACCGAGACTCAGCGTCAACGGAACCTTCCCCGGCGCGGAAGGCTCACACAAGAAACAGCCCTCTTTCGACCGGAATTGGACACTTGGGGCGGCTGGCTCAAGGCCACTCTCCCAAACGGGCATGCGAAGTGTTGGTGGTCCCAACGATGGTAAACTGCAGGACTCAGCTGTAGACCTGGATCGCGGCTACTTCTCGGGTACCGAAGTTGAGGAGCGACCACGCAACTTTCTACGAAAACGCGATAGCCTTGCACACTCACGCAACTCAAGCTACGCGGAAGAGCAGCGTATCCGCAGTGCCACCGCTCACACACGCCATTCGCGGTTCGGGAGTGATTCGTACCGAGACAGCGCGCCTCAGACTGCGGCCCAAAAGTATTATGGCACCCAAGCGGGTCCCCACCGAAGGACAGCCTCGACCAACACAACCGAGTCGCTGCGGCCGCTTCCTCCAGCCAAGGACACTCAGTCTCCCGCTGTTACCAGGTTGGAGTCGACAAGAGGATCCCGAGGACCGATACCCCCGGCCAAGGATGGCGACTGGCTGTCATCCCTGGCACAGAAGCCAAAATCGAAATCCGGGGGCTTTGGCATCCGTGCCATCTCTGACAACCTAGGCCTTGACCGGTCGAAAAACAGCACCTCTGGTGATTCTAAAGACCAGTCATTGCCATCGCCAGCTATGACAGGGTCGAGTACGCCTTCCGGTGGCCCCAGTTTTGACCTGGAGTCGCCTAACACCACCCAAAGCCCCAGTACAGGCGGTGCACCCGTGAGCCGCAACAAGGGCAAGAAAGGCAAGAAGGAGACGAGCGCCTACACAAGGGGCCTGCTCAATATCACGCCCAAGGAAGCTATGCAAGATGCCGATTTTAGTGGGTGGATGCGGAAGAAGAGTTCCAATCTGATGACCACCTGGAAGCCGCGCTTTTTCGTACTGAAAGGACGACGTCTGTCATACTTCTATTCCGAGGAGGATGATTCGGAGAAAGGCCTCATCGACATTTCGTTCCACAGAGTTCTGCCAGCCGACAATGAGAAGCTGACGGGGTTGCACGCATCCATTACCGGTGCAGTTGGCGGCCAGAACAGCAGGGATAAGGAGGGACTCGAGAAAGGCGACGACTCCATGTTCATCTTCAAGCTTATGCCACCGAGGGCTGGGTTATCAAGAGGAGTCCACTTCACAAAGCCAACCGTCCATTACTTTGCTGTGCCCAATCTCAAACAGGGCCGGCTGTGGATGGCCGCCCTGATGAAGGCTACGATTGATCGGGACGACTCGCAACCCATTACGACGACGTACCAACAGAAAACCATTTCGCTCACCAAGGCGAAGCAAATGCGCTCTCGACCTCCGGCGCTCATGAACCTGGACGAAGCGGCTGAAGAAGACCAGAGTGCACCGGCGTCAACCACGGCAGCGACAATGGCCTCGAAGCAAGACTCTCACGGATTGGGCTCATTGGGCGGAGCGTTTTCCGCCACGCCAAAACTTACTCTTGGAGATGGTGGTCAGAACGGCGATGGTGCGGCAGTTCCTTCACTCCAAAGTACATAGGCCATGCTTTGGCGTTGGAAAGTGTGACGCCGGACTCTCCAGGACCACCAAACATTACGAAGGGGCTGGGCGAGACACCCCCGCCGCAAGGAGTTATTTTCCTTTGTGGCATTGAGCTTCACGACCCAAGCGACATGTATGACACGATTCGAGCAACCCATGAAACAACCTCTCTTGTTCCCTACAATACCACCTACTATCCATCATGTATGGGTCTTTGTTGTCTTTTCCTTGTTTAACCCGAGACTCTTCTTGATTTTTTCTTTACCATGAAGGAAGGGAGATTTGCTGGGTCAGAAAGCGTACACAGAGAGGCTTCTCTAACCTGAGCGATGAACGAACGCGGAACCTCGACGATACCTTTGTTTTTCGCCCTTCAAGTCAACGCCATCATCCTTGTCACGCAGACATCCACTCCTTGTCTCTAGGACTAGGAGGAGTATATAGACATACTGAAATGAATTTCACGTCGCCATGTCACGTCGGATCACACATGTCGCGTTTCACGGTTTTATAGTGAATGTTCAATTGTTTTTTCAATCGTAGTCATCGTGGTATCTTGAGTTCGTCTGTCGACAGCTGATCATGCACCCGAGCAATGAACGCACGGCTTTCCGGTATATGCTCACGCTGCCCTTTTGCCCATCCAGTCAGCCAGTCCCCAGGGAGATTTTGTGTTTCCCCTATACTCCAAACTTCGATCTCAGAAATGCAAATTCGCTATACTGTATGTTTCCCAACGCCAATTCAATTTCCCCAAGTTGCTGATCCTCACCCATCATGAAAAGCACAAAGGTATTATCAAGCCCTTCCACCAAATCGAGAAGCCAGCCGCCTCGCGCCCGAGAACACCCAAAATTGAAGAAGAAGAAGAAGTAGAAGAATGACGCAGATGAAAAGTGGGAGGACGGAGAGGGATAGGAGAAGCCAGTGGCCCCGAGGTACGGGGTCTGAACCCATGGGAGTTTGAGTCCGCTTGAAAGAGACGAAAAACTCTGGTTAGATCTGAAGATCTTTGGTATGCTCTTCTTATGCCATTATTCCAGAGCAGACTCACTCCGGTGCTGACTGGCGCGCCGGCGATTGTTCTTGAGGTTTCGCTTGCGTCTGTGTCTGCGTCTGCGTCTGTGCTGGAGTAGACACAGGCGACGCGGCCTGAGGAGCTGCAGCTGGGGCAGAAGGAGCAGTCGGTGTGACGGGAGTTTGGGTTGGCGGAGGCGGCTGTTGGACCACGGGCGTCGGTGCTGAGCTCTGGGACGCCGCTGTGTCGGGCCTCCCCGTCGTGGCTTGGATCTGGGTCTGTCCGGATGGCGGCATAGACGCAGGCTTGGAAACAACAGGCGAAGCCGGGGTGGCTGCCTTTATCTGCGGTGCTGGGGAGGCCTGCGTGTTTGCGGTTGTCTGTGGTGCCTGCGCAGGTTGAGATGCAGGAGCTGGTGTTGCTCTCTGGGCTTGCGGTGCCACAGGCTGGGCTGGCTGGGCTTGAGCCTGGGTTTGCTGCTGTGGTAGTGGAGTTGCAGAGACAGCGGGTGCGGGTGCGGGTGCGGGCGTGGGTACAGATACAGGTGACGGCGCAGGCGCAGGCGCAGGTGTTGAGCTTTCCGCAGCTCTGGGCATCGACACCACTGCAGGTTGAGCAGCCGGGGCCGGCGCAGATGGCGATGCCGCAGTGGGTGCTGGCGTGGCACTTGCCAGACGCTGCGTGCTCTGGCGACGACCTCCGCCAAGCAAAGAGTGCAAGCCATTGATCAAGACAGCCTCTAGATTGCCTGCCGGGAAGTTGACGCGACTCTCCGTGGCGAGTCCTAACTCTCGAAAGATGACGCTATGGAGCAGCGTGGTTCGCTGAGGCTCCGAAAACTTTCCTCGCAGGAGCTCATGGCTTTTCTCGCGGAACCCAAGTACAGCAGCGAGAGTCCCTGGATCGATCAGTGGGGGCTGCTTCGGCATGACAAGATTGGCGAAGCCTTTGTAGCACGTGGACACCAAGTTTGCGGGTATCTCAGGCGGTATAGTCTCGTCTCGGAGGCCCACGAGACGGTCGAGAGCGCACCAGATGATAGCGTCTGGGTCTGGAGTCCTGGCAGCCCGCAGCCCTGTCGCTATCTGTTCGCGCAGTTTGCTGAGGCGCGCCACAATCACCGGGCTAACGGCACCTCTGCGTTGCGAATCACTCGGCGATGCGGCAGGTTGGCCGTTTGAAGGCTGGACAGACCCCGAGGCAGGGGCTTTGGAGGCAGTCTGAACGTGCTGAGCAGCTGGCGCTGGATTATGCGGAGAGTGTCCAACTGCTCGGATTTGCTCCAGCGTGCCATGGTTCTCCACTGTGGAGTGGCCAGAAACTCCTGTCTGTGGCATGATTCCTTGAGTAAAGCCAGGCACAGACTGTCCTTGTTGATTGGGCTGCCCGTAAGCAGGATTGTACGATGCCTGGACATTCATCGGTTGCTGTGGCCGCTGAGCTTGCTGGGGAGTCTGCTGAGGCTGTTGCAGCAGCTGCTGATGTCCGTTGGTTTGTGTAGCACCAGGTGGGCCGGAGCCCGCCAACGCGCCATTTTGATACTGTTGAGGCGCGAGCGGTTGTTGGTGGACCTGGGTTGTCTGTGTCTGGCCAGGCTGGGCCATTTGAGGGTAGTGCGTCTGGTAGTTTGGTGGCATTTGGTGTTGACCAAGACCGCCCGGTGGATGATGATAGCCCGAATGAGAGAGTTGGCCATGCAAGGAGCCGCCTTGGCCCGTTGACATGGGGGTTGATCCAGGCTGCATTCCGGCGCTTTGCTCGGGGCCATCAGGTTTTCCCTTCTTCTTGCCCTCCTCCAACGACATGCCTGGTACGCGGGTCCAGAGATCGGATGCCTTGTTCTTGACAAAACATGCGTTTCCAAGGAGGTTGTGACGGACGCTACTCTCCCATCCCTTGGTGCCCGCGCAAAAGTGGAAGTAAGGCCATCGGCTGGCGATGCGCTTGTATATCTGCTTGAGCGACAAGCCATCCGGGGGTGCCCCCATGAAAGCCTGGTCGATCAGCTGTGCGTAGTTCTCCGATGGCTTGATCAGTTGCTCGTCGGTATAGTCTTCCCTGTTCAGCTCCAATGGAGGGGTCTTGGGCCGGGCGACTTTGCTGGGCTTCTTTGGATTACTGGACGGCATATCGTTGTCGGACCCGCCATCGCCATATTCGGGTTCCTGACCATCCATTCTCGGCCTCTTCGCCGCGCTCTCCTCCATCCCTTCGGGCAAGGGGTTTTTGCGCGGCCGGCCAACCTTGCGCTTCAGGGGAGGCTCTGTGGGCTGTTGGTTTGCTTGGTCCATTCTTTGCTGTTCTTGGAGCAATTTCTTGAACTCCCGTTCCTCCCGCTTAGACATGTATCCATTCTTGGGTGGACGACCCGGGCCTCGCTTCCTAGGCTCCCCGCCACTCTGTTGCTGCTGGTATTGTCGCAGCTCCTCCACAGTAGTGATTCCTAGCGGGATCGCTGACTGGCTCATGGGCACAGGTATTCGCGCGTCGGGCGAACCCTCTGCTGTCGGTTGCCGGCTTTCGTCATTGCTGGCACCAGCCAGAGCTGCGGCAGCAGCGGCCATCTGTGCGTCGTCGTCTGCCATGGTATCCTCCATCTGGATATCTCCGTCTGTGTGGTGTTGTTGCGCCGCTGTCTGTGAGCCGATTGGTACTTGCCGATTTGTATCGTCAGGCGCGTCATCCCGATCCGCGTCGACCATTTCGACCGATTTGGCTGGAACATCAGGGGCCTCAGCCTTGGATTTGGCTTTCATCTTGGCATTGGCCTTCGGTGCCGTTGGAGCTTCGTCTGCGTCGTCCATCTCCACGTCCTGTATTTCCCTTGGATCGACTGAAGACAGGGAGCTTGTATCTCGCATCTGGCCTTGTCGTCGGGGCGCAAAATCAAAGCTCATAGTCTTGCCACCGGTCGCTGGCTGCTCATGGAGACGCTCCCCTCCTGTTTGGCCTTTCTCAAGGCCCGTGATGACAAAGACAAAGTGAACATCCTTGACCTGTACGAAATCGCCAGATCTAAGAACTACTGTCTTGTGAGGCGCCAAGAAGTTGTCATCGATGAAGATTCCGTTGCGCCCGAGCGCTGTAGCCTCAAAGACACCACGCTGGCGATTGTAGCTAATCTTCAAGTGCTTCCTGGAGATGGCTTTGGAGCGTTTATGCGTGTGTTCCCCAGGGGAATGGATTGGGAGGAACACTACCGCCTCCGGGTTGACACGTAGAGCCTTGGTGTCGACTGCCACCGCCCCAGGTGTGGAATGGTACTCACGTCCATGGATCACGGCCTCTCCTTTCTCTTCTGCTGGGATAGCCTTCTCGGCACTAGTACTGCCCTCCTTGGAGGGAGAGTCGGATTTGTTTGCTGGGACCGGGGCATCGGATCTAGAATATTCTGGACCAAGAATGCCTCCCTTGTGGCTAACAATGGATTTGGGAGCTCTCGGCTCCGAAGGCCTAGATCGGCCTTCGCGGTCGGCTTTCATACAGTCGGCTTCGTATTGCTCTTGGAGCTCGGCCATCTTCAAAGAATGGTCGATAGCGGCCTGATCGCGACCTAGAACGACGCCATAGGTGTTCATTCGAAATGTGCTGTCAGCAAATTCAAGGCGCGCAAATGACCGGAGGTGGTCAGAGTCATCATCCTCTGCGTTATCCCCACGGCCTGGGTCGCGCAGACTCGGTGGCGCAATGTCAACAGTCAGACTGGATGGCGCAACCGTCATCGGTTGCCCTAGGTGTCTGAGCTCGGGTGGCAATTCAGAGTTTCTTGGTAAGCTGGCGATGGACATCATCTCCGTAGGCAGGCTTGAATAGACCCCGTTGCCTTTGGCGAATAATGCATCCAATGTGTGCGGGTTCACGTTCGTTTCCCTGAGAAATGACGATTCGGCAAACATTGGGAGTTGGCCGCCAGTAACGTCGAAAGCGTTCTCATTCGGATTGGAGTGATCCATCTTCACCGGATCTCCGTCGTGTTTGCGGTCCGACTGAGTGGCAGAGATGGGTTGTTGTGAGTCTTGCGCAGCTGATTCAGTTGATTCGTTCTTTTTCGTTGCACCTCCCGTACCGGGTAATGATGGTGTAGCTGAACCTGAAGGATTCTCTGTCGCCAAGTCTGGTTGCTGAAGGGGTTCGAGTTTGATGGTTGCAGAGACAGCCGCTTGTGAACCACAGGTGTCCTGAGAGGCTGCAGCACTCTCTTGAACGTCAAACCGATCTTTGGCAGTGGTCTCTGTTGGCGGTTGTGCACTCTGCGGCTCGGATTGCTCTTTGGCGCTATTCGAATCTCTGTTGCGGTCTGATCCAGAATGTGCCCTGTTCACGGGTTCAAGTTTTTCTTGTGCGTCCAAGGGCGGCGCCTCTTCATTTTTAATGTGCACAGGATTTTCGTGTGTGGCCTCATTTACTTTTGATCCCGGCCGTCCAGCTGAACTTTCCTCAGATTGGCCTTGCGCCGTCGGCAGCGAGCCAGACTGTGAGGATGGGACTGTACTTGACACGCTGTCGCCTTCTGCAGTCTTGCCTGTACGCGTGTAGTCTGTGCTGTCGCCTAGCGCCTTTCCATGGCTTCCTACACGTCCTCGTTCCTGGTCATGGCCGTGGTCGGGAGGGCGTCGATCAAGACCAGCTGCGAGGCCTGGTATGGCAGCAGCCACGGCGCTGGACGAAGTCATCGCTGGGCCACTGCAAGAATCGACCTGTAGTGTCGCCGCTCGTTCGTGGCTGTGGCGAACCGCCTGCACGTCGCGATCTGTGTAGCCTTGGCCTTTGCGCAGTGTCGCGAAAGGTTAATTCGACGCATTGACCCTGATGTCCGTGAATTTGTGCGCGCGTCCGAGCCGTCTTCGCTGCGAGGGTCGGATCGTTGTCTAGGTCGCGCTTCCGCCACGTCGAAGGCTGATCGGTCGATGGCTGTTGGAAGATGGAATAGTGTTGCAGTCGAACTTGCCCCGGCCGCGATGCCGACGGGATGTTGATGGGGCGTTTGTTGATATCCAACTCTCATTGGTCAGAGCTTGTGTATTCTCCGCTTTTGTCTCTTGCCGATATTCTCACCGACAGGATTTCACTTCACCGAGGAAGGAGCTGCCGACAATACAATCACTCGCTCTCAATGTGCTCAGCCAGTTAAATCATCTTATAAAACCCGAGCTGCGGTTATACATTTGACGTTTACGCAGAACTTAGTACCGCATCGTAGCAAATGTCAGGGCCCAGCTCAGTGCTGGCGTCCAATGACACCCCTCAAAGTACAACAAACGCCGCTCAACCCAGACCAGGCGACAACACAACAAAGGATCGAAATATAATGTTGCATATCTCAGGGCTTGTGATCTGTCTTCATCGCCTATGGCAGGGAAAACATCAAGACCCTAGACACCAGGTTAGTTCACACCATCCATGACTCTTTTGCATAGGCCAGAACTTTATTCGGTTGAGAATCCGAAGACGAGCATTCGAAGGGGTCGAAGGGTGTCACTGGCACTGACTGAATCGGGACTTTCTCTGATTGCTACCCAAATCACTCACAGCTAGGTACGTCCTCATCAAGACATACTGCAAGACGACCAATATCTATGCATGGCAAGCAAGCCCATAAAAAGCCTGGCCGAATGCTTGGGTGTATATTCATAGCGCGTGTAGTCGTTACATCGTTACTGTAGCAGGCGGTCACGTTCCGTTGCAGAGCGCGTCTGCTTGGCGTGTCTTTCACGCAGATATCTGTCCAATTCGTGGGCTCCGTGACACATCAGTCCTGCCAAGAAGCCCAGGGCATCGTTTCTGAAGGCTAGGATGCCACCCGCTGTAGTCAGCATCACGGTCCATCTCTCCATGCGCTCCTCGTCTGTCAGTTCTCGCTGTCGCCTATTGCTCAGGCCCGCCGCAGCCTGCCAGAGGTCTGGCGCACCATTATTTAGGCTGTTGCCTACCTTGGCTAGCTCAAGACCTGACGCGAAGACCATGATACCCAGCAGGCTCTTGGGGTAATAACGCAGGAGATCAACAAGAGTCTCGCCAAAGAAGAGGCCCAGCACCAATTTGAAGATTCCAAGCATGACAATGCTTGCTCCACTGCGAGCACCAAAGCGATACTGAGCTGCTAGCCCACCAGCACCGTGACACATTGGCATGCCACCGAACCATGTTCCGGTCAGATTCATGAATGCCACGCTCAAACCCATGGACGTGACGGAAGGCGCTGGAAGGTCTGGCAACAGATCACTTGAAAGCTGACTCACGGCGATGATCGAGTTGAGCGTTGTAAGGGGTAGCTGCCCTATCGCCATCCACAAGGCTGGGGAATCATGTCCGTTGACCCATTCAGGCATGACGAACCTTGGATGCCAGAGTTGCAATCCCGGTGCTCGCGCATCCCCTTTGGTTCCGATGCTGATGGCGGCGAACAAGATCGACAGGGCGAAGAAGCACAACGCATACGGGAAGCGCGAGAGTCTTTGGCTCATCACAAGGACAATGAACGCAGCAAGAGCCCACACACGATTGTCAAGAGCAGGGTCAACCCAGCGAAGCGGTTTGAGAAGTGATGATCCGGCCCCGATGACCAGTGACAAGCCGGCGCCCAGCTGGATGCCCTTAACCACGGGGATTGGCACGACACGAACGATCCATCGTAGAAGACCAGTAATACTCAGCACGAGGACTGCGACACCGACATATTGACCTGCAGCGACCACGACGCCCATGGACGGATCCTCGCGTGCCGATATAGCTGCCGATGCAATAGCCTGTCCAGCGTAAGTAGGGAGAGCGATGCGGGCGCTTCGGATCTGCGAACCTTCATGGGCTGCACGGGCAGAGGGATGCCAAACAGCAATCCTGTCAAGATGTTGAAAATGCCCGAGAAAACCAAAGTCGATCCCAGTTGGATGGAATCTTGCAAAGCAAGGGCGACCATCAAAGGAAGCAAAGTGCCCAGGTCACCGAGCGAGCCAGAGAGCTCGGCCCAAGGCGAGCTGCGGAATGTTGCAACATTGTGTCTGGTAAGACGCTTTATGTGAGCAGTCCACTGCGCCATGGCGATCTGATTTGGGGATGTTGGCCGTATTATAATGATAAATTCCACAAAGCGACCGCCCGCCTTGACTCTTGGGCGCTTCTGTGATCAGTGATGGTTGGACCTGAAGATAGAGAGAGAGGACAGTGTAGATGACTGTGCGCTCGGTGCGGCTACCCTGGAGAGGAGTATGACTTCACAGTGCATAAGGTATTTTATGCGGCGTGGTCAGCAATCTCCAATATTACCTTACCTGTGAGCATTGCAAGTTGAACACAACGCCGTGCTTGCCGGCTTTTGTCAGTCAAGATAATTCTCCGGTAAGTGGGAGTTGGAATCATTATTATCGAATTTATTGGACATCCCTGCTGCCCAGGTACGTACTTAGTACAGCGTGTTGATTTCTTTCAAAGGCAGCCCAGGCACAGCAGCGAGGATGGTGATTTCACCAAGGCAGACTCGGGGGCCGCGCCCCGTTTAAGCATCAAAATAAGCAAGTCTCATTCCTGCGTGCGATGCAGCACTACTGCGGTTTGCGTATCGTCGTACGCGGACGGTCCAACACCGAGCGACAAGACTATCCAACACAATTACGTGGTTCATGGTCGCCCGACGGGCGCTTGTGGGAATGTCCGAGGCGGGAATAAGACGAGGCTATCAACAACAGTCCTCCTGGTAACTGCCAAGACAAATGCGACTTGCGGAGGTCTACAGTGAGAAAACGCCGTAACACGGACCATGGGGCAACTATCTAGGCCACTTTCAGATTGGGAGACATCCGTAACGTGCCGGCTCGTGCAGGAGTAGCCCTCCAACAAGACTGGTTTGCTGGAGGCATGGCTGGCTGCGACTGCGAGTCAAGAGAAATTATTAGTGGGCAGCAGAGACTGCGAGAGCCCAAGAGCCTCATTGCGTGTTGTTGATGGACCCTTCGGATCGGTTATAGTGCGGCGGGCGCTTTATGGCGAAGGCGCGAGCGCGGTACGTACTGAGTCTTTTATCGTCTGCCTGAATTATGACCTCGGCCGGCCGGGACAGTACTTGTACGTATTGCTCTTTGAGGCCTTTATTACTTGTGCTTGCCAATGGGAGAGACAACACAGCTTAGAAACATCGTCAGGCGTGCGTCGGGTGGGATCAATTGTGTCCGTTGGGTTGATGGGCGCATTGCGAACGCCAAAGGTTGGAGGCTCTGTGATAATAATAAGGGTGGCCTTCAGGTTTCGATTTCCAAGCATTTCCAATTGACCTCATCAATTGGTCGAGATGTCGAACCGGCATTCAGTGCCTTGTGGGAAACACGCTTGCATGACTGGGCTGCTGGCAAACCGCATCGGGGATCTGTGGGACCAGAGAGCTGGGCGTCGTCGCGTGACTCTGGGGGACGGTGATCCTACAAGTAGACTCCTAAGAGTCCCAAGACCCCAGCATCTTATTATTATTGATGGTCATCCAGAGGACCAGAACCACGTACGGGGTAATACGTTGTCAGTGCTTGAAAATGGCAATGACGACAAGGGCTCAAAGAGGCCGCCAATCATTGATCGGTCAGATACCATCACGCGCGGTCAACACTAACAACTCACGGGATTCGATCCTGGAGGAGGATTCGGCGCACAGGCGCCGCGAGAGCCAGGCAAGACGACTGGACTGGTAATTACGAGGAAAGGATGGGCCCCAATCTCTGCGGACTTGACTGGAGATGTCTCATCGCAATGAGACCCGTAGCAAGTAGATAATGCCGCTACGATAGCGCCATGTGTACCTGCGTGCTGGATGGCGAGAGTGTGGAAGGAAGCCCGGACTCATCAGGCGTCGCACTGCAACTTCGCAAGTGGACGCAAAAGTGGAATGGCATCTCTGTCTGCTGGCGGTCAGAAATTCGCGCATAAAAGACCAGCCCAGATGGGGGCCATGGCTTCGCTTCCTCGGATGCGTCGCGGGCGGCTTCTCAGGCCAGGCGTCGCCGTGACAGGCTGACCGGGAGCTGCTGGGCCGTCCACCTCGTCGCGCGAATTGGCGATTTGCCGTAGTCCCGAGTCGCGGTGACGGGAGAGGTGGACGCATGCAGCAGGCTGGATGTATCGTGCCGTACGCCCATGGATCATACTGTGCGTGGTGTGATTCGTACGTGCTCAAAGCTGGCCTGTTGGATGGAGGATGTAATCGCCGAGGCCTTGGGCCTGTCCCAGGGCAGATGGCAAAGATGAACACCACGATACAGCTCGATGAATTTTACTTGGAACTTGTTGATGCTTCATCAGTCTCGGCCGGCCGATGCTTTGGCTCCCTCTGTCCCGAAAGGTCAAAAGCATCCAATTCACTGTGTGGGTTCTTCCCGGGGGCGTTGTGGGTGCCAAATTTGCTGGGGTGCCGACGGAAAGAGCCAGCCAGACGCAGGGTTCTAACTTCTCCAAGAGGCCCGTTGCTATGTAGGAGCTGGCGATTTTGGCAGGATCAAGGGCCGGCGCGCGATGGCCGACTAACAGTAGAGGACTGGACCTGATAGCGTCGAAGGAAAAGGCGCGCATGGCCAACGCTGCTCTAATTACATTGACGACGATTGTCATCAATTCATCTGTTAGCGTGCAAGCGTGCAATTCAGTGCAGCAGGTGACTGGGAAAGTCGCGATTGACTGAATCGGGCGTGACGTAGTGGATGCACACATCGGCAAGGCCCCACTCCTGGCTAACACGGCCAGGTGCGGTCGGCGCTGTTGCACTAACAACAAGTTGCAGACAGAAACTGAAGTCAGTGGCAGGCTGGCAGCTGGAGGCCGGAGGCAGGCGCCCCACTGCTGGCCCGAATCGCGCCTGCGTCGCCCACTTGCCCACTGAGACGCTGGGAGCGACCTTTTTTCTGGTGCTAATGAGAGCATTCTGATGATCAAACAAAACCACGGCCTAGCCCTTCTTTGAGCGTACCTCGTTCCCCTTCTCTCTGATCGATTCCTCTCCGTCCTCTGCCATTCTGCTGTCTCGATCCCTCCACCTGCTTCCTCCCCTCTCGCCTACCATCCTCTTTACTTCCACGCAATAGACAAGGTAAGCAATATTCCAGTCTCCAATGTCCTGCCGCCTGTGCCGGATGCGATGCTGGGCTGCGCAACGAACGAAAGATGAGATGTGCCTCTTCCACGTCCGCCGCTGCCCTTTCACCTGCTGCCGGTCATGTCAACAACGATCACTGGCGCAACTGATTGGGACTGCGTGGATTGGGTTCGTGTGACGAGCGCGACTCGACAGGGTTCCCAGCCCGTCAAACGACGTTTCTCCCCAACATCGCGTCTCGTCAAGGGCCGATCCGACCGTACGAGCCATTCTCAAATCCGCCAAACCGCACGCCTTTTACTCCCAGCGGCACACAGACGCTCAATCAATTGCCTGGCCGGAGTACGCTCAAGCGCTGGAAAGCCACTCATCACTTCACGTTCTGTCGGACTCAGCTCGCTCGCATGCATGCGCACGGAGACATGGGCCCACGCACCTCAAAGGACCGCCAACTAACATGACGTTTGTCTTCTCTTAGTCGCACAACTTTCTACCCACAGACACAATGGCTGCCATCGACACTGTTGCCGTCCGCGACCTTGTCGCGCGTGAGCTCGTCAAGCGCAAGAACTGGGCTCAGCGCGAGCCCGGTGTGATCACCGTCTTTGCCATTGTCGGTGCTGGTACGTTCGATTCGCAATCTCACTCTCCCCGCGTTTGAGCTGATCCGCCCCCCCAGTCGCCCTTGGCCTGATCGCTCTCTGGATCTACAAGTTCATGCAGAAGCGCAAGAGCGCCAAGCAGCAGTTCTAAATGGCCCGCGAGCAAATGCGAGGGATTTTGGACACTGTTTCGGCAAAGGGAAAGAGCATAGAGAGAGAGAGAAGAAGATGCGTGATGCAGGATGGGGTGTGTGAGTGAGCGCTGGCTGGCGTGTCGGCGCACGATCTAATTATACCCAATGGGTCGGCGCGGCACGTCATGCTCTCGGGCGGTACATGGGCATGTGGTGGACTGCCAGTCAATCGATTGTCGGTAGAGGTTGGCTGGCAAATCTGGCGAAAGTGGTGTTATCTTTGTTGCCATATGGTACTGCTTTCTTCTGGGCGATGGTCCGGCATGAGAGGTCAGGTCCTTTGTTCCAGCGTGCCCCCCTTAATGTTTTGGTTCTCATTCACCCGGTGTTGCTTGAGGATCTGTCAAATATGTACCTGCTAATACATTCATCATCATCACCATTTTGCTTGCTGCTCCGAATCATGCTATTTGTTGCGTTGACTCGTTATCAAACCTAAGGTAAACACCAACCCGAACGCCATTCGCCGGCTTGCGCCACTTCTTTGCTACAATAGTCTACAGGCCCTCCTTTGCCAACATGTCCGCAACGTCCAAGTAGAAAGCAATCGCGTTGAAGGTTCTCTTCATCCCCATCCACTCCCTCACCATCCACTTGACCTGGTTCGACCAGTTGATCAGATCGAGATGACTGACACCCACCAATGTGCCCTTGTAATCGCCCCAACAGCTGCTGTCAACGGCAACCAGACCGTCGTTTGCACCCTCGGCCTTGGTAATGGCGTGCCACGACTGCCGGAACGGGCTCAGCAAGGGTGGTTCCGTAGTCGACGCCCCGTATGAGAAGTATCGTGTCGATGGCGAGTCTGGCGTCGCGGGGTTGAAGACCTTTGTCATATGCGACGTTGTCAATTGCGCGAAAGCGGCCGTGCCGAGACCAAAACGCTCAATCAACCCGTAGAGCTTGGGCAGATGGACAAGCGCCTGGCCGTCCTCTTGCAGGAGCACGTCTGCGAACGAACTCCCTCGATGGGGGCTCGCGACCGTGACCAGGCTAGCAATGTCGACGTACTTGGGAGGGAGATGCGAGATCATGTAGCGGGCGTCCAAGCCGCCCATGGAGTGCGCGATGATGTTGACTCTCCCATCCCGTGTGGTGCTCGCGGCCGCGTCAATGTCCTCGCGGAGTTTCTTGGCGCGGTCTTCGATGGAGGAGGACGGCGGCACGGAGGCGCAGATGACGCGGGCCCCCTGAACAGCGAGGGCGTCGCGGATGCCGTGCCAGTATTGGACCGAGGGGAGGAGCGGCGTGAGCTGCAGCTCGGAGAAGCCCAGGAGGCCATGAGCGAGGACGATGGGGTACTTTGGTGTTTCTGTAGACACAGGTTAGTGTTGTATGGCTGGGACAAGGGGAGTCCACGTTGACTCACGATAGCTGTCGCGGATCGCTGCGTAGTCGTCTGATATCTCCCGTCCTAGCTCACGGATACGTGGATCGTGGTCCTGGGGGCGCAAGGCGGTTGAGGCAAACGATCGACGTTGCGGAGTATGGCGAACGCGGTGCCGGGCTTGGGCAAGCCCGGTGAGAGAGCGCGCGCTATGAAAGCGTCGGCATGGGCGCATCGCTATGTGGCAGCTCCAACATGGGTGTCTGCGCCGTCTTGGGGTGGATTTGGAGTCATGATGGTGAAGTCCAGCTTGATCGAACAATTTCCATGTCGTGGAATGCGGTTTCAGTGGGGCGCATTATTGACGTCACTGCGCGCGTTGCCGAGGCCCCAAGGGTCTCGACTGTTGCGCATGGAAACAACAAGTTGCATAGTCCTTGTCGCTCGTGTTTTAATAGTGTCTTAGTGTTGGTATTAGGGTGACTAGGATGGCAGTGTCGATGTTGCCCAGGTACGGACACACGTTGCTTCGCAATATTGCAGTACATAATGTGGATGTGACTTGGTACATGTACTCTTCGTCCATTTTGTTAGCCATAGGAACCCTCCTACGTGGTATTTACAGTGATACGTAGGCCATATATATGTACCTTCGACGTTCCGAGCACCCCCACTGGCCAGGCCTTTGGCGAGCCTCAGCCCTACAAACTCAGCTCTTCTCCGTGGGCATCTGGCTAGGCGCGTTCTCATTTGTGACACCGCTATACGCTGGTCTTTCCTGCATGCCGTCGAATGGTCCAGCCAAGTTTTCGGCCACGGCCTCTTCGTACGTCGGAGGGGCATCGTCATACGCAGGAGCGCTCTGTCCAGCTTGCAGCTGAGGAGGGTACAGCGGATCGTGTGCTGGTCCTGGTGCTTGCGCGGGAGTCTGGGCCTGCGGTCGTACTGGTTGGCCTCGCCCAGCACTTGGCCCAGCCTGTGGTACCGAGTTCTGCCGCGGCGGCAACCTAGGTCCCGGATTGTTCGTTGCGAAAGTCGCACGCCCTGGCGCTGTGGTCCTGGTTGCCTCGAGGAGCTCAGCAGGCGGGGTGATTCCCGAGAAGACCTCGATATTCTGAAACTGAAGAGGTAGATGTATCTCTGGCGATTGGGCCGAGCTGCCGTTTAACAATTTGCTGGTTTTGCTTGGCGGCCGCCCCCATGACACTCCGATTCTGATCTCCAATTCATATCTCCTGCTGAGGTTGCATGTAGTGAAAGATGGCGCTACAGTGTTGGGGAGCGCAGTCGTGTTCCATAAGTAGTCTGGAACCACTATCTCTTTTCCTACGTCATCCGAGGGCGACGTCGTCAAGGGTATTGCCAGGTTTATGCTGGAAGCGATAACCCAGCGGTTGGATCGTCGGCTGTGGATGCTGTGGCACCGAATATCTGTATACCCAACGAGATCGGCCTGGAAAGACGTGAGGAACACCTCGTCTGGGCAGTTGGCTAGCTTCTTGGCTACGAGCCGAAGAGGGACAGGCTTGTTGCAAGTCAACACCGGTGGATGAGGCAATCTCGCCGAGATCTCGACGGAGGGCGCTGGGGCAGTGTCTGCGTCTTGGGCACCTTTCGTGTCGCTTCCCGGCTTGAAGTCGTCCCCTTTCTTCGAGAAGAACGAACTACGCTTCCTTTCGGGCTGACCGGGCGACCGTATCCGGAAGGTGAAGGGACGACGTGCAAACGCCTCTTGCCCTGTCTTGGGTGGTCTCGGAGGTTCGATGGGCATGAACTTGAGTCCGGCCTGAAACCGCCAGTTCTCTTTCAGAAACCCAGGTCTCTGTACCGTGACTTTAATGTAGTACCTGATCTCGGCTTCCATGGGGAAGCCCGTAAGGGAAGGCGGCAGTGTTCTTGTGACATGGCGTAGGAACAACTGCTTGCTGCCGTCCATGACTCTCACGCCTCCCATTCCGAACAACCCACCCCCCTGTCCAAAACCGCCCATGCCGGCTAGGCCTCCTATCTTCGACATGGCCATGTGGTCGCTGCAGGCATTGTTTATGGGGAGCTTGAACTTGAAAGGGAAGGAGTGTTCCCCGGGTAATAGCGGATGAGCGCCATGGGGGTTATTGCTACTTGAATGATAATCATCCGGGAAGACTTGCTGGATCTTGTAGAGCAGCTTGTGCGTCTCGCTGACGGTGCTTCCTGGAGGACCTGGCATCGGGCCTTGCCTGAGGTCCTCGTGGGGATGAGGCACCTGCAAGGCAGTGGTTGACTCGCCCTCGAGCTTGACGACAATGTTGCCAATCTGCTCGGCGCGGTTCACCGCAAGCACGACTCGCCCGGAGACATAGTCCAAGTTGGTGTAGAATTCTGGCCGGTTGTCCACCACAATCCTGATGGACATGGCTACGAGAAGCCTGACCCTGCAGCGCGGACCGGCTGATCAGCAGGGTCCTGGGTCGCTGAGATCACTGAGCCTTGGATGATGTCAGGTCGCGCGACGCAAGTATTCTCAGGATGATCAACAGATTGTGCGAGTATTTGCCAGTTGAAGCTGTAGTTTCCGTAAGTAAGTAGGGCTTTGAGATGACGCTAGGTTCAAACTTGTTGCGCCAGGCGCGAGTCTTACATTTTGTTTGGCCACTTTAGGGATCTTATTCCGTCGCTTGAGGCTGGTGTCGAGGGCCTCGTCACCCACATTGGGCTGAGCCTCGCTGACCAAGCCACCTTAGTCGTGGCTCGGGCCTTGGCGTGCACGTGTGGCGTAACCTCCCTCGGCTGGTCGGACCCCTATAATGCCGACTATTGCTAGCAGTAGGTACATACAAGTGACAAGTGAGGCAGGCACGGGTAAAAGGCGCGTACCTCCCCGAGCGCGCATTCTCACCTTCACACAAGTTCACACTGCTTGATCAAACAATATGATCTTCGCTCCGTGCTTCGGTTCGTCTGCCGCCCTGTCGCTGCGAGCCTGCGACAGGCGACGGATCCTATCCCGACGGAGCCATGCATTGCGACTTTCTTGATCGGTCACAGCCACAATAGGACCCTGTGACTCAGGCTGCATAGATGCACGTTGGCTTCAAGTCAGTTCGTACAGCCTACTGGACTAGACTGGACGGACGGCTTCGACCGCACAAGGCAGCGGGCGTGGCTATCACAGCATTCTTTCTCGAGTCAAAGCCAACAACAGGATGGGCAAGCAGGCAAAATTGGTGTCCATCCGACTCTTTTGCCCTCGAGCGGCTCGGCATTAAGAGGTGCAGGCCCCGACACGTCTGCAGCTCCTCACGGTTCGTTGCGCAAGGCTGAACCAACTGCATATATGCCCGGCTGGCGACTCCACAAGTCACACGTCTCCGTCTGCACACAGGCATCGGCAAATGAGCCATGGAGGCGAGTTGTTCAGCTCTGAGCCTCTGAATGGTTCCCTGGCCATTTCATCCACCAAATGAGAACTCGACCTTCCCCTAGCTAACAAGCGGTATGTACGTTCCACAGCGGCCCGCATGCGGGCAGCCGTCAGAGAGCCAGAGCTGGCGGGCCTTTCTCCAGATGGTTATCGCCAATTTGCCTCCAGTCTGCTCGGGTCGTTTGTGCATCAGACGCGGCCGAGCCCGCAACCAGCTTTTCGCTACTGCACCTCACTCCATACCTTAACCTTGTCTGGGTAGTATTGAGCAAGCACACCACCTCCGCACCCAGTGGCTACGAGCCTGCGAATACTATACCCTGGCCAGTCGGTCAACGCCCTTTTGCCGCTCACAGCCGATCGGGCATCTCTGAGTGGACAGGCACAAGACAATCTGCGCTTGATGGACAAATAGATTACCTCCAAACCAACTCGCGGGATGTTTCCCCCTCATCTATGCCCACAGTCCATGCTTGTGCTACTCAACATTGCTTGGGCACGGTCTGCAGACATTGTCCATACTCACCCACCAACGCCATTTATGGTAGTGCACAAGCCGTGATCAAAAGCCTCAGGATGGTTGAGAAGTATGTACTTGCCGCTGTTACATGCCTACAGACTTTTCATGGAAGGCTTCCCGTGCCAGCCCTACTCGTACGCCGCGATGGAACCACATCACCCTCGACAGACCCGAAAGGTTGAACACAGACGGCACTCGCGGATCCATTCATGCAAGGCGGCACAACGTCGAGTGACACTGGGCCAAGTAGGTCTTTGCCGCGGCAGGGTGAGTGGGTGCGCACCCCAGTGGGGGACATCGCTTGCCGCGCCTTTCTGCAGCATGGGCTACGCCGCATGTATGCCGGCGACTTTTGGTTATCACCCAAAGCCTTCCTAATGTGCCCTACTAGGTGCATGCAGACAGATGAATGTATATATGCCGTGTCTCTGCACCTCGCCCTCGGGGCTCTTCTTGGACCGGGCACCACCAAGCTCTGCCATGACACTTTTGGCATCTCAACTTATCAAGAGCTCATAATGGCGGGCGACTGTGGCTCAGTCTGCCCCATGGCGGATGGATTCTACAGTGCCAAACCAAACATAGGAGCCAACGGGGCTCTTGTCGCCTTGTTTGCCGCGTTGGTGCCACTCTGCCTCTTCTATGGGCTGCGATACCGTACCATTATCTTCTCCGGCTTCCTGTCGACTGGCTCCCTGCTCACTGCATTGGGCTTCCTCGGACGCCTTCTCCTCAACAGCACGCCCACGAGCCAGGGATACTTCCTGCTGTCGTTACTGGGAACCGTCCTTGGACCGGTCTTCATCACCGGGGCTGCTTTTGAAGCATTGCCGCACATTCTGAATGTGTATGGCGAACGGCTCAGCCCAATCAGGCCCTGGATAGTGGCCATTGCCCTTTACACCGCTTGCCTTGTGGTTGGCCTGCTGGAGCTGATAGGACTCTGCTTGGCTGCCTTCCCCCCAGGCATGGATGTACGTCTGACTGTACTCACTTTGTTGTATGCTCTGACTTACAACTCGCAGCGTAAGAGCGGTACGAGCTTGATCGCAGGTGGGCTGGGCGTGCAGCTCTTGGCCCTTGTGGGCTTCACAGCCATACATGCTTGGTTCAGAATGGGCCTCAGGACCAGGCGAGCCGACATCGATCCGAAACACGCTGCCCTGTATGAATCAGCCAGGTTTAGACGGTTCTTGCTTTGTACGTGTTTTCAGGCACATCGACTGCTGCGGACGTGCACAGTTATCACTAACATCCGATAGCTACACAGCTTGCCGTTCTCCTCTTGGCCGGTTACTCGACGTACAGGATTGCCGAGATGGCGCAAGGCGTTGCAGGGTCCTTGTTCCAGAACCAATATGTGACCTGCGTCTTGGATGGACTCGTCGTGTGGCTGGCGGCCTTGCTCCTGCTGTTGCCTCACCCGGGTTACACGTTTCGTGCTGCTTGGGGGCCAACATCAGCTTTCCGCCACCGTAAGCGACTGCAACGTCGTCGGACGCCGCCCACGCCGCTCAACCCAATGCAGCACCGACCGGAGGGGTACAAGGCGCATGCGAGGTACGACCCTAATATCCGAGCCCAGATCTCGCCCACCTCGCAGCGGTCGCCAAGGGCATCCGAACCTCCAGCCAGCTCGCCCGGCCTGCCCTCTCACCCCAAGGCTTCCCTCAGGACGAGCCCGATGCCCTCGCCCACGGAGACAATGCAGACGACTGGCACGATTGAGAACAGGACCAGCTTGAAGGCTGAACGGAAAAGCAATGTCCCGCCCAAGAGGTTGGTTGAGGAAGATACCCTCTGGTAGGGGGAGGCTTGAAGCACCGAGATGCCTGGTTATCTTTCATGCTCAGTCGGTGCAGCGGCGCTGCAGTATTGAGCAATGATTGGGATGATGTTGATACCTTGGGGGAGTTATTTGCTTCTGTTGGATGGAAGTTGTGTAAAATGCAGCCGCGTGTCGGTACCCTTTCCTGTTGGCATGCATGATCGGATATTCAATTGCCGTTATAGCAAGCAAATCACACATTCACAGTCAACAGCGCATAGACCTGTTCGTCACTCCGAGACAACTATGGGAATTCAACTTGCTTGAAGAAACTAACGGCGTTCTTGATTCATACTCATAATCCGGCACAGTCAACCGACAATAATCGAAAAGCTGCTCAACAATGTTCGCCCCAGTCCATCGGCGCCTGCTTCTTAATTAATATACGCCAATCTGAGCCCTCGCTTGACGCTCCCCAGCAGCCTAGATCACCGGATGAATGTGGTGGGTGCTAACACCTTCAGGGCAGGGTACGCTTGCCCATAGCACGGAGCTTGTTGATGGCCTCAGTATCAGGGTAGGTCCTCTTGGGGAGGCCACGCTTGCCTATGGCGCGCAGGTTGTTGATAGCCTCGGTGTCGGGGTACGAGCGCTTGGTGCGTGCCACCTGGGGCGCGCTTCGCATGCCCATGGCGCGCAATTTGTTGATGCCCTTGGTATCGGGATAGTTCCCACTGGGCAGGGCACGCTTGCCCTTGGCGCGGAGCTGCTTGATGGCGTCCACGTCGGGGAACGAGCGCTTGGCGCGAGTCACCTGGGGCGCGCTTCGCATACCCATGGCGCGGAGCTTTTCGATGCCCTTGGTGTCGGGGTAGTTCCTCTTGGGGAGACTGCGCTTGCCCATGGCGCGGAGGTTGTTGATGGCCTCGGTGTCGGGGAACGATCGCTTGGGGTGCGAGCGCTTCCCCATGGCGCGCAGGTTGTTGATGGCCTCCACGTCGGGGAAGCTGCGCTTGGCGGGCTGGGCCTCGGGGATCTGGATGTCGGGTAGACTCCGCTTGCCCATATCGCGCAGGGCGTGGATGGCCTCCATGTCAGGGTAGTCTCGCTTGGCGTACTGGATATCGGGCATGCTCCTCTTGCCCATGTCGCGCAGCGTTTGGATGGCTTCCATGTCAGGGTATGAGCGGGCAATCAGGCCCATCTCGGATCGCCTGCCAGCCGGGGCGGCGATCGAGGTGCCCGCGAGGGCGAGGAGGGAGAGACCGATGTTGACCATGATGATGGCAGTTGTTGGATAAATAAAGAAACGTAGGGAACGCTTGTAGTGGTGGTCGTGTAGCTTTTCAAAAGGAAATAAGATGTACAGACAGACAGAAAAACAAGAGACCGGCTCTTGTTAAGGAAAAGGTGGTCGTCGTGTTGGTGTAGTTGTGGATGAAGAATGAGGAAGAGATCCCGTATGAACGTTCTAGGGCGACGTCGTTTGGCTTATATCGTGGTCACGCAGCGCAGACATGACAGGCTCACGACCCATAAAGCTGACGCCGACTCGCAATGACGATGACGTTGAATTACCATGAAGAGGCGATCTGACGGGGTGCATTTGAGGCTCTGCAAGGGCCGATCGTCGTAGGATTTCAAGGGTCCAAGGGTCCTCCGTTCCTGGTCGGAGACGTCCACACCGACGCCTCGGAGGCTTGATTGGCGGCTCTTCTGCCGATCGAGTCCGGGCCCGAGGCTGTAGGAGCCCATCCGGGTTGTAGGATTTATTTTGATGGGTATTGTGTGCCGTACGCGTGGAGGCGTCGAGGCTGATCATGTCGTCGCTGGCTGTTTCACTTGACTGCGCCGCTGCAAATCTGCGCTCCTGCAAATCTGCGCTTCTGAGCGCAGAGCAACGGAATGTCGCCCTCGTGCCAGCTTGTCCGACCACAGAAGTTCTCCTGGGAATTGCCGGTGGGCTTGGATGAGTACCAGCTTGCTCATTTGCTAAGTCATTCACTCCCATCGCAGTGATCGCACCCAGCGACTGGGTGTGGAGGATAATACGCCTTTTTATACACGTTCAAACAAATTTACCTTGAGGCATGACCGCCAGAGACATTCCACTCCTGCTTGACTCGAATGCCCGAGTCCGCGGCATAGCCCCCGTGATCGCTGTTGTCGCTGCTGTCCGCACGACCTACCTCCCTATCAGTGGTAACGGCTGTGTGGGACTTGGGCCCCATGGGTCGCAGCCGGTACTGGCTTGAATCATCGCTCAAGGGCTGGAAGCCATCTGCCTTTTTGATAGCCCCCGAGGGTGCACGCGCGGCATTCGAGCTGCCCGCTGCCGAGTCGTCGGTGAAGCGCGCCGTGCCGTTGGCCGAGTACTTGCCGGCGCGGCCCAGAAGAGGGCGCAAGAGTGGGACGCAGGCGAGGATGACAGCGATGGACGGCTCAAGGCCGGAGAAGATGTTGGCGAGAGGGATTGAGTACGTGATGTCGGCAAAGTCCATGCTAGACAACGTGTGGATGCGGAAGCCGCTGACTACGCAGGTTCTGCAGTCGCATGTTAGTGGACGAGGGTTCATGTTCGTGAGAATGCCGCAGGATTGGGCAGAACTCACAGGAAACCGATGCTGAAGACGCCGATGAGGACCATCTTCTTGTAGGTGGGCAGTTGCAGGCGGACCAGGTAAGGCAATGGCAACGCTAGGACCATGACGTCGGTGATCAGGTTCACAATGCCTGTGATCGTGAAGGAGAGGACTTGATCACCGCAACTGCCACCTGGAATCGTCTTGTCCCAGTTAAATGCAAAAGGCTGGCAGATGGTCAAGCCAGCGATGACGGTCCCGACGGCCCACACAGCAATGAGTACAATGGCCCCGCAGGCACACCACATCAAACTTGTCACTGGGAAGACCCTGATGTACAGCAGCAGAATCGAGACCTTGCTGACGGAGAGTGATAGTGCCCACAGGATCTGGAGCGGGATGAGAAGCTGCAAGTGACAGTCAACATATGAATGATTCGATCATGGCCGTGCAAGTCACCGAGGGGTCTGTCCGTAACTTTGAGAGGTTGATCACAGGTTCTGGCCCAAACTCGGCTATGATGTCTAGTGTGTGACCGTAGCCAATGCCGCATTGTATAACGCCTGTTTTCCTCCATCAGTTTCCAGTCCGGCATCCTCTCGGTAGGATCGCTTGTCTGTGGTGCCTACCAGTGATACTGACAGCCTCCAGAGCAACTGCCATGACCTGTGTATGAGTCGTTAGCATACCAAGCAACACTGCAAGAGAAGAAGCAAACCAACCATGGCGACCATGATCAGGTAGTCGTTTGTGTCCAGCTTTCGGTTGGCGACATGTCGAGCGGCCAGGCGTGCGCACACGGCGAGGACTGGGGGAATTGCAAAGCTGATGGCCACCCCCAACACGGCCTTTTGATCGGGTTGGACAACGGGAAAGATGACCGTCATCGTGGAGGGTCTTTGCGCCTCCCTTGTCCAGCCGCGTCTGGCTTCCAGAACTGACTACTTGGTGTCGACGGTGCAGGTCGAAGTTTGACGTGTCAGTTAGCAAGGGAGCGTCGTAGTTGGCTGTAGTTTGTAGCAACGGCTTGTTCAATGGCTTGCTGATCTCAATGGCAAAGGGAGATCACAAAAGATAGAAATGATGCCGGCATGTATGAGACACAGGATGACCGGGACCTTCTTGTGGCCGTCAACCCCTACCGATCGGACCGGCGCATGGTAAGATACGGAAACTTGGACGTGCCGGCCGTGGGAACGCCAAGGAGCGGCTGGCCCGCATGCTTATGCACAAGCAATTGTTACTTGTGCTGTTCATTGTTGAAAGGGCTATTTATTAGCCTGGCGATATCATCTCTTTTGACCCTCGGATCCGGAGTTCGTCTCGTTGCTGCGGGCGAGTGTTACAGTAATTACTGTCGTTGGTGAAAGGCCGTAATCGCGAGAGTACAGTTGTGCACAGCGTTTACTTGTCTTAATCGTTGAGCGAAGACCTCGATCTGGATGCGTGTTTCTTTTTCTCAACCGCCTCCCTGCATGTTGTGACATGTCAGATATTCACCCGCATGTCCCGCGCACGTTCTTCTTGCGGTGGGACTCGAGATTGTGACTTGTAACGCTGCGAGATCTGCTCACTTACCTTACGTAGGGACTGAATTAGAGGCAATCCAGATTTTTCTGAAAAATTGAACGGACTGGTCGTTGACAGCGGCCAAGTGATGCAAGTGATGCAAATGATGAGTGGAGGACGCATCTTATCCTGTGGTGCTCACTGCTGGGCACTAGAGAGACGGCCCACCCGTAGTGTGCTTTAGCGCTCCACGCCGTCGTTTTGCAACTTGCTGGGCAGGTCGGGGAAGAGGATCAATGTCTTGTCTTGTGGGGATGTCGATGGACAAGTGGGTTGGCTATACTGATAGAAGAATCGTAGATTCTTCAGTCCACGCGCTGGACTAGCAAAGACCGTGGCGGAATGCGACAGCAGGCACAAGATGAAGCTACGAACATTACGATGATTCAAGTGCAGGGTAGGTCTTTTGGGTACAGTATTCTCAGGAAGGCACCTTCTCTATCCGTAGCCTCCAGGCACCACCGCCCAGGGTTCCTGCCCAGGATCTGTCTTCGGACTCTGGACGGACTTTTCACTCTGGCAATCTCCGGCGTCTATTGTAATTACTAGTCGGCCGTGATTCTACCTTTCTGCCGCCTCTTCAGTCCTTTTATGATTCCAGTGATTGACGCTGCGGCCTACGGACTCGACCCTCCGTGATCGCTGTCACACTGTCGACAACAAACTACTAATAATACGGCAAATTTATAATATTAAGGTATGATAGCTCCCAGTGGCTTGCCCGGACCGCCGCCGTCTTCCTTGCTAGTTGCTACTAGTACACTGGCTAACAGCCGTTAGTCAAGCGAGTGCCAAGCGGCGATGTGCCTCATTTTGCAATTGTTGGACTCGGTTCTCTGCTTCTTGTCTCGCACGTTGCATTTCTAATAAGCCTGCCAGGGTCGACCCCTCCTTCTTCTCCAGTCCTCTGCGACGACCGACTGGAGATGCCGCCTCTCATTTCAGCCCACCAACTCTCCATGACCGCGCTATTTCCATAGCGATGAACAAGGCGACTCAAGACATCCCCTATCAGGCACTTGGCAGAGTGACCACCATTGTACGTATATCTGTATGAACAAGAAGCTCTCCCCTGCATAAAGCTGTGGGTGGCCAGATGCTTCCTCAATCTCGACTTGAGACACGCCCGCCCACCCGCCAAAGTCAACGCTCACTTCGTAGAGCTACAGCGCCGCCGCCATGATCGACACCATCTCCATCGTGGCCACGGCCGTCATCTTTGCCCTGACCGTCTTCTTCCTCACCTCAAGCAAGGACGACAATGGCGGCGCACCCAAGCTCCTCAAGCTTCCCATCATCGGCGACCTGCACAGCTCGCCCATTGGCAAGCCTCTGCAGAACTGGGATGTCTGGTCCAAGACCAAGGGTGCCATTGCCACGGCCAACCTCTTCGGCATCGCGCCCATTGTCGTCATCAACACCAGCGAGGCCGCCACGGAGCTCCTGAGCAAGCGAAGTGCCTGGTACAGCAACAGGCCCAGCTCCGTCAGCGTCGAGATGATCACCGGCGCCGGACCTGGCCAGTCCAAGTTCACCCTCATGCATGACATGGACGATGTGAGATCCGACTCTGCCCATCTGTGCCGATCGTGATGTTGAGTTAAGTTAATCCTCCGGATAGCACCTCCGTCTCCACCACCGCATCCTCGCCCCGAGCCTTGGTCCCATCGCCGCCCCCAAGTACCAGCCCGTCATGCAGCTCGAAGCCAAGCAGCTGCTCGTGGACATGCTCGCCCTTCTCCAGCCCTCAGATGACAAGAACGTCGTCCAGAGCGCCCAAGTCTACCCTCTGCTCGAGCGCACCCAGGCGAGCAACATTCTCGCCCTGCACTACGGTCTTCGGGTCCCGACCGTCGGCTCCCCCATTTACCATGAGATTGTCGAGATTCAGAAAAAGGTCACCCATACCGCTGCCAACCCGGGCATTCCCGACTTCATCCCCCCGGTCCGCCACCTTCCCGCTGTGCTGTCCCCATGGAAGAGGGCCGCCAACAAGTTGTACGAGGAGCAGACGCGGCTCTACTTGAGGCTCCTGAAGCACGGTGACGAGGCCGAGGGCTGGAACGCAACGAAGCAGGCGCGGACTGTCGCCGCCAAGCATGCCCCGGGCGGCATCCCCGACATTGATCTCGCGTACACGCTGGCCACCAGCATTCAGGGCGGCATGGAGACCAGCCCTCGAGCCCTGCTGTGGTTGTTCATCGCGGCCATCTCGTCCAAAAGGGACTTCATGTCTCGTGCCCACGCGCTCTTGGACAAGGTGGTCGGCCGCGACCGTCTTCCCACCTTCGCAGACCGCCCCCAGCTTGCCTATATCGACGCCATCGTCTGGGAGCTGATGCGCTGGCGGCCTATTTCCCCCGGCAGCATCCCGCGGCGCGCCGACCGGGCCGATGAGTTCAAGACTGTGCCCATTGTGAAGAACGCCACGGTCTTTGCCAATGCGTGGTCCATTGGACGTGACCCCGAGGCCTTTGCGCCCGAGCTTGGTGCGCTGGAAAGGTTCGTCCCCGAGCGCTGGCTCGAGGGAGAGCGGATGAAGGAGGACGTCACCGCGCAAGGCGAGCTGCGCACGTCCCTGCCCCTGCCAGTTTTTGGCCAGGGCCGGAGGAGCTGCATGGGGAAGAGGGTCGCGCTGGATGGCAGCTTCATGCAGGTGGCGGCCCTGATCTGGGCGTTTGACTTTGAGCCGGTCGACGAGGTCGACGACCTGGAAATGGTCGTCGTTGGCTTCATGACCGAGCCCAAGCCGTTTAGATTCCGGCTGAAGCCGAGGGGCGACTGGGTGCGGGACGTTGTGGCCAGGGAGTATGCCAGTGCGGACAAGGACGTCTGCAGTGTCCTGGGCGCCGTGGTGGACATTGAAAGTAAATAATAGCGAGTCTTATGGAAGAAGAAGAAAATTGGGTGCTTGAGAGAAAATCTGTCTATGCACGCTCTTGCAAGATACATGCGTACAAGCCCCGCGAGGGGGGAGCTGAGCCCGCCGGCTAATTACACTGTCTAACGAAACTAACCGATTACCAGCTGTACCGGCACATGCGATCCTCCTTGTCGGTCAGGTCCGACTTCGGCTGGCCCGTCTTGTCCAGCACGACTTGGCCGTCGACGGCACCGTCAAAGCCATCTTGGACGTCCCTGGCATCCCGTCTCTTGTTGTCCGCGACGCAGAGCCATCTGTACAGGATCATGGAGCAGAAGAGGAGGCCCCAGGTGACGAGGGCGGTGATGACGCCCTCTGTGTAGCGGGGCTTGTTGGTCCACAGCTGGGGGGAGCCGATGCAGCCGGCGCAGTAGCCGATGAAGAACATGGTGTTGACGACGGCGCGCTTGGTGTTGCCCTTTACGTTGGAGGCGGACAGTGAGAGGAGGATGGACATGACCGAGGTGATGCAGGAGGCGAGCCAGGCGGAGACGATGATGCCCCAGTGCGAGTCGAGGGGCAGCTTGATGAGCAGGACGTTGCCGACGACGGGGGGGATGACGAGGGCCATGACGACGAGGGTCCTGTTCCGGGGGAAGAGCCAGCAGAGCAGGACGCCGACCCAGAGCATGGCGACCTGGACGGCGCCCGAGGGCGCGGTGAAGAGCATGGTGTCGAGCTGGTCGTAGCCGATGGCGTTGATCATGAGCGAGGCAAAGGTCAGGACGGGGCTCTGCATGGTGACGAGGACGCCGAACCAAAAGACCATCCAGGCCTTGGGGTCGAGCATGGTCTCGCGCAGCTGGTCGAGGGAGAAGGACGTCTTGTCGCCGCCCTCGCGGTCCTGGGCCATGCGGGCAGAGAGCACCTCCTTCTCGCGGGGGCTGAGGAACCAGGCGTCCCGGGGCCCGCCGGGCATGAGCAGAAAAAAGGCGACGCCCGAGGCGGCGGTGAGGGCGCCGCAGACGAGGAAGAGGACACGCCAGGGAGCGAGGCCGAGGGCCGTGTTCTTGCCGATGCCGTACATGAGCAGGCAGCCCAGGACCTGGGCGACGCCGTTCATGGTCACCCATAGGGCGGTGCGCAGCGCGTGCTCGTCCTTGCGCCACCAGATTGACGTGATAGTGACAAAGGCCGGGGACACGGCGCCCTCGGCGAAGCCGAGCAGGAAGCGGACGGCCGCGAAGGAGGCGTAGGATTTGGGCGCGGCGAGACACATGCAGATGATGCCCCAGATGATGCTTTGCCACGGTCAGAACGCTGTTTGCAAACACAAGAGAGAGACTTACACTGTGCCGCCGACAAACTTGGTCAGGGGCAGGCGGGACATGAGGTAGATGAAGGGGTACTCGGAGACGAGCTGGCCGACGTAGAAGATGGAGCTGCACCACGAGTACTGCGAGGCGGTGAGGTCGAGGTCCTGGATGAGGCCAAAGACGCCGGCGTACGAGAGGGACTGCTTGTCGAGGTATTGCAGAAGGAAGACGAAGCACATCTAGCGTGCATGTCAGTCAGCATGTCGTTCGTTCACTGGGCGATGGGTTCGGAAATGGGAAGGGACTGGACGTACAAATGGCAAGACGACAAAGTCAATCTTGCGGAGGACGGCCTTCTCCTCCTCGGGCGTGTAGGAGACCTGTGCGTCGAGCACGACAGGCTGTACGCTCTCCTCCTTGCCCGTCATGTCGACGGACGAAGGCGCTCTGTCGTCGGCCAGCGCTGGCTTCTCGCTGTTCTGGACCTGGGCCATGATGGATGGGGCAGCCCTTGTATCTTTCGTTCTCTGTCTGCGATGCTTGCCTCGATGCAGGGAAGAGGTGAGAGGTTGTGAAGAAAAAGAAGAATGGTCTCGAGCACACACGCAACGAGGCAGCCGTGATACTTCTACTTCTACTTCTACTCCACGTGGACTTCCCCGGATTCGGGCTGCGGCAGGCGAGAGATAAACCAGCGACATTTGGCAGCGTAGCCGTCGTCACCGTAGTCGTCTCCACCGTTATCAAGAGCCCACCATGCGGCATGGATCAGCCTGGGGGAAGTGATGGGTTGTCGCGATTGAGAGTCGGAGGCTGGGATGAGATTGAGAGCCCGCCCGGAAAGGCAGGGGGAGGGCATGTTGCCGCTGTCGGGACTCGGGAGGATGGATGGCTTGCTTGCCGATAAGCATCGTCGGCAACGTGGCATCGGCAGGGTGTCGCGGCCATGCTGCCGACGCTAGGGAATGCCAGCGCAATCAGCCGTGGAGGCGAAGGGGGCGGGGACCGGTCAGGGGAAGATGTCGAATGACGGAGGGACTGGAGGCCGGGATGCAGACTGAGAGAGGCGGCTGCCGGTCTGATAAAAGAAGGGGATGCAGAGGCGACTTGCTCCTTTCACTCATTGAACACGGATACAGTGTGTGAGTGAACCAAGGCAGGCAAGCAAGCAAGCAGCAAGCAGCAAACGACATGGTGCCAGGATCCGATATCAAGCCTTGGCTGCGCGAGGCGGCGACCAGCCGGGCCTTGATCAACGCCACCGTCGTCGACGTGGTCAAGGGCACGACGGCTGCCGACTCGACCGTCCTCATCTCAGACGGCCACATCACATCCGTCACAGCATCGGCGGACGCCACGATCCCCGAGGGCTGCGCCGTCGTCGACTGCCAGGGCAAGTTCATCTGCCCCGGCCTCTTTGACGCGCACGTCCACTTCTGCGCGGTGCCTGGCTTCGCCGACCTGTCCAAGGCGTTTGGCAACCACCGCGACGTGTCGCTACTGCGGCAGCCGTACGTGGCGGCGCAGATGCTGCACCGCGGCTTCACGAGCGTGCGCGACTGCGGTGGCGCGCAGCTCGCCCTCAAGGAGGCCATTGCCGAGGGCGTCTTCCGCGGCCCGCGCGTCTTCATGGCCGGGCACGCGCTCTCGCAGGCGGGCGGGCACGGCGACATTCGCAGCCCGCACGACGACTCGCTCGAGTGCTGCGGCGGGCACACCAACGGGCTGGGCCGGCTGTGCAACGGCGTGCCCGAGTGCATGACGGCGGTGCGCGAGGAGGTGCGGTCGGGCGCGGACTTTATCAAGATCATGGGGTCCGGGGGCGTGTCGACGCCGACGGACGCGCTGGAGCACCTGCAGTTCACGCGCGCCGAGATCCAGGCCATGGTCGAGTGCGCCGAGAATGCGTGCACCTTTGTGACGGCCCACGCGTACACGACCAAGGCGATCCGGCACTGCATCGACAATGGCGTCAAGGGCATCGAGCACGGAAACTTTGTGGACGAGGCGACGGCGGCGCTCATGGCGGAGAAGGGTGTGTACCTGACACCGACGCTCATCACGTACAACCAGATGGCGTCGGAGCGGTGGAGCGGCTACCTGCCACCCGAGTCGCAGGTGAAGAACACAGAGGTGTTCAAGGCGGGCCTGAACGCGCTCCGGGTGGCGTCCGAGGCCGGCGTGACCATGTGCTACGGCTCGGATCTGCTGGGACCGCTGGGCGCGGCGCAGACGCACGAGTTCGCCCTGCGCGCGCAGGTGCTCTCGTCCGCCGAGGTGCTCCGGTGCGCGACGGTCAACCCGGCCCGGATGATGGGCTGGGGCGACAGGATAGGGCAGGTCAAGGAGGGCTTCGTGGCGGACGTGCTGGTGCTGGACAAGAATCCGCTCGAGGACGTGACGATACTGGACGACCCGGAGACGAACCTGCTGCTGGTCATCAAGGAGGGCCGCGTGTACAAGAGCCGGTGGGCGCAGTGTGCGGAGGATGCGGCGGTGCCTGTGCGGGTAAAGGCTGCGTGATTGTAGAGGTTTGGATGGACTTGGAGTTATGGTGATGATGATGTCTGGCTTGGTTACCTGGTAGATAGCCCCTTTTCCTGGAGCTCAGGGGTATGTACACAACTTCATAAGGATGATGACTTGCGGTTGCGCTAAGCATCACAATCTCTTGATGAGATATTGATGAATGAGAGGAGAGCGGCACAAGCCACATTCCTTGCTTCATTGCGTAAATAATAATCCATATCGGTGCCTGAATGAGTAGAGAATCTCCTCCCACTCGGAGGCGGCCGTTATGATAGTTAAGCGCTTATGGGGGCAAGTGGGTCGGTCGGTCGGCTTGTCAGTCGCGACTGCCTAACTAACTACTTTACTTTATCGCACCTTCCCTTGGACTTGACGCTCAGGAATTCACACCTCTCACTCTCTACTTAGTCCTAATCATCCGCCTCTCCTCCTCTCCCCTTCTCATGGCACGCTAGACAATTGCTCGTTCGTTCATTTTCCTATTTGTCCTTACGTCCACCGTTTCGTTCAATCGTTCAGTCGCTCGCTCGCTCACCCTCTCCATGTGAGTGAAGATGAGCGAGCTCGCCCTCGAGCGGCGGCGCCTCCGACGACGCGTTGCCGACGACAAGCGCAAGAGGGCCCCCAGAGCGTACGACTCCCCGCATTCCGCACCCAATGGTTCGCTGCTGTCTCTAGTCCAGACCAGACGCTGACTTTCCAACCCAGGTGCGATCGCTGCAAGGCTAGGAAGAGTCGCTGTATCGAGAGCACGCCGGGCACTTGCCGGCGATGTGAGGCCAAGCACTTGACCTGCATCTACGACGACAGGCACCAGAGCCCTGGTCATACGGATGCGTCGCCTCTCCCAATGCCCGCGAGGCACTCTGCTGTCCGGAACGGCACGACCCCTGGTGATGACAACATCTCCATCAACAGCCGTGCGTTTGTTCCTCACCCCTCCACCACCGCACGCGCAGAGACTGACCCCCAGAAGACCAGGCAGACCGCATCATGTGGCCTCGCTTCCTCTCTCGCCTGCGCGAGGCCTTCTCCCTCGACGTCCAGAGCACCCCCGAGGCCCACGACATGATGGCCATGCAAGCCTCCATCTCTGGGCCCCGGAACCTGCTCCCTGCCGAGCTGTCACGTCTCCGACGAGCCATTGACGCCTTTCCACCGCGCCCCGTCGCAGACTACCTGCTGGCCGTCTGCATACGCCACGGGACGGATTCCTTCTTCTACTTTGACCAGGCCCACTTCCTTCATGAGATTGACGAGTTCTACAACGACCAGTCCTCCCCTCTGCGTGGCGACATTGGCTTCATCGGGCTGGCCCTCGCCGCTTTTGCGCTCGGCAGCCAATGGACGCCCATGGAGAGGCCAAGCGAGGGCCCGACGCCGTCGTCGGCGGGTGACCATGACCCCGGCACCCTCTTCCATTCTAATCTCAAGACGCTGGTCCCCGACTTGATCGAGCGCCCGTGCCTGCGCAGCATACAGGCCTTTTACGTCATGGGCGTCTATCTCATGCCCACCAGCGCCGTCGGCTCGTCGTACGTCTACATTGGCCTCGCGCTGCGCAAGGCGTTGGCTTTCGACCTGCACCAGAGCGCCGACGAGGCCAGCATCGACGAGCGCGAGCGCGATGTCCGCAACCGTCTCTGGTGGTCCATCTGGTCGCTCGAGAGGATCACGGCGCTCAAGCTGAACCGCGCACGGAGCGTCGACATTGAGCATGTCACCGTGCCACTACCGACGCCCGTGGCGAGCCTGGACCAGGGGGACAGCCGTATCTTTGACAATGTGCAGCACCAGATTGCCATGGCCAGGCTCGTCAAGATTCTCGATGGGGTCACCGACGTCGGGTTCGTTTTCCTCCGTCTCCTCGCTGGCTCACGCTCACCTTTGTATACAGAACTCGTCCAAGCGCAACGGCTGTTCGCCGTCTCGAGGCCAGCCTCAAAGACTGGAAACATTCGCTGCCCTTGCAGTTCAAGCTGGCCAACATCAACACCCGCGACTCGAGCTACCGCGCCGTCCTTCATCTGTACCTCAATTACTACTACGCCTGGATCGCCATGGGCAAGGTCTCGGTGGTCACGGTCGTGCGAGACCATCTTCGTCAGAACCTGAGCGGCCAAGGCCTTATGAATGCACCCGCCCTCGACGCGGCGGTCCGCGACTTGTCGTATGCCTGCAGCAGAGCTGCGAGCAAGATCCTGCGCCTCTTTGAGATGCTAAGCAACACGGGCAACATTACGCGCTTCTCCTTCACGGACTTTCAGGGCTGCAGCATCGCGACCATTGTCACGCTGCTCTCCGGCATCCAGGGCCGTGACTCTGGGTACGAGGGCCGGGTCACATTTGGCCTGGACTGCCTGAGGAAGATGGCGGCCGGCAACATGACGGCCAAGGTAGGCGTCCGCTTTGTCGAGGCGCTGCAGGCGATTGCCGACGAGGCAGTCATGAAGCTACGACACGCCGAGCACGATCATCAGCACGAGGTGGGTCTTGACTCTGGGGCGGCCGAGTACACCCGCTGGGCGCAATGGTTGTCGCGCGCGGAAAACGAGCCGCAGAGCTTGGGCAGCCCGTCAACAATAGCGACGAACGTTGCGCAGCCGGCCGTCATGCTCGGTGCGCCGCCGACAACGGACAACAGCAATCTGCCCATGACGCCGTCGGTTCGGGATGCTGCCATGTGGGATCACCCCACAAATGACTCCCTGCTACCGCCGCTGGCACCACCCTCGGCTGTGGCGCCAGCACTGTCGACGTTTACTGCCCGGCCCATGTTCGAGCACTCCAACCACAATGGCGGGTACGGAGACGACTTTTTGCCGTCGTCGCTGTATGGCGATGATCAGAATTTCCTCATGGGCCTCACGGGGTTGGATGTCTTGGACTTTTCGGAGCTGACCACGCCATTGTGACTTTGTGAGGGAAAGTGAGCACCTTCCCAGGGCCCCAGAAAACAAAGGAAAATCCTGACGCACACTAATAAGCTCCCGCGTATCCATCCTGCGTGCATAATTAAGGTAATGCATTGCATTAATCCTCGGTCGCCAAGTCGCGCTCGGCCACACGCGTCCAGGTACACCGACAGGCGGCGATGTACGGCTGCTATTTTTGTGCACACAGCCACAGCCTTTGCACAATCATGTCCTCACCTCAGCTGAGTGACGCAAAGTTGCAGCATACGGAGCAATTCATGCCGATCAGGAGGCCCAGAACTGGCAGAATACGAGCCTGAGTGAAGCTGGATGCTTGGCTTGCCTGGCCCTCATAACAGCGGCACTTGTTCCATTTTCCTCCTTTGCGTCCACCCTCGTCTTCTTCCTCCTCATCACCACCATCGTCAACACACACGCACACGCACACACTCGTTACGCCTACACGATCGCTTCAGCAGCCACCATGTCGACCACCCTGTCCACCGTGCCCACGCCCTCGGCGGCCACATGCCACAATGTCTACGAGATCCCCGTCCAGGACAGCGCGTGCGCCATGGCCTACTCGGACGACGCCGTCGACTACTTTGAGTCCTGCTGCAAGAGCGCCGACGTATACTCGTACGGCGACGACTGCGGCCTCTACTGCGTGGCCAGCGGCCAGACGGTCGAGGAGCTCACGGCCTGCCTGATCGACGAGGGCGCCCAGCACGGCCAGGTCTTCTGCTCTGGCAACACCACGGCCACGGCCACCGGCGATGGCGAGCCTTACGCCAGCGCCACCGCGACTGTCATCAGCGACAGCAGTGACAACAATGACAAGAACGACGACAAGAACGGTGACAAGGACAGTGACAACAAAGATGGTGGCGACAACAGCAACAGCGACGACGGCGACAACGACAACGCTGCTGTCAAGTCCAGCGTCAGCGTGTTTGGCGTTGTCATGGGTGCCATGCTCTTCTCTGGCATGACCCTCGCCGCGTGGTAACATGTTTCGCTACACTATATTTGCACAATGTCCACGGTGGGAGGCTTGACTGTATGGTCCGCCTGTCAGAGAGATGTACGAGATTGTATGCATAAGCTATGGTGTTTTTTGCTTCATCAAGAGGGACTTTATTTGGACAAATTATACAGCGTCGATAATGTGTACAACCCGGCATCATGCCACATGCACATATAAATCATTTCCCAACACTCAAGAATCTGTGATGTTTGATATTTGCCCGGCATTGTTGATTTTGCAGGCACTCGCTCCGTCAGTGCGAGACGTGAGTACTCCCTGCATGAGGTGAAATAACAGTGAGACAGCCTCCGTAGTTGTTTTGATCATCTCACGTCTATCACAGTCAGATGCAATACCATAGTTCGAAATATATTATGGGCAGCAGGGTAGTCCATATTCCCGAGACTCGGCCGGTATAACCGAATTTACCGAAGACGACTCCAAACTTCGGGTACGTAAGTAAACAGAAATAAACACAATTCCTTCAGACAGCATCAACAGATTGATCACCTCTCACCCGCCCGGAGATCCAGCCGCAGCAGCAGTGCCAACACAAACAACGTGCTGACACGAGCAGCCAGAGCCTCACTGCAAAGCCACGCTGTGTTTCATGCCATGGCCATACCCTCCAAATAAAGAAGCAATGCACAGGTCACACCCAATCAAACATGATTCATGATGGGTCTCTTCAGAGTTCGACGCATAATAATAAGCCCGCCAAGGGTCCTGGGCAAGGTGTTCCTGCATGTCAGCATTCGCGAGTCACGCCTGACAGGCTGACAGGGCTAGGGTGCACCCGCAGGGCATTACTACTATCCTAATGCTGACAAACGACAAGTGAGATTCGGTGATTGCAGGGCATCGTCGAAAGCTTCATTGCTGACCTTGGCGGGTCTGTCTGTCCGGTCCGACTCCACGGAACCCGCTGAGCCCAAACGAATCACGCATGACGGGAAGTCTGTAGATCCACGGCTGACGCTGTACCAGCGAGCGCAGACCGCAAATTCCCATGCCTGCCGGGCAGTGGACTGCTCCAGAGAGGAGGCTCTGCTAGATACAGGGTCATGGTATGGACACGGCCATGGACTGTCTATTCTTGGACTGAAGCTGCTCCTATAAGCGAGGAGGCATCGTGAGAAGTTCGAACCCTCGAGGACTCCATCAACAGCTATATATATGGCCCGTGGTGGTCCATCCGTTGATCAAGCTCACACCCAGACTCATCATCCCCTGCTCAACAACAACAGCATCAACTTCTTCCTCTCCTCCACCGAGCATCACATACCCAGCCGCCATCATGGTCAGCCTCACCACCACCCTCCTCGCCAGCCTCGCGACCCTCGCCCTCGCCGAGTCCGCCGTCCGCTCGGAATCCTTCTCCTTCGAGAAGTGGACGGAGGAGATCATCGCCGACCCCAGCGGCGACCACCTCTCGCCCGAGGACGCCTTCAAGCTGGCCATGGCCTCGGAGCACCAGGCCGTCCCCCACGCCAAGCGCGACGTCTCCTGCGACCAGAAGCCCAGCGCCAGCGTCAGCGACGCTGTCCAGTGCATTAACCAGCTCGCTGCCAAGGGCACACAGGAGTGCCATGCCTCCTACGGCGGTGCTACCGTCTTCTGCACCTGTACGTCTCTCTTTATCCGTGAACCCGTGTGATCGTAGATACTGACCGCACGAAAGATGGCAAAGCGCAGGTCGTGGCCGTCACGAACAAGGTTGAAGGCACCTCTTCATCATGGTAAGGACTCTTCTTCTCTCACCCACTGGCAGATCAAGATACAGGAACACTACTGACCGTGCGTAGCCAAGACGTGGCTCGTGGACTGGGCGCCATTATGGACCAGTGCTGGAGACCGGATAACACTGTTCAGGGACAGTCTACTGCTTGGGGCAACGGCGACATGGCCATCCACCTTTCAGAGCCCTTGATCTAAAAACATGGCGACAGTGACTGGGAGGACATGAATTTTGCATAGCGCTGGGAATATGGCTTCGACATTTCAACGTACATAGAGAGAAAGCCCGAAATCAACTTCCATCACATTATCTCGGCACAGGCCGCAGTAGCTTCGTGAATCATTTCTCATAACATTCGTTTCTACTCTAGAACAATGGCACTTCGAACGCCCTAGTCCGATGTCTGCTGGTGTCCCCAAGGACGTCTTGCCACTGATGCTTCCAGTTCTTCACTACTTCCCCCAATATCTCTGCAACCTCCCCAGCAACAAGAGTCGCTTGCCGGATTCCAATGCCTGACTGTGTCTGTGTACCCCGACTGGGGGCCTGTATCATAAGCATGTTATCGCTGGAAACAACCCACGACCCCCTGACATCGTCGACGATGCTCGTGGTAAAGTTTGATATCAAAGAGCGCGCGGGTCCCGCGTCACTCAAGTGCTCCCGCGGTCCGTGGCCCCCGAAGGCGCCAGTTGTTAAGTCGGCCTCTTGTAGGTTGGTTTGCATAGTCTCGAGCAAGGCGCAAATAGCTTCCCATGCAGTCGAACGCACTTTGCCAAGGGTGAACATTTTGAAAGTAGGCCATAGGAGATTCAAGACGCTCAAAGCTTGGACCAATATGTGTAGACGCTCTGTAGTCTGCGAGCCTGGCGAGGCTTCAACAACAGCCTGGACCAAGGCCCGTATCTGAGGAAGATGAGTCTCGTCTAACACCCTCGGTACTGGCTCCTCATTCAGATACTGGCAGATTGCGTGGGCATACACATCCAGCATTGGGTACGCCCTGCTTTCCACAAAAGCAGCCCGTAGAATGGCTGGAAGCATCGCGCCGACGACAAAGCGCGAAATGCCGGGATGGCGCATTCCTTTTGCTATCATGTCCACCTCTTTGGCAAGATCACCTTTCATCAATGCGACCTTGAAGTTGTTGACGAGGAAGTAGAAGAGCTCATGTGCGGCTCGGCTCTCGCCTTCTGCGAGACGCAATCCGTAAGACACAATGGCCGCTACCTGGAGCTGCGGGTCATGCTCCGATGGCGAGTAGTCTTTGCTGATCTGGTAGAAAAAGTCATCCACTGTGCAGATGTCGGTGCCGTGGGCTTTGATGAGTTCGATGCACTCGCGAACAAACTTGATGTAGTCGCGATGCTGGCTTGAGTCACCATGCATACTGCCCAGGTCTCTCCTCATTTGCTCCATGGCCAGCTTCAGAATGCGTGAGTGCTCAGCCTGCAGGGCGCGCTTCTGACTGGGGCCTGCGTCCCTGATCGCCTTGCGCATCCACGAAATGGCAAATTCGAACATGTCCCGGTTGGTGCGATAACCAGGGCTGATGCTCAAGCCTTGGGCAGCCTCTGGGACGAAGGGCTCACCTTGACGGATCAGTCGCTGGGCCAGCCGATTCTCATAGGCCAGAGCTTCGGATGGCTTCACGATAGCCAGCACCCAGAGCTCACATAAGCTCAGGCCATCCTCGCAGAAACCGTCAAAACTACGCTCGACCAGCGTTTCGACAAGGAGCGTGAGATACCTGCGCTGGCTGAAGCCAAGTAAGTGAGGCCTGTCTTGGAACAAACGGTGTTTGCCTGGCTTGAACATGGAATCAAAAGTCATGACGCCTGCGTTGATGAAGCGCATGCCCATTCTGGCACTGAGTTTGACGACATGCTCGATGCAAGCTACCATATCCACGGAAGCCGAGCAGCTTTGCTCCGTATCCGGGTTCAGAACAAGAACTCGTCGAGCCATCTGGAAGAAGTTGCTTGCCAAGTCATGATCGAGAGATAGCAGAGCATCATCGGCTTGTGCAGAGTTCAGAAGCTGGCTTTCGCTTTGTTGGCTTTCTTCCGCGTCTTTGAAATCGTCGACACGGCTAAGGAATACGTCCAGTGTCAAGAGCGCTGTCCTCAGCATGCTCCAATCGAACTCGGGCCGCGGCGAGGAGAAATGCTGCAGTATACGCTGCAGCTGCTGCGTGTTCAAGGCAAAGGTTGCCGCCTCGAGATTTTGGGCATGCTTCATAACGTCCAACGAAGTCGATAGCGAAACGTGTACCACGTCGGCCACGGCGGTCTTGTTGAGCTTGACCATCGCACTGATCATGTCGGGGCTGACAGACTTGCTCACATCGTTGGAGAGCCCGAGGAACTGCTGCTGGATATCAGAGGCTATGGTGTCGTATTGTTGCATCATCTGTGTAAAAAGTCTGTCACGCCATTGGTTGAATGGCTTCATGGAGGTGGTCGCTTCGCCGTTGGCAACAACGAATCTGGCCAACTGGCTCCAGGCGCGCAGACTGATCAGGCAAGCCTCTTTATGTGAGCTCTCAGGGTGAACAAGACGCTCGATCAGGGCGACGCTAGGGCGCACGGCCGGGGGCGCCGCCCAGTACAGGGTGCATAGCAAATCGTGGTGATTACGCAGTGCAGCCAGATCGCGCTCATGGATATGATGCTCCTTCATATACTGTCGATTGTGATTCGGCACTGTCCGCGCCACCATGTTGCGGATCTCCTTGGTATGCTTGCCTGCTCGGAGTCGACAAATACTCAGAGCCAGCATTTTGAGGAAGATGTGGAAGCACTGGTCCTCCGGTTCGACCTTGGCCACATTGGGCGTCTGGGCTAGATTCTCGAGGAATTTTGGTGATCCATAGAACTCCTCGTTGCGCAAGTGAGCCAAATTCTGCGATCCGAAGAAGTCGAATATTGGACCGATAATGCTGATGCAACGTACCCAAGCCCATTCACTTATGAGATGGTGACATCTAGCCAGTATAGCGCGGCAATAGCTATTGAAGCTGGGCGCCTGCCGGGTTTGACTATTGTACAGCTCGAAGACACGTCTCAGCAGCCTTTGGGGAATGGTCCATCCTTCAGTGCTTGACTTGCGTCGCTGTCCCGCCACAAGTACACCTCGATCGTTGAATTCGGTGAGAGGCAGCAGGGCGAACAAGGTCTCCCAAGCACCTTCCAAGATGCGCGCGTCATTGGTAGAGGTTATGGTGGAACCAACGACGTTGTGGAACACAATATCCCAGAATGTGCCTCGCGGTATGTTCGCATGGAAGAGTATCCTCATCAACAACACCCACGAATGAGCATCGCACGCGTCGTCTTGAAATTCCTGCGCACCATGCCGGGTCACCTGAAGCGAGCGATAGCGATTCCTGAGATCCTTGATACTTGAAGTGCCCAGGACTCTCGAGAGCGCAGATGCCGAGGCTTTTAAACGCTCCTCAGCCGTCAACTGATAGCCCACGAGGTTCGGATCCCCGCGGCATATGAGGTAGACGACAAAGGCCACAAGGCATAAACAGTCCATCACGCGAAGGATCGTTTGTTTGTAGCCTTGTGACTTCGCTATCACGTCCACTTTCGTCGAAAAGCCCTCCAGCAACTCCAACATGCGCGTTACGGCAGCAAAAGTTTCCTTGTCCGTCTCGAGCGTCATAAAGTTGCTTACGTAGGACACCAGAAAGTGTGCCGCGTCAACCGAAGTACTCTCCAGACATTGGTCTCCTTCTAAATATTCGGCAATGTGATCAAAGACGATGCCCATCTCCGATGATACTTGTGCATCCCATAGTCCCCATCGCAGAGTCTGAGGGCCAATGGAGAAGAAAGTCCGGGGCTTGTGCAACTTGAGCTTCGGCATGAAGTTGGAGTCGACCACAGTCTCGATAACTGCTTTTCCCAAAAGTGTCGAGTGGCAGAAATAGACGCCCGACGGCAGTGGCAGACACTCAAAGTGATGAGTGTAGGCGGTGCCATACGGGCCAAGACCGGACAGCTTGTTCGTCACATCGAGTTTCTCAACATCCGCTGCAGGGTTGACGTTGGGGCCTTCCGATATTGAGGGATCTGTATGATCATAGTCTTGGATCACTGGGTCCCTAGCATGGGTAAACTGGGGATCGTCGACATCGATCTGTTGTGGTTTCTGTTTCCTGCGGCGTTGATACTGTGGCTTCGGACTCCTCGGTAACGCATCATCTTCTTCAGTCCTGTTCGGCGGCGGCTGGAATGAGTACTTGCGAAGGGTGCCTGTCGAGGGAGGCTGGGGTAAGCGCTTAACGTGGTAGAGCTGGTCGAGGATTTTCTTGCTAGCATTGAATGCAGCTGCTGACATCCCCGTCTCGCTGCTTTCCAGCTGCGCAGGGCGCAGTCGAGATGGCGTATCAGTACTGCGGTGCCTGCGTTTTGAGCGATCGGTCTTGGAACTAATGTTGGTCGTAGAAGGGTTGCTTGGACGCTCTCGCTCAGAGCGAGCAGTATCTCCCAAAGCTCGGTGCTCATGCCTTCGGACTGAGGTCCGCCTCTTTGCCGTGACAGATCCACGTTGCTTTATTGACCCTCGCCTCCAGTCCGTCAATAGTTCCAGCGCATCCAATTGATCACATCTGGTCGCCATTTGAATAGACTTTCCTCTCTGATCAGCTCTCCCCTGATCTGACCGTTTCTTTGCCGTGCGAGCCGCAATTTTGAGGAACTGAGGTGCATCAGGCTCGATCACATCGAGAATACTGAGCTGAGGTAGCGAAGGTTGGGATGTGTTCAAGCGAGCGCCGACCTTGGCTCGACGTCGTCTGGGCTTTTGAGGCTTGCTCCGAGCCCTTGCGGTGAGAGGCTCAGAAGGAGTCTTCGATTTGCTGTATACGGCATCGATCCTGGGCTGCCTAGGAGTCGACCTCGGTTTAGACGCGGTGGTGTTGCTCCTCTTTGCTACTCTTGGCGGCTTTTGGAACTGGTCTGACAGTCTGCTTTGTCTTTTTGAACCTAGTACCATGTGGTCGACGTTGTTGTCTTCCATATCTGAAGAGGCGTCGGAATCTATATGAACGTTACGCGCTTCTGGTGGGTTGGGACGTGATTCCAAAGCCAATCTTGTCTGATGAGGAAACACGTCCTCTGTCGTTTCCGGAGCATGAGGTTGCGAGTCATCGTCGTCTGAGTCCTCGAACAGCAGCTGATCTCGAACAGAGCCCGGCTGAACAGTACGTCGATGAGCCACTCCACGGCGATTTTCTCGTTCTGGGGAGCGATTGACCTGTCGCTGTGCCAGGCTTTTCTGTATCTTGGCGCGTCCAGATAGTTGATCCAGACGGAGCCACGATGCTGGAAGGACGCCTCGAATGCGACGAACATGCTGGTCCACAACTTGCACATCGCTATCAGAACTTCCTTCTGTGGCGCTGGATGCATCATCCTCAAGTATGATAGGACTGGGTTGCCGCGCCTGGGCCGCATTTCCCGGGCTCTGCCGGTTTTGAGGTAGTAAGTGCACGGTCTCGCCTGGCGCCACCTTGCTTTGCTCAGTTTCATCATCGAGTCCACGTATGCTATGCTCCTCATCGCCAGGTACCACATCGGGAAATTCGAAGACATTTGTTTGATTGGGAGATGGCGTGGCGGCTGGGGACTCCGTAGTTCGGGAAGGTGTATGACTGTGCATCGAGGTTGTCAGTCGTCTCCGCTTCGCTGTCGAGGGTCTGTTCGGTGATGTCTGTCGTCTGCGCAGCTTCAGCCCGGATCGTGGCGTGCGGCGCGAAACCAGCTGCTGCAAAGTGGGAAGCTCATCATCATCTAAACTGGTCCCCTCGGTCTCGGCTCTGGAACTTGCTTGACTGCTGATGACCCCCTGTAAGTGCAAAGGCGATGTCCTCATTGGGGACGATGATTCTTCACGGATCGGAAGGTCGTCCTGGACAACGACGGGCAATGGCCTCTGGCTATCATCAGTGTCGTCGGTCGTAGCCTGCTGACTGGCATCGTGCCTTACCGACCGAGACTCTCTATCCTCCGGCCCCTTGTGAGGGCCATGTGCACGCTCGCTTTCGTTATTAACAAGCCTCAAGGGGTTGAGGCCATGTTGCCGCCACTCTCTTGCATAACGCATATTTTCCGTGAAGTACGGACGGAGCTGCTCTGGTTTCCGCGCCCGAAGGGATCTTTCATTGCGGGCAACAAGTAGCCGGGCTTCCTGTGCCTCCGCGTCGAGCTCATCATGGTCATATGACTGTCCGGGTTGTATGGGTGCCTCCGAAAGCCCTCGAGAAGACAATGTAGGTTCAAGATTGACAGTTTGCATATTCCAGTCGGGCATCGCAGAGGGTGAGGCTGTTTGCAGTCGTGGCACCTCGGAAGGTGAACGGAGGCGAAGGGGCTGTTCGTCATGATGAACAGCGGGTTGGTTCAAGAGCTCGCGGACGGACGGCAAGTCGGGCGACGATCGGTCGGTACGTGGAGATGATAATGGGGAGTCGGAAGAGGCTGAGGCCGATAGCTTTGGCGACGCCACCTCCAGTGAAGTGGTTGCTGTTTTGTCGAGGTGATCAGGACTAGATGGTATGTCCCAGATGTCCTTTCCCACTGCAGTCTTCACAGGCTGTGGCTGCGGTGTTGGGGCCACATCCTGGTTGGTTTGTAATTCCTTCAACTGGGTCTGTGAGTGGTCTGTTGCCTGGCTTTCGAAGCCATCCTCGTCCTCTGAGTCTGGGATTTCTCCCATGTGCCTCCAATCGACCATGTTCCGCCTTCGATCGTCATAGCCTATGTTGGCCGGGGGTTGGGCTCATGTTGAGAGTGAACAAGACCAGGCCCGAGTGCAAGTTCGAGAAAAGTCAGTGAATGACAGTCGCCGACAGGGATGCCAATACCTGACGCTGACAAGTAGGAATTGGGAATGAACAAAATACGTGAATGTAGCTGGCAAAGATCATGTCGACATGGAGGGCGTGACGTGAGACGCGTCGGGAAGGCGCGCGCCTAGTGGGGCTACTTTAACACTGTCAGCCATAATCACGCCAGCACATCTCCATACCAAGATGGGTGGACAGAATATTGTCAATTCGCACGCTAATAAGTTGCCTCTGCTCAAACTTCAACCACCTCACTCAATGATGCTGCCAACCTTGACCAGATCGCATCGTTGAAGCTATCTATTAGTCTCTTCAAGCCCCGCCGGAAGACCCTGGCGCAGCGGCACTCCCATTGAGCAAAGAACTTTGTGTCTCATAATGAGCTTCGCACAAAAAGCTATGCCACTGGCCATAGCCACCTTCTGCGGTGTCGTTGGTGGTTAGTTCACTCGCTTCCTACAAATCTAACATTGTCTTAACACAGTGACAGGCTACTATACTTTCCAGCCGATATTTGCACCAGAAGCGAGTCAGGCAAAGCCAGGCTCGGAATATCCGCCAGGGTATGTAGATCAGAGTTTAGCACTGCCTGTCGATGTTCTCGAGCTGATATCATTGACACCCAGAACTGCACCGTCACCAGCCGTCGTCCCTGTGTCTGCTATAGAGCCAAAACCTCATCAAACAGAACCAAGGGCAAAAGATGCCCCTTCACCGAAATAGCTCGACTGGGTGCAGTCTTTCTCTCCAATCAATCAACATAGTATCAGCCATACATTTTTTTTGGAGTTGGGAGCCATATGACACATCCTCATCCCTTATGATCTTTCATCCAACTAGTGTTCCACAGCATCTCAATCTACCGGACGCCCGATGCACATGTTTATCATCAACTAGGCAACACTGGTGACTTTGCTTGGCTGGCTGGGCAGAGCGTATGTACTGTGACGATAAACCGGACAGCAACAATGATATTGAATCATTACCTACGCGAGAAGGTAAAAATGTCCCTCGTGTCGAGCAATTGACGGTTGCTAATTAGTTGTTAGTTGTCACATCGATTTCCATTCTGATGTACACTCATCCTCGACCTGCCTAATTCAGAACGCTTGACATGGGGTTAGAAGTGGCCAAACGGCAAAGTCGCGGCAAAGACAAGCCGTGCAACTTCTCTCGTGCTGCAAGTCGATTTTGGAGAGACTCCCTCAGTCTTACCTGCATATCCTTCTCGCAGGATGGCCGGTCTTATCTTAAACCCGATCCGCATGAAGGATTCCCTCAATACTAGGCCACTTCACCAACCTTTCGCCTCCTTATGAAGGCGGTGTCGAGTCAAGCATCACCATGGGCGACGCAGATGACAAAATTCGGGCAGACGGCCAAGATGTCTCTGCTTTAGCCAAGGCCGACTCGGACCCTGAAAAGGCGACCTTTACTGGCGAAGATGAGATTGTCCGGCGAGACGTCAGCCTCATCGTCGATTGGGACGGTCCAGACGACCCAGAGAATCCTCACAATTGGACGAGGAAGCAAAAGGCAGTCTGCATCACCATTGTTTCTGTCATCACTTTCATCACGTCAGTTCCAAGTACTCCCGCGAATGGGATCAATGCTAAAATAGTACAGTCCGTTGGCATCCTCCATCTTCGCACCGAGCACTGAGCAGGTGATGGCGGAATTCGGATCAGACAGCACGTTGCTTGCATCTTTCATCGTCTCAGTGTACCTGATAGGGTACTGCTTCGGTCCTCTTGTGATCGCGCCGTTGTCTGAAATGTACGGGCGCTCCCCGCTGTACTATGTCTGCAACGTGATCTTTGTCATCTTCACAGTCGCTTGTGCGTTAGCACCCAATATGGCAGCTCTTCTCGTCTTCCGCCTGCTAGCCGGCTTGGTAGGGTCTTGTCCCTTGACGATAGGTGCCGGAACTTTGGCGGACATGATCGGCCCAGAGAAGAGAGGTATGGCTATGTCCTGGTGGATATGCGGCCCATTGCTTGGGCCGGTCATCGGTCCCATCGGTATGTAGGCAACGTTCCTATCATTTGCACTTCACTGACCTCGGGGGTTGTAGCCGGCGGTTACCTGGCCGAGAATAAAGGTTGGAGGTGGTCCTTTTGGGTGGTTGCCATGGCTGTGAGTTCGCCAACCGCGAGCAACTGATTATTTCTCTGACGAAACAGGCTGGAGTCGTGACCATACTTTCTTTTATCTTTCTTCATGAGTCGTATGCTCATGCACTACTCGAGAAAAAGACACGACGTCTTCGAAAGGAGACCGGCAATTCAGAGCTTCGCTCGGCGCTAGACACCGGTAAGTCAAGCAAGGAGGTCTTCAGGGTCGCAATTGTTCGCCCCACGAAGATGCTCTTCTTGAGCCCAATCGTTTCTAGTCTGTCTTTGTACATGGCAGTCCTATACGGATACCTCTACATGCTGTTCACAACCTTCCCCTCGCTCTTCATGTACGAATACGGGTTCTCTGAAGGAAACATTGGTCTTACGTATCTGGGCATTGGCATCGGATCGGCCATTGGCCTGTTCATCAACGCCAATGTCTCTGATCGAGTGGCAATCCACATGAAGACGAAACGCGGAGGGGTACATCAACCAGAGTATCGGCTACCACCGTCGATGTATGCTTGCTGGCTGATTCCCATGGGTATTTTCTGGTTCGGATGGACTGCCGATTATCATTGCCATTGGATCCTTCCGATCCTGGGCACAGGTGTCTTCGGCGTTGGCGTTGTCATTCTCATGGTGAGTCCTGCAGCGCCCAGTGAGAGCAGGTCAAATATTAACATTAGCAGATGTCGATGGCTGTCTACGTAGTAGACGCTTTTGATGTATACGCAGCATCGGCGACAGCTGCCACAACCGTTCTGAGGTCTCTCCTTGGCGCGTTGCTGCCATTGGGAGGCCGTGATCTGTTCGATAACCTTGGAATGGGCTGGGGAAGCTCTTTGCTTGGGTTCCTTGCGCTGGCCATGACACCTCTGCCATTTATCTTTTACCGCTACGGCGAGCGTCTCCGCAAGGTCACACTCTTCAACGTAGAGTTCTGAGGGGTACTGATTCGAGCAACATGAGAGTGATCAGGTAGACCAAGAATCAACATACGCAGCATGAAAGGTTGACCATCGTCTCGAATTGAGTGACACTAGCAGTGCTATATGGCGCAGCTTCGCCCCGTCCCGTGTACTGCGCAACCCACGAGATGAGCGCCAAATTGTGCCAATCACGATACTTGAATAGTCGTGACAATTTCATGTCATTTGGGCAATAAAAATACCCCAATTCGACGGTTCCCCCTGTCTTGACATCAGACCACTTTTTCATGCACGGCGGAGGCACCACGTGACCTATAGCCGGCCGCCGTCGCCTTAGTCATCCAACAGACAGACCTTGCCGAGCTCCATTCCAGCAAACGCTGGACGAAATCATCAGACCTCACGAAAACCCTCAAACACCCGAGACGACGTCAATTGACCCTACGCCCACGGACCTGGACCCTCCACACCACGAATCTTCTCCGCTCCCTCTCCCACTCGAACCATCTCACACAACATGCTGCGGACCCCGGCGACGAGCATGCTGCGCAACAGCCTGGTGCGCAGCGCCCCTGCTGCCCGCCGCGCCGAGTCGACGGTCGCTGCCTCTGCCAGCCACGCCATCTCGAAGCCCACCCTGGCCAACATTGAGAAGCGTTGGGAGGGTATGCCTCTCCAGGAGCAGGCCGACCTCTGGATGGCCCTGCGCGATCGCATGAAGGGCAACTGGAAGGAGTTGACGGTTCAGGAGCAGAAGGCTGGTACGTGTGTTTTTCCTTGCTGTGCTGCATTTGCCACGCCCCAATTGGACTGCACCGTGCCTCAAGAGTCGTCGGCGGCGTTTTCAACGTTAGCCTTTCTTTCCCCAGTCGGAATTCACCCAATTGAGAGCTGGTGGTGATCCAATGCTTCGTTCCCGCAAGGTCACGTCGAATCGCCTACGCATCATTGGCTCCCGGCACAGGTCTCGACAAGTGGGCCCCTTGGTTCACGACGACGACGAGCAACACCACGAGGACACCCTTCACAATTCCGCGCTTCCGATGTATTCTGGAATAGTTACTGATCCAGCCCAATAGCTTACTGGATCGCTTTCGGTCCCCACGGCCCCCGCGCTACTGATCCCCCCGGCACCGGCGCCAAGGTCTTCTGGGGCGTCATGGCTGGCCTGGGTGCTTCGTTCGGCATCTTTGGCTTGATCCGCGCCTTCGCTAACCCTGCTCCTCACACCATGAACAAGGAGTGGCAAGAGGCTGCCAACGAGATGCTCATTGTAAGTACCCGTCGGCTCCTCGGTCAATGGTCTGGTAGCTTACGCCTTGCAGGAACAACGCGCCGATCCTCTTACCGGTATCACCGCCGAGCACTACAAGGGCCCTGGCCAGGTCCAGTCTCCCCCCAAGGGTCCTTAAATCGATCTTACACGATCGCTATAGCCCTTCGATACCACATAATCCGAACAACCTTATACTCAACCTTACGTTCCCTTTGTTTTAGAGACCTAGGTCAAAGCTCGCCTGTGGGATGCATCGAATGCCTCCATGTGTACAGAATCAAGTTGAGGGAGGTTCACAAAAGCTCACTAGAGGGTAGCGGCGACAAGGCAGTTGGGAGGAGGTCTCGGCGATTTGACTTTGATTTTGCGCGTCAAACTGGTGTAAATACTGTATCACAACAATGGGACACAAGTTCTTGGACATGTGGCATGAAGTGAGTGAGTGTCAAAGCTGCTCAAAATATAACGTGAGAACGCTGTCATAGGCAAAATACACGCAAAACGCCGCTCATGCCTTTGCCAAGGCTGTTCAATACACTACAATGACGTTTCAACCGCCGCTTTGACCGGCTTCTCTGTACTGCTCAAACGGTGATGGATGAGTTGCTGGCCGTGGGTTCAGCTCCTCTTCCTGCAGCCGTCTGTCAAGCTCGAAACGCCCGTCCTTACCCCAGTAGAGCGGCTTTTCTAGCCCGCGGACGCACGCCTCCGTGATCAGTACATGAGGCATGGGAGCGTCGAACATTGGCTCGGCCAGTACCCGTTCCATCTCCATCTTCAAGGCGCGGGCTCCGGTACCTGACTTTTCCGCCCGCTCGGCGATGGCATAGAGCGCCTTTTCCGTAAAGTTCAAGCGCGAAGGATACGTTTCGAAGAGCGCTATGTACTGGGCAGCAAGGCTGTTGCGTGGCTCGGTCAAGATACGAAACAGGTCATCTGTGGATAAAGGGCTCAGTGCACAGACGTTGTGCAAACGGCCGATCAGTTCTGGGATGAAGCCAAACGCCTGCAAATCCTCCGGCGTTGTGAGGTCCAGCGGTGTAAACGACGAGGCCGAGGCAGCGGTGTAATGTGGGAGATGGGAAAAGAGCTCCTGCGGTAACGCTTGCTTCGTTCCAGCTACCGTTGTTCGTCCCTCGACCTTCCCGCCAAAGCCGACCGAGGGTTTCGCAACGCGACGAAGAACATTCTTGTCAAGGCCTACAAAGGCACCACAAAACACAAAGAGGATGTTGGTGGTGTCGATGGTGTATTGGTCGACCTTGCCGCCAGGAGGTGTCACCTGAGCGGTTGAGGAACTTCCGCCACTGAAGTTCGTTGTGATAGGCGGGGTGGATCGCGAAGAGCGGTTGTCCTTCACGTTGATCGTCACTTTGGTACCCTCTACGAGCTTCAGCAATGCCTGTTGCACGCCTTCGCCCCCGACATCCCTGCCGGTTGTTGTTTCTCGTCGGGCAATCTTGTCAAATTCGTCCAGCACAACAATTCCGTGCTCTGTAGCTTTGATGTCGTTGTTTGCCTCTATGAGCAGGCGCTCAATGCAGGATTCGACATCTTGACCGATGTAACCAGCTTGGGTGAATGAATTGCAGTCGCATATGGAGAAGGGGACGTTGATCTTTTTACTTAGCGTCCTGAGCAGTTAGCAGCGTCCTGTCAAAGACGCGAGTTACTTACTCCAGAATGTAGGTCTTTCCTACGCCTGTAGGCCCGATGAGGAGCATATTGCTCTTGTCAACCTTTACAGGCTCGGGGATGGATGGATCCTCAGCTTGGTACAGGCTCTCGTAGGGATCCTCCTCAGTCTCCCTCGTATCACTCAGGTGCCGCAAAGACTCCTGGTGGCCTGGAAAGTCATCTTCAGAAGTTTCGTCAGCCGAGCGACGCCTTGAAGTGGCATCTGTGAAACGCTGACCTTCGACAGGGTGGGTTTCACGCCGCCTCTGGTGAAGCTCGCGATCCCGCACTAACCGCTGCCTACTCAACTTGTCCCGTCTATTTCTTTCCTCGTGCTCGTGCTGACGGCGTCTCCGTACACCCTGGTAATGATTGAATATGGTTGAGCATATGGTCTTCTTGGCTCGGTCTTGCCCGACAACATAAGCGTCAACACGCTTCTTCAGATCGCGAGGGTAAAACTGAGGGACTCCGAAGCTTGATTTCGTGAACATGGGACCACGGCCGTTTTCAGTATTCGGATCATAGCTGCCTGTGTAGCCAGAATTGAAGTCTGTCGTCCGCTTCGACGCTGCTAGAGGCTGGGAGGTGGAAAGCTGCCGAGAGCTTCGCTGGCAAGCGCGGCATGGGGTAGGAGTAAGTCGCCATCTAGCGGATGATGGACCGCAAAGAGCCACAGATAGTCGTCGAGCCGGTCGGTACATTTTTTGGCTGCGAGATGCTGGTGCACAGATGTCGGAGACGAGAGGTGGCAGAGCTCAACTGGGGCAAGGCGCGGCGGGCAGATCGGAGATTTGGTCGGTCACGCGAGGATGGCAGTCACAAGCGCCGGATAGCGCTGCAAGAAATGGTGACCTTGAAGCTTTGCGTGCACTCTGAAGCTACCTACCAACTAATGAGGTATACTTCGCTGGTAGGAGTCAATCGTGTGAAGGAGTATGACCAGCGGGGACCAATTCACCGGCTGGCGCCGGTTCGGAGCTACGATAAGGTGATAAGAGCTTGGCAGCGATAAGACCAAGATAAGCGGGTTAGCCGTTCCGCCAACTGCAGGCAGGCCGCAGGCCCCAAGGATCTGTCTGCAACCTGCACTCCTATATTTACGTCAACAATGTGGCGCTCAACAGTGGCGAATTGACCACTGGCAGGTGAGGATGCGGAGGCTGCAGTACGCTCACGAGTCACACACTTGGTGCAATGGCAAGAACTTTATGAGGAGCAAGTAAGATTGGCAATAAAGCCACCGGGATACCAAAAACGTCATTTTGTTGGGTATCGATAAAGCTGCGCATGGGAGGGGAGGGTCGAATGTCCCGAGCTCTCATCTCAAACGCCACCTGGATCCGTTGCCTCAAACCCTTGAAGAGTTTTCTTGTGAGATTATAAGTCACAATCCAAGTCCCAAAGTCACATTTCGTAACCAGTTCGCTTTGCTGTTTGCCAGGAGCTGAGTTTGGCCTCGTCACACCCTACCCTCATCGTTGTCCCCTCCCCCAGACCCCACCTTGCCAGACGCCAGCGACCAAGCCATCCCTCTCCATTCGTCAAGACGCTGCTGCCCTCTTCATACACGCCAATTGACGATGGCTTCCACGATTGATAACGCCTCGAACACTCTGGTCGATAACAATGCCGGCAGTGCGGCTTCAGACATGCCCACAGATGGCACTGGTGAGCCCTATTTGTCAACACGGTTGTCACGGAGATCCCTACTGACCAGGGCCCATCAGGTGTCGTCAAGCTTGACCCTTGGCTGGAGCCGTTCAGTGACTCTCTAAGGAGTCGGTTCAGCAAAGCCCAAGAATGGATCAGCAAAATCGACGAAACCGAAGGTGGACTGGCTCGTTTTTCTCAGGTAGGGCATTGCGCGGTGCTTCTCGCTCAGTACTAACGAAACCTAGGGCACTGAGAAGTTCGGCTTCAATGTAGACGCCCAGAACAATATTCACTACCGTGAATGGGCTCCCAACGCTCAACAGGCGAGCCTTATTGGAGAATTCAGTATGCCACTCCTTCACAACATCACACAGCCATGACTGACCACCCAATGGATGATTGGAACAGAGATTCTCACCCTATGACCAAGGATGATTTCGGGTGCTTCGAAATTACCCTCCCTGCCGTCAACGGCCAGCCAGCAATCCCTCATAATTCCAAGCTCAAGGTATGACGAGCCTTCACTTGATGTAGAGTTCATGTGTTGACCGACGATAGATCTCCATGGTCATCCCAGGAGGGGAGAGAATAGATCGACTCCCTGCTTGGATCAAGTATGTCACTCAGGATTTGGCGGTGTCACCCGCATACGACGCCAGATTTTGGAACCCGCCTGCGAGTGAAAAGTACGAGCTCAAGCACCCGCGCCCCAAGAAGCCTACCAGCCTCCGTGTGTACGAGGCTCACGTCGGCATTTCAACGCCTGATCAACGTGTGGCTACGTACAAGGAGTTCACAAAGAATATGCTGCCTCGCATCAAGAACTTGGGCTACAACGTCATCCAATTGATGGCCGTAATGGAGCATGCTTACTACGCTAGCTTCGGCTACCAGATCAACAACTTCTTCGCCGCCAGCAGCCGTTACGGCACGCCTGAGGACCTGAAGGAGCTCATCGACACCGCTCACAGCCTGGGCCTTGTTGTTCTCCTCGATGTTGTCCACAGCCATGCCTCGAAGAATGTGCTGGATGGTCTCAACGAGTTTGACGGCAGCGATCATCAGTACTTCCACGCCGGGCCCAAGGGACGCCATGACCAGTGGGACAGCAGGCTGTTCAACTATGGCCACCATGAGGTTATGAGATTCTTGCTCAGTAACCTTAGGTTTTGGATGGACGAGTATCACTTTGACGGCTTCCGTTTCGACGGTGTCACCAGTATGCTCTACCTCCATCACGGGATGGGATTGTAAGTCGACAGAATGGCTATCGTGGTTTGGAAGGCTAACAGTAATAGCGGGTTTTCTGGCGGCTACCACGAATATTTTGGAGAAAATGTCGACACCGAGGCTGTCGCTTATCTCATGCTGGCCAACGAGCTGTTGCATTCACTCTACCCAGAGGTGATCACCATTGCCGAGGATGTGTCTGGTATGCCTGCTTTATGCCTTCCACTGTCGCTTGGAGGTGTGGGCTTCGACTACCGTCTGTCGATGGCTGTGCCTGATATGTGGATCAAGATCCTCAAAGAGCTGAAAGACGAGGAATGGGATATTGGCAACATTTGCTTCACCTTGGTGAACCGCCGAGATGGCGAGAAGACCATTGCATACGCAGAATCTCACGACCAAGCGTAAGTTCCCCATTCCTCGGTGAGAAATTGTAACTAACAAGAGCAGTCTCGTGGGCGACAAGACACTGATGATGCACCTCTGCGACGCAGAGATGTACACGAACATGTCGGTGCTGTCACCATTCACGCCTGTCATTGAACGTGGCATGGCCCTGCACAAGATGATCCGCTTCTTGACACACAGTCTGGGAGGTGAAGGCTACCTCAACTTCGAGGGCAACGAATTTGGCCATCCTGAATGGCTCGACTTCCCGCGTGAGGGTAACAACAACTCCTTCTGGTACGCCAGGCGCCAGCTCAACTTGCCTGACGATGATCTTCTTCGCTACCGCTTTCTCAACAATTTCGATCGAGCTATGAATTGTACGGAGGATATGATCGGCTGGCTTGGTGCCCCACAGGCATACATCTCACTGAAGCACGAGGGTGACAAGGTGATCGTCTTTGAGCGCGCTGGAGCTGTGTTCATCTTCAACTTCCACCCCAGCAACAGCTACTCGGACTACCGCATCGGCATCGACGTGCCGGGAACCTACCGTATCGCTCTGAATACGGACACTGCGGAGTTTGGAGGATTCGACCGCGTTGATCTCAAGACGCGGTTCTTCACCACACCCATGGAGTGGAATGGTCGGGCCAACTGGACGCACATCTACATCCCGAACCGTACCGCCATGGTGTTGACACTGGAGGACCCTGTTTCGCAAGCCTCGTAAGACACGGAGATTGAGACACCCGATTGTGAAGCTTGCGTGTACTACGGCATTTGTCTATGTAGTCGAGTTCTTTAATATGACCATTCACAAAGCCTTGCACACTCTGTTGAAGCCTTGCATACCTGGGAGGCTTGTCCGTGACTGGTGCTCTTGTATGTGCGTGCTGAGGATATAAGATCCCTCTGGGCACAATCCCATACGGTCGAGAGTACAAATGCATCACTTCTACGGCGGCAACTATTTGCAGTACGATTAAGACGCGGTGTGCACGGATCAAGCGCCAGTTCTTTGGGTGTCGTGAAATGTGACATATCCTAACCAGCCGTCTTGAGGAAAATGCGAACCTAGATGTCGAAGCGCACTTGTTATTATCTATTTACTACTCAACATTATCTACTAGAAAGCCTAAAATATTGACTACTGGACAATTCTCAATTATAGCTGAGACCATTGGTGTTGTTAAAAGACTGCCGAGGGAATAACTCAGACGCACATGAATCGCACAGGGTAGGCATTTTAACACGGCTGCACTGAAAGGACCGGGAGGCGGCAGGCGACGAGAGCACTGTGGGAGGGGGGATGCCGGGCGCCTGTATTCTCCAAGATGAGGGGGTTGGCTGATGCACACAGTGTCAATTGATAGTCTCACAAGACTCACAAGCCTCCTTGAACGATCATCTATGATTGCTCACGTCAATTGATGCCTTGCGAACACATAGCAACCGCCTTGAATCCCCATCTGTTCTCCTGGGGTCGTCATCTTGCGGAACTGGAGTTAGATTGTGGCTCGTGCTGGCCGATAATTTCCCGGCACAGTGGAGCGCCAGCGCAATTTCAGGCATAGTGGAGCCACGTGACCCGGCCAGAAAGCTCTAACCGGCCAAGTCGTCCTCGCCCGAGCAAAACTGCTCACTCTGCAAAAGTTCTCCCTCCAGCTTAACCAACCTCTCTCCGCTCCATCACAGACTGCTCGTTGTCATCTGTCAAGATGTTCAAGAGGTGAGTACCTACCCCCGAGGGCCGATTCGATTATTTTTGCGCCTCATTCCCAGCCAATTGAGGCGAGCTCGAGCTGACACGCACTCTTCTCTCGAATAGCGGCATTTCCTCCATCGCTCGCGCGGCTCGCCCTGCCTACAGGGCCACGGCTCCTCGCACCCTCAAGGCCGTTCCCTTCCGATCGATCAACAACCGATGGGCGAGCACTGCCGCCGCCGGTGCTGGCGATGGCAAGATTCACCAGGTGAGCAGCATTGCGCCCTTGAAGCCCGCCGGTCCCCCTAGCCGAGCGGAGCCGCACGGCGGCCTGAGGCACCGAAACCGTGGCAACATTGCAAAGGCTAACAACAACATCACAGGTCATTGGTGCCGTCGTTGATGGTTAGTAACTCTGGATAATACGAGCGACGCGACTTTTGCGGCGTTCAATTGATTTTTTACGGACTGCGACTAACAATCACCCAGTCAAGTTCGACGGTCAGAAGCTGCCTTCCATTCTGAACTCCCTGGAGACCCAGAACAATGGCCAGAAGCTCGTTCTCGAGGTCGCGCAACATCTCGGAGAGAACGTTGTACGCTGCATTGCCATGGACGGTACGTTACCGGTCAGAGTAGCTGGTCTAGGATTGCGGTGCTAACATGCGAAGGTACTGAGGGTCTCGTCCGTGGTGCCAAGGCCACCGACACCGGTGCTCCCATCACCATCCCCGTCGGTACCGCCACTCTTGGTCGCATCATGAACGTCACTGGTGACCCCATTGACGAGCGTGGTCCCATCAAGTCTGACGCCCACCTTCCCATCCACAGGGAGGCTCCCGAGTTCGTTGAGCAGTCCACCTCTGCTGAGGTCCTGGTCACTGGTATCAAGGTCGTCGACCTTGTCGCCCCCTACGCCCGTGGTGGAAAGATTGGTCTCTTCGGAGGTGCTGGTGTCGGCAAGACCGTCTTCATTCAGGAGCTTATCAACAACATCGCCAAGGCTCACGGTGGTTACTCCGTCTTCACTGGTGTCGGTGAGCGTACCCGTGAGGGTAACGATCTGTACCACGAGATGCAGGAGACCTCTGTCATCCAGCTTGATGGCGAGTCCAAGGTCGCCCTGGTGTTCGGTCAGATGAACGAGCCCCCCGGTGCCCGTGCCCGTGTCGCCTTGACTGGTCGTAAGTTCACTATACCCAATACTCTTGATGCTCACGTACTCACTAGCCGAAAGTCACTGTAGCTGAAAGCTTCCGAGACTCCGATGGCCAGGATGGTAAGAAAAATCAACTCCTTTTGCAATATATGACACTAATGGGATGTCAGTTTTGCTCTTCATTGACAACATTTTCCGCTTCACCCAGGCCGGTTCCGAGGTGTCTGCCCTGCTGGGCCGTATCCCCTCTGCCGTCGGTTACCAGCCTACTCTCGCCGTCGACATGGGTATGATGCAGGAGCGTATCACCACCACCAAGAAGGGTTCCATTACCTCCGTCCAGGCCGTCTACGTGCCTGCTGACGATTTGACTGATCCTGCCCCCGCCACCACCTTCGCCCATTTGGACGCCACGACTGTGTTGTCCCGTGGTATCTCCGAGTTGGGTATCTACCCTGCCGTCGACCCCCTCGACTCTAAGTCCCGCATGCTTGACCCCCGTATCGTCGGCCAGGACCACTACGACACTGCGTCCCGCGTCCAGCAGATCCTCCAGGAGTACAAGTCGCTCCAGGATATCATTGCCATTCTGGGTATGGACGAGTTGTCTGAGGCTGACAAGCTTACTGTCGAGCGTGCCCGTAAGATCCAGCGTTTCCTGTCGCAGCCCTTCACTGTTGCCCAGGTCTTCACTGGTATCGAGGGTCAGCTCGTTGACCTGAAGGAGACCATCAACTCTTTCAAGGCCATCCTCAACGGTGAGGGTGACAACCTTCCCGAAGGTGCTTTCTACATGGTGGGCGACTTTGCCTCTGCCAAGGCCAAGGGTGAGAAGATCCTTGCCGAGCTCGAGGGCCAATAAATGCGTGCTTGAGCTAGTCTCTGGGGATGCTTAATACCTTTGCCGAGCGGACGAGGGCGGAGTTGGGGCGGAGTCGAGCCACCTGTGTATAGACCAAAGACAGCGGAAAGGGTGGTGGCCGCCGAGAACGATCTGCTGAAAGCTCCATCAAAGTCTCATTTGTGGGCTGTGTACTAAGAAATCAACAAGTTACCATCTTGTAGCCGTCAATTGAGTGGGAGTCTCTCCTTTGTTTTCACACTTGTTCCACTGCCATATGTGACAGTTTAACTATGATACGCCGTGGACTATGGACCGGAAGAGACATCAGCTATCATAAGATAGATCATTGGATGAGTTTGGGTTCGCATGCTAGGATTCAAGTCGTGGCAAGACTTGTCATGTGGAATATTTCCTTTCATTCTGTCGCGATTTCCTCCTTGATAAGATGCTGGAGCTCTTCTAGATACTCAGCCTCCTCCCTCTGTTTGGCCTCGACAATTTCCGCAACGCCCTCCCGCCATACAGTTGAAACCCGCTTCAGGTCGTCATCTATGCCCCCATGATAGGAGAACTTTGGGAGGATGTGGTCCTCTATGAGGAAGAGCCAGAGATTGATAGACCGAATACACGTCCAGAACCACACTCCTTTGGATGTCCATGAGTCTCGTATTACACGCATGATCTGAACATCATGTTCTTGCTGTACTTTCTTTGACATCTCGTCCATAGCACCTAAGAAAATCTGTCGCTCATTGTCGAACTGGTCAAAATGTTCGCCCGTGAGCTGCTCGGGGCTGCGGTTTGTGAGCCAGTCTGGCACCTCGAGCATTTCAATAGGAAGGGCGCATATCCATTCCAAGTCGATCAAACAGGTAATATTCCAGTCGTCGTCTACAAGGATATTGCTCTGGTGGAAGTCGGTCAGCTGGAGGAGGAAAGGACCATTCCGCCTGTGCCGTATAATAAAGTGGTGCGCTACTGCTCGAAGCAACGTCCTGAGAGCTATACGCTCGTATGCATCGTCTTCGTCTCTGATAGCGTGGGGATCTTGGAGGAACTGATCATCGAAGAAAGAAAGCATGTCGGACAGGAAGCCATCGGTGTTATAGTATGTCTCAGTAGGCTGGATTGTCCGTGGGGTGCCGGCATTCTCGAATATAATCGTCGTGCTAAGCAGAGGCCTGTTTGTAAGCGTGATTGTGGCATCGCTCAGGTTGAATCGGTAGCATCCGATACGTGTTTGCGGTAGTCGGGTTAGCGAGAGCATAATGCGCGACATACCCTCGTAAAGGCGAGCTCGTCTCTTAGTATCATTCATATGCTGCTCCCATGTTATAGAGAGCATGTTGCCCACTTCAGGGCCGACGAATTCTAGCAGCATATATGGGGTGCCTATAGCCGGTGCGGATGTATTCCTGTTGTAGTTGGATAAAAGGGGCAGCTCGAGAATGCGGTGCACCAATCGTCGAACAAGACGAGCAACGCGTGTGTAGAATGACGCTTGCGAGATGTGGGTGAATTGGGAGCCATCCGAGAATCCAAAGGAATGAAGAGCGGGTATTCGCACGTCACGGCAGTGTTCTTGCATCCAGACGTAGGAAGCGACCTCGCATCGTATCTTCTCATCCATTGTCCCAGGGTACTGGGATTCCGCCAGCTTGTGAGGCAGCGGGCACCGGAAAACGAACCGGGACGTTGCGCGGCCGCCCACCATGGCCACGACCAGGACGCACATGTTGAAGCCACCCTGCCGCCAATATTCGGTGGGGATCACCTCGAATGCGTAGTTGGCATCGTCCTTGGGCAGGTGTAAGTGACTTCGAACTAGGGCGGCAATGTCTTCCCTTTGATTCCACAGCCATTGGCGAAACTTGTTGGCGGCCCGTCGGTGGCGGATGGCAAGAATGATGTTGCTTTCTTCCTCGCCGGCCGAGGTGATTGAAATCCATCGTCCATGATGCAGAAATCCTGGACCCTTGGTCGTGGGTGAGGATGGGGGTTTGGGAACTGGATCGGCTGACGACAAAGGGGCATGGCAGAGCGCGGAGCTATCGTCTCCCTTGCTCAATACCGGGAGATCCATGTCTGTGGCCATGGATAGATGTGTTGAGTTGCCTGAACTCGGTGCAGCCCCGTACCAGTTGGTGTGTAGCAAAAGGGGCACGCACCCAAAAGAAATCCAGGCTGCTTGTGTCACACTAAGGTACATGTACCTGCCAGCCCACCGCACGCAGGACTGATCGTATCACGTCTTTGCATCGCTGTTCCAACCCTTTGCCCGTGGATAGAAAAGTTGTCGGCATCGGTACGAGCCGCCCAGTATGCCTGGCGCTTGGAGCTCAGGGAAAGCATCGACTCGGGCTCCGCGCGCCAGGAACGGATTGAAAGTTTGCACCCCCTACCTCCTCCTCCTGGCGATAGAAAAGAAGTAGCAGCACCAAAAGCTGGACTGAGACGACATGGACCGACAGGGTGATTATAGCATGCCAACTTGCCAAGGGAAGATGAATGACTGGTAAATTCCGAAGTTGGAAATCCTTTCGATGCTCATGGTGGCTGCGGCACGGAAGCGATAGCCGTGGTGGAGGGCGCCACGAGAGTCGAGACATGAGGCCGCTCCACAACCGAGCGCCCCGAGTTGACAGCACAACGGGCGCTATTACAACTCTGCGATTCCGAGACTCTCAATTGATTCGATGATCCATTTAGGGCTGTTTGCTAACAAGGCCATGACTGGAGCTTGGAGTGCTGTTAGTAATGGCGCAGGTCCTCCAGGTCCAAGCCTCAAGGCCACATAATAAGCTAGCGTACTCAAGTAATATGCAGCAATCATCCTGAATGTCGCCGAATGATCTCGTTCTCGACCTGATAAGGCTAGTATCTCATGCTGTAGAGCCTCCTGGACCCTGGCCCGCTACATCCTTATGAGGATCCCACGCTGACAGCCTGACACAGCCACTTACCATCCATCCAGGGACGTCCGCCTTTTGAAGTCGTGTCGTCACCTCTGCTTTCATCTCCTCGATACCCAGTGTAGAAGACAGCCGTGTCATCTGCCATCTCCCACGTATATATGTGAGTTGCGTCGTCCCTGAGGCTAGACTGTAACTTAGTAGTTTGCCATGTGGGAACATGCCTCCTCTGACAGTCGTTCCGAATAGCTCAGCTTCCTTGGCTCTCACATAGCGCCCCCGCGAACAGACACAGAGCAATCCGCAATGTCGGGGTCACTATCCGACTCACTGTCTCCTCCAGACACAACCGTCGCGAGCGACAAGCCGTACCATTCGAAGCGACCGCACAAGAAATCCAGGGCCGGGTGTAAGAACTGCAAAGCCCGCAAAGTCAAATGCGACGAAGCCCGCCCGATTTGTCGCTCCTGCAAGCTACGCAAGAACGAATGCGTGTATCCAGACATTCCAGAGCCTGCAAGCGCAGCAGCTTCGAGCAAGCCCAGATCTGCGCCAGACAGTGTCGACAATGCCCCTACGAGCAGCGCATCGCCCAGCAGTGCCTTTGAGGAATGGTGCAACGGCGGTGGCCATAGTCATACGCCGGCCCAAAGCAATGCCCTCGTCCGCGCGTCTACCGCGTCGTCTACCACTCCACACGTCACCGACGCATGCCCGCCCGAATTGAAGAACGACCTACAACTGTTGCGCGAACCTTTGTTTCGGCCGGCCGTCGCACGCGATGATTTCGACATGCGACTGCTGTGGTTCTACACCACAGCCACCTGCTCTTCCTTCAGCATCGAGTACGCCGCAGACCGTCCCGTGGAGACAATCATGCGAACGCGCATCGTACATCACGCCTTCCAGACACCCTTCCTCATGCAGTCGCTGTTTGCGCTCGCGGCACTGCATCTGCAAAACCTGAATCAGGAGATCGACCCCAAGCGAGCTCTCGCGTATCGTGCTACGTCCTTTGAGGGATACCGCAAGGCGGTCGCGGAAGCGGATCCCGAAACGTTCCCCGCCATGATCACCAACTCTCTTATTCTCACTGCACTGTCATCACAAGCTTTCCGCGACGCCGATGGGAAGGACTTGTACATTGTGGACTGGATGATTGTCTGGAGAGGTATCGGTCTGATCATCCAGACCATGGGCTTTGAGCGGTTCTTGGCATCGGGCCTTCAGACACTCTTCTATCGCCCACCCATGGACCTTGACGACGCAGCAAAGCACATCCCCAATACTCTCTTGTATATGGTCTCTTCAATCCCCGAGAGCGACCCGGATTTCCAAGAGACCCAGACCTATTACGATACCCTCAAATATTTGGGCGCGCTCTACCAAAACCTGCATGATGGAGGCCTCGGGCCCATCATGGTACTGAGAATCATCACCTGGTTCACGTTCATCCCAAACGGCTTTGTTGAGCTAGGCCGTCAACGGCGACCTCGGGCCTTGGTCATCATCGCATTCTATGCCGCTTTCCTGAAGCTCGCCAATTCAGTCTGGTGGATCAAGGGTATCGGCCAACGGACGCTCCGCGACGTCTGCCGTCACCTTGGGCCGGAGTGGTCCTACGTTCTGAATATGCCTATGCATGCCATAAACACGGAGGATCGGGAAGACCTAGTCCGTCTCATACTGGCAGATCCCGAATGGCTATCCGCGGACAAGCCTGCAACAGAAGATCCTCTGGCAGCCGCAGTAGACGAGCACCCTACCTGGACCGTCTTTTTAGGGAAGGAAGTCGATCTTAGCTGTAATTTTGAGCTGCACGCACCGGACGGTGAATTAATGCCTTGATACCTTTGAATATATGATCTATTATATATCAGGAGATGAAAGAAACCACGATTAAAAGCGTGAATTGAGTCTTACTTAGATTCTGTGGTTTTGTATACCATCTTCAATTGTACAATTAAAAAGAAATCAAAGGCCATGGCGCCTTGATATTGGCGCCGTCTATCCGATGCGAATGTGTGTAAATCATCCCTCCCGTTCCATACCTTTCAACACCTTCTTTCTCCAATACATACATTTATACATCTGGCTGGTCGCCAGTTTGTCGCACTCTGGCAGCAAGGCTATCTTGCGCTTGACTGAGCTCTCCACCACCAAAGCCCATTGTCTTCTTCTTCCCGCCCTTTCGCCTGTTTCCGTACTCTTCGTCGAATCTCTTGATCAGGCGTAGGCTCTCCATGTCTTCGCTGATGCTCGCGGGAATCTGCTTCAGGGCCTTCTCAAAGTGGGACTTGTCCAAGATCCGGCGCTCGGGATACTCATAAGGCTCCGGCCCCGTGTGCTTCTCGGCAGCGGCATTCTCCTGCTCAACAGCGGTCATGGCGGCTGCCACGCACATGTTCTTCAAGTCCGAGCCGGAGTAGTACGGTGTCCGCTCCGCGAGACTGGCAATGTCCACATCGTCCGCGAGCTTCTCATCCCGCAGTAGCAATTTGATAATGGCTGAGCGATCGTCCTTCAGAGGAAGGTCTATGAGCAGCTTCCGCGGCAGGCGGCGGAGAACGGCATCGTCAAGATCAAACGGACGGTTTGTGGCGACCATGATGAAGGCATTGGTTTCTTCCATGCCGTCCCATTCCTTGAGGAACTGGTTGATCAGCTCACGATGGGCAGGACGGGTACTATGCATGCTCCGTTTGGAAAGGATGGAATCGGCCTCGTCGATGAAGATGACACATGGCGACATCTTCTTCGCCATGGTGAACACGGCCCTGATGAGTTTCTCCGACTCGCCGACCCACTTGTCGTTGATGCTGGCACCGCTCACTTCGAGCATGTTTGCGCCACTGTCCTTGGCCACCGCCTTTGCGAGCATGGTCTTGCCTGTTCCAGGGGGGCCATAGAGAAGACAACCGTTGATCTTGTCGTGCGCCAGGACACCATAGGAAAAGGCGTCGGGACGGACGAGTGCCAGTGCGGTAAGTAGCTTCAGCGCTGTCGTGATTTCGGGCGCAACGTGAACATCGGCGAAGGTCGTCCGCAGGTTTTCCTTGTTGATTATACCGTTCGCAATGCGCTTCTCGTACTCGTTCCCTCCTCGGGCCGTGTTCTTGTTCGCGGCGTTTGCAGTGCTCTCAGGCCTCGAAGCTTCGTTGCCAGAAGAAGGCTCGCGTTTGCCGTTCGCATCCGGAGGCGCGTCCCAACGAAGAACATGGCCAGGAGGCTGCAAGAGAGGACCCATGTGCATGCGGTCCGCGAATGCAGACGCTCCGGTACCGGGATGAGAGATCTCCTGGTCGCGGAAGCTGCGTGCCAGATTGTGAATCTCGAGCCAAGGTAGGACAGTGCTGTTCAGGGGGTTTCTAGGAGCACCTTGAAACATGGGATCGTGCCAGTAACCATCGTCGGGGTTGTCTTGCACACGCCAAAGAGGAGCAAGCATGGGGTGTGCTGGGGGATCGATGGCGAGAATCATGCGGTTGATATTACGCGCGTTCTCGCAGAGATTGTCCACCAGTTGCAAGTTGAAAGGCCCAGCTTGTGAGTCTAACTTGGTAGCCGTTTCAGCTTCCGCGCGCGCAGGCTGGACAGCACGAGACACCACAAAGTCTGATGCTGCAAGCTCACGCACCATATTATGGTACTCGTCCGAGGGAGTCTGCGACGACGATGTACCAAGCACAACGATGCGCTTGCCATTCTTCCACGCAGTATCGACAACCTGCCTTAATTTTGAAAGAATTGCTGCTCCTTCGAGAGTCATGCTGAGCTCAACATAGTCGTGCACATGCACGACCACGGGCTGCGGCACGTCTGTGACAGGCAAGTGCTCTGTTGGTTTTGATATAATGGTTTCCAGCGCCTTGTTGATCTTGAGATGTTCCCAGTCTGTGAATACATCGCGAATCTCGGAGCGCGAAGGCAGGTCTGTCAATGCTGAATCGCGGACGTCCTCGCTCAGGTCCTGTCTCAGCCTGCGCAGGTCGGCAGCGTTTCGCACGTGGATGATATTGGATTCCTCGTCGTCGGGGTCTTCTTCGGTCGCATCGATGATCTGTATCCTCCTCCCTGTCCTGCCTCCATAATCAGCAGCTCGAAAGCCCAGCGTTGACACAGGACCGCGCGAGTACAACCAATCCTGGCCGATGTAGTCGCCAAGCATCCAGGAGATATCGTACGCATCCAGGTGTATAACGTGCGCCTCACTCAGCCATGATGCGTAGCTCCCCAGACTTTGCGCTATTGAGTTTCCATCATGCCCATGCATAGCCAATATCTGAATTGGTCGCCTCCCAATTTTCGGGTCGAAACTCGGAGGGCAGATTTGCTCGAGATCTCTGCGGAGGTTTCGTTTCAAGCTGTTGAAGGCTTCGATGGGAAAGTCGGTGATCGCGTGCGATAGTGAGTGGTCGAGGTACTCGGCGTACTGAAGCTGCTGCGATACAGGCGCTTCACGATTTGTGAAGTGATCGCGCCAGATATAGGACTGCGGGTCGAGGTCCCTGTAGATATTCCACCACCAGAAAGGCCGACTTGTGTATGTATATGTCGGCTCGCGCACTGGGTACAAGGCGTCCGCCAAGTGCCAGGCACAGTCGTTCAGAAACGATGTCAAGCGTACAATCTGCGCTATCCGGAAGGATGTATGCCAGGGTGACGATTTTAAGATGGGCTGCTCCTCAAGCTCTGCCCATATTTGCGCCAGTCGCTTCTCGATCATGTCAACAGCTGCGGTAAAGTATTCCTCTAGTCGCAAGGTCCGCTGCGGAGTCGCCTTGGAGTATAGATTGGAGACCTTGACATGCGTCGCGTCCATCTCAAGAGGCTTGGGAAGCCGCGGCTGAGTGTCAGGCCCGAAATAGGACACATTCTCGGGGATGAAGTCGTTGGGCAGATCGAAAGGAGGCAAGTCGGAGATGCCGCGTCGTTTGATCGTGTTCCTCCTGCGCAAGGTAGAGCCCGTCGATGTACGCAGTCGCCCTCCTGCCGCTTCGTTCGTATCCGTCGCCTCATTGCTCTCGACCTCTGTTGCAGCCTCCTCGAAGTTGGCATTGTCTTCTAGACCGGGCGTTTTCGAGGGTTTGGAGGGGTCGGGCGGGTTGTCTGAGCGCAATTGTCGCGCGCATGTGTGGAATTGAGTATGTCTTGTTCGAGCTGTAGAGGCTATGGGGTAGAGATGTGCCAGGGCGCTTGAGGTATGGGGGTATGTTGTACAAGAAGCCGCTGCTTTAGGGACATGGTGAGTATTTCGACGCGAACGCCTTGCTGCTCTCGCTATGGCGCTGATTGCCGGAAAGCATGATGAGCGCATCCCAGCGTATGGAGCACAGGCCGTCGGAGATGCGACAGGGCCCTAAAATGGTAGCTCTGAGAACATCGCGAAACGCGGATGTCTGGTTCAAACTCGACGTTGCCCAACTTTTGAATATTTTGCTTAGTAAGGATTTCGCGCTCATTAAAACAGCGACCACTTGACATGCACAAACCCTTCCAGGCACCCAACAGGGATACTGATCGGCCAAGACACAACAGCGTTGGCGACTTTTGAGAAAGAATACGATTCCTTGTCAATTTTGACTACAAGTACGTGTTTCCCCCGGTATGTTTGGCTATAGGCTTCCGGGTCAAGATCGGGAGCGAGACTACATCTGTTCCACGCCTGGCTTGGCTGGGTTGTAACTACTGGACACGCCGATGGCCATCTAAACATATTCAGGGACTGCTTTTACCGCCCGAGAGTCTCGAGTGGGACTAGAGAAATATGGTGTTCTACTCGTGAACACTTGTACGGAGAGCCATCGGTCGGCGGGCGTATTGGAGGCTACCACCAAAGTCATGCTATGAACACTGAACAAGCCAAAAGAATTTCCCGAAGAATGATGGCCGGGGCCGTGAAATCTTATGTTTGGTATCAATAAGTCTGTATCATTTGAAGATCTAAGCCTACCTTGATTTGGGTCTCAAGCTCAACATGAGATGACCTCAGTAAGGTAGACTGACTACCTTGTGTGGCGCGCACAGGGCTCAGCAGGCCTTCTGCCGGTTTAGTTTCTTCTCACTTCTCTGAGTATTTTTTGTTTCTATTTAATCTCTGCATCTGCATCACGATTCACTACCTCTGTCACCCTCAGCAACTGTCACCACGCACCGCGCCTGACACCACCCACTCGCTCTTGATGAGCTCGTAAAACATATCCACGCGGTAAGTACATGACTTATTGTCTGATCTGATGTTTGTTTTCTGCTGCATCCTACGCGCCGCGGGTTTATGAACATCTAGTTTGGAATTTGCATTAGTCTCAGAGGGGCTCGTTCACTCACCTCATCCTGGCTTAACACAAGCCCAGGCAAATCCAACCCGTAATCTGTTTAGTGTTTTACATTTTTCGTATATTTACTAACGGACTCTTTTAGGACGCTAGCAAGATGGCGAAAGTGGAAAGTCATCGAAAACCGACCCCCCCCCATACTCCCCAGGCCCTATGCACTCCATCGACTACATCCACCTCGTGGCGCGAAACAGAAGTATATGCACGAGCGGCCCAAGGGGATAAGAAGCGAACTTCCAAGACCCATCCTCCCCCTACTTGCTCAGAGATAGAGGACTGGGTTAAGTTTATCCTCCCATGTACTGGAGCAGGCCCTGATGTGCATTCCATTGCGGATTGTATTGTCAGAGTAGTCGACAAGATACAGGAGTCCGAAAGCTCCAACCATCAGCTCCGAATGAAAGTTAAAACGTTTGAGGAAATCGGCAACTCCAACGATAAGCTAAAGGAGAAAATAAGGCAAATAGAGCATGAGAAGAAGGAAGATTTCTGTCTGTCGACTAAGGTGATAATGCTACAGCATAACCACACGAAATCGGAGAAGAAGATGGACAAGGAGTTCAACACACTGCGCGAACGACTGTCCACATTGGAAAAAGAAAAAGAAGCCGATCGCGTCAAACGGCAGCTACTGGTCGGTCACAACAACGCAGTGGACAAGCAGATCGACACACTACAAAAGCAAGTGTCGACACTGGTCAAGGCAAAGAAAGTTGTCATCGACAAGCTTGAGGCAATGGAGGTGAAGATCGGGCCAATGAACGGTGAAATGGAGGCAATAGAGAGGAAGCTCGAGGCTAGGTACCATACAGCCTGCTACGTACATAGAGGCCACGCTACCATCCAAGCATACCTTAGAGGGTCAGAGTCTAAGTATAGATACATTGGCTAACGGCTTTTAATGAATATTGGATACAATAAGATACAGGATTAAAACAAAGGATCCTTAGTTATTTCTACTCACAGAGCCCTGCCCACAAAGCTAAAGTGTAACTCAATATTAGTTGACAGTCTTAAGCAAATGCTATTGCTAATCCTTCCTGTACTTATTTGTTTTGTCGAATGCATTCAGGGGTCATTAGCCCAATATTCGATTAAAGCTACTAGTTAACGTTCTAAGTGGCTATATATAATAAGAATAGAAAGACAATTACTAAGTATTGACTAACGATTTGAATCACGTATCGAGTCTATAATATTCAAGGATTAATTAGCCACTTCATTCGAGTGTGAACCAGAGTCTAGAGATACGGGTTAAGGACTAACATAGCTTCATTACTGTAGTTAGCTACCCTACGATATAAATACAAGCGGGCGTAAGGCACGAGAGGAGCGTGCTAAAAAGAGCTTAAGCCGCGGGGAGTAGGATTGGCTAACGGCTTTCAATAAACTTTAGATGCAACAAGATACAAGATCAAAACAAAGGATACTCGTAGCGTCTCCTCGTATCTAGCAGGCCGTCGTCGTGTCTCTCTAAATGCTGCAGGACGCGATGGTAGGGTTACAGTAAACTACACGATGAACCTCCCATCCGTCCATCCTTCCAACCACTTCTTTCATCCTCTCCTCCATGTCAGCGATGCAAGCAAAGGCAAATGAAATTGCCCGATTATAAAAAGGAAAAATAACTTGTCCAACCCGCGCAATGACGAAAATACCACAGTTCTAAATCAGATGAATGCTCTTACTCGCCCTTGAGCTTGTCCTGCTTGACGGTGAACGCCATTTCGAGCAGTTCTTGCTCCTCCTTGGCGTGCACACTCTTCAGACCGGTCGCCACCGACGCGCTGGGGTTGCGGCCGGCGTACATGACGTGCTTCCGGTCATGGTGCTCGGTGTTGTTGAGCAGGGTCTCGATACGAGGCTGGGTAAAGCTCCAGGCACCGGCGTTCAGCGGCTCTTCCTGGGCCCAGACAACCGTCTTGGCGTTGGGGTAGGTGTCCAGGTTCTCCTTCAGCTGCTGCCACGGGAAGGGGTTGAGCTGTTCCAGACGGGTGATGGCAACGTCGTCAATCTTGTTCTCCGCACGGTACTTGTGCAGAGCAGCGTAAACCTGGCCGGAGCAAAGGATGACACGTTGAATCTCCTCAGGAGCCTTGATGCCGCCATTCTTGTGCTCGGGGTCCGCAATCAGGGTGCGGAAGCCAGCGTCCTTGCCGGTGAAGTCCTCAATGTTGGAACGAGCAAGGGGGTGACGCAGCAGCGACTTGGAGAAGAAGATGACGAGGGCTATGCATGGTTAGCAGCTGGACGGACGCGACTTGCAATCTGAGACTTACGCTTGCGGAACTGACGGTGCATCTGGCGACGCAGCGCGTGGAACAAGTTGGCGGGCTCAGTCATGTACACAATCTGCATGTTGCAGTCCTGGTGTTGGCGGTTGATCTGGTCCTCGGAGGGGAAGACGCGAGGGTCCTCGTTGGACAGCTGGAGGTAACGCTCAAGGCGGCCCGACGAGTGCTCGGGGCCTTGGCCGTCGTAACCGTGAGGCAGCGACATGACCAGGCCGGTACGCTGCATCCACTTGGACTCACCAGAGGCAAGGAACTGGTCAATGATACATTGCGCATTGTTGGCAAAGTCACCAAACTGCGCCTCCCACATGACCAGAGCATTGGGCGACGACAACGAGTAGCCGTACTCGAAGCCGAGAGCACCAAACTCGCTCAGCGACGAGTTGGAGATGACGAATTTGCCCTGGTCCTTGTTGACGTGCTGGAGAGGAGTGTATGTCTCCTCGCTCTCTTGGTCATGGAAGACGGCGTGACGCTGGGAAAAGGTACCACGCTCGACGTCCTGACCAGACACGCGGACATGGTAGCCCTCGTTGACAAGGGTGCCAAAGGCGAGGGCTTCCGCAGTGGGGAAGTCAATGTTCTTGCCCTCCGTGACAGCCTTGGTGCGGTTGTTCAAGATGCGCTTCAGGTTGCGGTGAATGTGGAAGTCCTCGGGGGCAGAGCCAATGACCTCGCCAACGTGTGTCAGGGTCTGCTTATCCACGTTGGTGTCGTTGTGGGGCAGGATCTCGGTCGCGAGCTCCTTGGGCGACTTGAAGCCGTTCCAGGCGGACGTCGTCCACTCCTTGGAGGTGGGCTGGTAGTCCTTGGACTTGGTGAAGCTCTCTTCCAGCATGCCCCAGACCCATTGCTTGTGCTCCTCGATGTCGCCCTTGGAGAAGCTGCCGTCCTCGAGCAGCTTCTCGACATAGGTGTCGATTTGGGGCGACTTCTCGGCAATGCGCTTGTACATGAGAGGCTGCGTGAAGGAAGGCTGATCAGTCTCGTTGTGGCCGTGCTTGCGGTAGCAGACCATGTCAATGACCACGTCAGACTGGAACTCGGCGCGCCAGTCAGCCGCCAATTGGCAGACGTGATTGACGGCCTCGACGTCGTCGGCGTTGACGTGGAACACGGGCGCGTCGATGGCCTTGGCGATATCGGTACAGTATGCGGTCGATCGGGCGAAACGGGGGTCGGTCGTGAAACCAATCTGGTTGTTGACAACAAGGTGGATCGTGCCGCCGGTCGAGAAAGCGGGAAGGGAGTGGAAACCAAGACACTCATAGACGATGCCCTGGGCAGCGAATGCGGCGTCACCATGGAGGAGAACGCTCATGGCAGTGCGATGAGACTTTTCGTCGTTGTTGTAGTGCTGGATGGCACGGGTCTTGCCCAGGACAACCGGGTCCTCGGCCTCCAGATGCGATGGGTTGGCGACCAGAGAGAGCTGCACACGCTTGCCAGAAGGTGTGGGACGCTCAAAGTTCATGCCCAAGTGATATTTGACATCGCCAGAACCTTCCTCCTCGGCGCCGCCAGTACCCGCAAACTCTGAGAAAATGGACTCGTTGGGCTTGCGCACGACGTTGCTGAGCACGTTGAGACGACCACGATGGGGCATACCAATGACAATGTCCTTGACACCATAGTCGACACTGCGGTCAATCAGGGCCTTCATTCCGGGAACCAGAGTCTCGCAACCCTCAAGACCGAAACGCTTGTCGTTGGGGTACTTGGTGGCCAGGAACGACTCGAAGCTGGAACTCCAGATGAGACGGTCCAGGATGCGGCGCTTCTCGTCGATTGAGTATTTGAAAGGCTGGGGCACTTCGAGGCGCTCGCGCAGCCAGTCGCACTTCTCACGATCGGGAATGTGGATGAATTCGGCGCCATAAGAGCCGCAGTAGATCTTTTCGCAAGCATCGACGATTTCACGAAGGGTCATCTTCTCGCGACCATCGCGCTTGAAGCGAGGGAGAATACCGGGACCGAGGCTGTACTCCTTATCAAGGTCCTTTTCGGTGAACTGGTAGTGCTCTAGGGTCAACTCCTTTGGCTTGATGTTACCAAAGCCGGCGGCCGTTGTGCGAATACCGAGAGGGTCGATGTTGGCCTTGTGGTGACCGCGGGACTGGTATGCGCGGACGAGAAGTTGAACCTTGAGATGGTTGGTGACATCGGAGCCGTCGTCGAGAGCGAGGCCTCCCGACAGGCGGGTGCCAGTCATACCAGGGACGAGGTTAGGGGGCGGCTGGAAGGCCTGCGAAATGGGCATCTCGCCGCCCTCCATGTTGTTGAAGTATACCTGCCAGGAAGCGTGTACACTCTCCGGGTCTTTCTTCCAGCGCATGTACATTTCGTCGACGTAGTTGGCGGTGGCTCCCGTCAGGAAGTTGTCGTTGGCCAGCGCGCTGCTCGTGCTCGTGCTCGTGGCGTAGCAGCGGAACAAGGCAGGTTTCTGCATCAAGGGCCGTCCTGGGACGCGACGTGCGCCCCGGACGCCCTTTAGCAGGGCTTGTCTGAACATGGTGGTGAGGATATGATGGTGTCGATTAGGGGTGACGAGGAGGAATCTTCAAGCAAAGGGATCGGAACCAGGGCAGAATGACTCCTGCGAAGTGACGGAGAGTAAATATTCTCCACCCGACGGCGTTACTCAGCCGCCGCAGCCAATCGCGGTGCCCCGTCGCGGGAAGTCACGGCCACCGGGGGAAGGAGCTTGATTTATAGCCGACGCCACACCTCGAGTGCACAGCCCCAAGCGCTATCGTCGCTCCAGCCACACCTCTTGACTTCATTGATGCTTTTCACGGTCATGACTTTCCAGCTTCAGTACTTCTCCCTCGCATTTGCTTACCAATGTTCCTAATTTTTGGATTTTCCTCGAGCAGTTCAGCGCGCAAATAGTGTGGTACCTCGCCTGCAAAAGCATAAGATTACAGGACAGGACCGAGCCTTGCGCAGTGTGCAGGAGGTTCCATCGGTGATCCTCATGACCGTTTGTTTGGTCAAGGTAGCAGACCAGACGTGAAGCGGCCTGTCACACGAAGCCGCCATGGCACTCCCGGCTGGCCGCACGGCGTACAAGAAGAAAGATGGCATCCTTACCTTGACGCCAGATCAGCAGACAGTGACATGGACGCCCAACACTGGGGGCCCGGCGCAGGTCTCCCTCAGCGTAGCCAATGTCACAAGTAAAGCTTCCTGTAAATTTCTCCTATTCCTATACTGATCTATCCAGATCTTCAGCAAACGCCAGACAGTGCAGCAAAGACAATGCTCAAAGTGTTCGCCAAACCATCGGAAGGGGGCGAGCCTGTGCCATACCTCTTCCATTTCAACACTTCTGAGGCCAAGGACGAGGCAAAGGCCGTGAGGGATCTGCTGTCGCGGCTACTCGCGGAGATGAAGAACAGCGATCCGAATGTACCAACGCCAAATGTAGGGACTCCGAATACCCAGGCCAACGGCAATGGTGGCAGTGGCGCTTCAGGTTCAATGGCTTTCGCCAGCGCGGTAAACAAGTCACAACAAGCATCTCTGCAATGGTTTGACGACAGCCAGCTGAAGAACAACTATGAGCTCCAGCAATCCCTTATGAAAAAGGATCCGAGCCTTCACCGAACGTACATGGAGGCCATGGCCATGAAACCAGACACAATCACAGGCTCAGCGTTCAATACCCAATTCTGGTCCACGAGGATCAACATGCTTCGAGCGCATGCCATCGAGACGAGCCAGAAAGGGGGGCAGTACAACGTCCTGTCCACTGTCCGCGCAAAGTCAGATAACGGAGAGCTCAAGTTGAATCTCACAGTAGAGCAGATCCAGATGCTCCTCGCTCAATACCCTCTCATTCGGCGCATCTACAATGAGAATGTGCCCCCGAGATCCGACAAAGACTTCTGGGTCGAATTCTTCACCAGTCGGCTGTGCACGAGGTTGCGCGGCGAACGCGTCGAGGAGAATGCCAACTTCTCTCCGCTGTTTGACAAGCACGACATCAACGAGAACACACCTAGTTATCACAGCAAAATCATGGCACAGAATGTACCTCACATCATCGACATTGAAGCGAACGAGGAGAATCAGGGCGGCGTTAGAAGCGGCAACAAGAAAGATGTGGAAATGCGTCCGAGCAAGCACGTGGCCATTGTGAAGACGGTCAACAGCGTGAGCGAAAGAATCATGGCTAATGTTGCGCCGTCCGACCCCAATGACGAGGTTGCCAACGAAGCGTACACGCAGCTAGGCCTTCGAGATCTCCGGGGGCCGGAAGAGGAACACCGAATCATGCTCAACGTGAAGGAACAGAACAAACTCTTCGCCAAGCGTGATGCAGCCCCTTCTTCCAACGCACAGGTCTTTGCGAAGCAGAATCCGGATGATGTCTTGTTTGACATACAAGCCGATCTGGCGACGCTTGTCGAGGACGGCGTTGGTGGTCTTGACTTGGCTGCAGGAATCGGCTTCAACGACGATAGCGAGAGTGACGAGGAAGACAATTCCCCGGCGAAGCGTAATCACGTTGGCTCTCGGTCGATACTTCGAGTGGCGGAGAAGGAAATCCTGCACGGCATCAGCCAGCAGCGGGCGCAGCAGTACGGGCATGCGAGCGATGACACGACACCAATGGGACTCTCTAGGGCCATGGCCGATCGGTGCTCCCTGACGCATGCCACTACAGTCGAGTTCCTGCATCAGTTTTGGTCCGCATTTTTGTCTGGGGATCCTGATAGAGCAGCAGAGCTGCAGTATCTCGCAGAGTCCCTCGCCAAATCCATTGACCGCATCAACGTTGTCGCCGAAGAAGCCACCAAGGAGCGGGAGGAGCTCATCAAGAAGAGAAAACAAGACATCAGAGACCACTACGAGCGAACGGGTAAGAAGATCCGCTGGAAGTCTGACATGGTCGAAGGTGGAAGGGAGGCAGTCATCAAATTGATGCAACCGGTATTGGATGCAATTGACGGCGCTCGAAGCAAATATGCAGATGCATTGGCAGCGGAAGGTATCAAGGTGTCAACAGAATCATGAGATAGCTCTTCATTCACGACTCCAGCGTTGGCGCCGAATGAGTCTGTGGTTTTGTACATTATCTTCAAATTTAGAATAAAAAACCATCAAAGGCCATGGCGCCTTGATATTAGCGGTCTATCCGCTACGAATGTGTATAAATTATCGCTCCTATTGCATACCTTTGAACACCATCATTTTACAAGCACTGTATCAGGAGATTAAAGAAACCACGATTAGAAGCGTGAATTAGTAGTAGAAGGAATGTTCCTTGGATTCTACCTATATTCATGGAGTATTGCCTTGACACTTTTGTAGATATTATTCCTACATAAGAATTAGCGAGGCTATTATTATGTCAACGATAGCGTTAGTTATTCATACAGTAGACAAACTGAATTAAGTCAACGATAGCTCTAGTTACTGGGACAGTAGACATTCTAAATTTAATCATCTCATATATCCATATGTGAATATAGAACGTTAGGACATTAGCAGATTCGCCGTTACGCAAGACTGAAAGAAAATTCTATATCCATGATAGCGCTGTGACGCTGTGATATAATCCTAGATAGACGGGAGAGTTAATAGGTAGTTTCGAAGCAATGCTTCGGATGGTAGAGAGAGAGAGAGAGAGAGAGAGAGAGAATGGTTGCAAAACGGTTAATTTGAGTTGAGGCTCAACCGTGATGACGTCTGGTGGGAATGAGGGTTCTCGGGTTCTAGGAAGTATTCCATACCAACAGCTAACATTATGTTGCCGTTCCTTTTATCCCATCTTTTCTCTCCTTATCGTCTTCTCTATCGTCGTCACGGTCTCCATCGTTATCGCTTAATGTTTCTTTACTCTCTCCATGCCTCCAGACGCTCCTCCAGCTACGTAGAACGGCGATCGGCGTTGCCCACCTTGTTAACTACAGGTCCTCAACCCAGATCCTTGAATGCGAGGATGAGCTTGACCCAGTCTTCTATCCCTGAGCAAGCGGGGACAGGATATGTCGTAGAGGTTCGCTTCTTATCCCCTTAACTTGGGCTGCTTGTGCATATATAATAATCGACTGAACCTGCTGATCCCATGTCTGCCTATGAGCCTTATGAGCAGAATCCGCAATACCATGGTCGGGGGTGGTAATGGGCGCATCCTCCTGGATTCAGGTTGTTGAGTCATCCGTGGTAGCAGGGGCTTCAGGGTGTTGCGAGGCCCGGGCCGCCTGGCAAAAAGCATTGTAGATAATCATCGTGGGAGAGGGCATAGTCTTCCAATCCAATGGCCAGTTGGAGCGTCTTGATAGCTCTGCGCACAACTTGGACTTTTTTAGATCGTCTAGTGCAAACCAAGGGATTAACTCAGCAAAGTGACAAGAAACAAAACCCGCAAAAGACCCGTCCGACACTACGCCACCATGTTTCAATAGAGACAGAAAATCTTGTTGCATCCCATTTTCATTGAAAGCCGTTAGCCAATTTATCTATACTTGGACTTCCCACGGCTGGACGAGGCCATCGTCGCCGGTTGTGATCAGCATTTCCTCGACGCCTCTCCTAGACGGGTCGACCCCCTTATCCCACCGTCGACACCAAGTTACGTGGTTCACCTCGTACGGGCCATGTGCATTCGGCAAGGACACGAGCAGTGACCACTCGCCCGTCTCCTCGTTCTCTTTGTAGAGGGCCAAGGTACCGTCGCTCCCCGTGCTGGCCACAAGACCTGTTGTGGCGCTCCAGGTAGCGGCGTAGATGTCCGACTCGTGTACCTTTGGCAACGTCGCCGTGCAAACCCAGTCCTCCCGCAGTGACTGGCGCATTGTGTTGGGTATGCCGCCCAGCGCGTTTCTGCCCTGCCCGGCGCCGTCCTCCTGGCCATCCTCGTCCGACGGCTGGGTCAGGGTCCAGATGCGTATGGTCCCGTCCGCCGAGAAGGACAAGATCCGGGGGAACTTGTCGCCTTTCCTCGGTCGACCCTCCCACTGTACACCCCAGACTGTGCCCTCGTGCTTCTCCAGCACAGCAACGCAGACCCACTCGGCGTCGCCGTCCTCGCGCCACACGCGGACGGTGTTGTCGTAGCTCGCGCTCGCGAGGCACTCCACGCCAAAGGTACCCTTTCTCGAGCGGCCGGGGAGGTCGGGACACCAGGCGAGCGCCTTGACGTCGCCCTCGTGCTCGTTCAGGACGGCAATCGTCTCCCAGTCGTCGTCCGACTCGGAGGCGCCAATGTCCTCCCATATCCAGACGGACTTGTCCCGTGAGCAGGTGGCAATGTGCGCCCCTGAGGGGGAGAAGATGCAGTTCTTGATTTCAGAGTCGTGGCCCTCGAGGACGAGCGTGAACTCCCAGTCGTCCTCCTCTTCCTTCTCGTCACCATCACTTCCGTTCCTGATCTCCGTTTCGTGCTCGGCCCCGCGATCCTCCCATCGCCATATACCCGCGGTGGAGTCGAAGCTGCCCGTCGCGAGACACAGCTTGTGGGGCGGCAAGTTGGGCTTCCATGACGCGGCGCGCACAGATCGCGTGTGTCCTCCGGTGAGGTTGGAGTGCGGCGTCAGGGTGGTGAGGGAGAAGACCGTGACCGACTTGGCGTGCGCCGTGGCGAGGAGCGGGAGAGTGGGATGGGGCGTGGAGGACCAGGCGCGTTCGTGGAGGTCGGGCGTCAAGGGCGGCAGCGGTCGGATGTGTGTGGACGACATTGTGGAATGGCCATGCAAGCAAAGCCAGACTCGAGCGAGGCGTTGGACAGGTAGATGCGTTTGGTTGTCGAGCTTTCAGAGGGGTGGAGGGGTTTGTTCGGCTGGCCGAGACCGGAAGATCTTCCAGGCCCTGTTTTCTCGCTGGCGAGCTTGATTTATCGCGGCCTGTGATATTCGGTATTTAGCGGCACGCCAATTTTCACAAGCACGATGCTTGTCTGCGTCGTTAAGAGTTGGGGTTATGCTGTCACGGTAGACTCAAGGTGGGTTGGATGGACGTCAGATAAATCTGAGCAGCCCTTCCGCCCCTCTGCCCCACGCTTGGCATATCGTGGAGGTCTTTGCCAAGGTACCAGGTACGGATATTACTCAATCACATACTTCGACTGTAAAGGCCTAAATGGCCATGGTACAAGACATTGGTGAATAAGTTCCGTGAAAAATATTGGTCCGCTATCGATCTGCATCATGTTCCCTGTTCTTGTACCTTTAGAGGCCGGCAATCTCTAAGTTAGACCCCTCAGGTAGATCCCCTGAAGACGTCCCCGATGCGCAAGCCTTCCCTTCGGGCCTGCTCAAGGCCACCCTTCCTGAAGCCTCCTGGCAAGACGACCCAGAGGACCATAATGACCCCCATGAGCACCAGCACAAAGGGCTGCAGGACCTGGACGCCCACATCCTCCGCAATCAACCCCACCAGGAAGGGGAACACTGCCGCGCCGCCGCCTCCAATGGCAGCCGACAGCCCAATCGTCGCGACGTGCTGGTCTGCTGGTAGCAGTTTTGTCATGGTCACAATGGCCGCGGGAAAGAGCGGGCCAAGGAAGAATCCCATGAAGATAACGCACACGATAGCCACCTCCAGGCTGGGGATCGCCCAGTAGAGAATCTCTAGCACGACACAGATGGTTAGGTAGATGACAATGGCCAGCTTCTCGCCGATGCGACCAGTGACAAATCCCAGGACCACGCGACCGAGGGTCAGGCCTGCCCAGAACAGGGTCACCACCACGCCAGCCAGGAACTTGTCCGAGTGACGGACCTCGATCATGAATGATGGGATCCAGCCACCGAGACAGACCTCGATGCCCACGTAGCCAAAGAGGAAAGCCGACACAATCCAAGGCACGGGCGACGACAGAATCTCCCGCGTGCTGGTGGGTTCTTTGCCCTCGCCGAACTTGTGTCTTCGTCGATACTCGGCGGCCGTGGCCGTCCAGAAAGATGCCGTGTTCCAGACAATCTCAAGGACAGACACGCCAATCATGACGTAGAAGTACTCATACCACTGGTAGCCAAGCTTGGTCACCATGGCGGACGCAATGAGGGGACCAACGATGCCGCCTAGACCGTATGCGCCGTGGATCAGGCCGAGAAGCTCGTTCTGGTTTCGCAGGTTGCCCACCCAGGCGTTCCAGGCACTGTCATTGAATCCATTCCCCAGACCCGTCAGGGCCATGGCTATAGGCAGGTACGCAAACTGCTTGGGATGCGATGCCATGGCAATGAAACTGATCAGCCGGCAGACGGGACCGCAGAATGCTATGCCGCGCTGGCCAATGTTGAGATGAATCCAGCTGTTCGCCAGTGCTGCAATGAGGTAGCCCACGAAGGGCACCACGAACAGGGTCGACACGACTGTGTAGTTGATGCCATAGTAAGGTTGTATCTACCAACATTAGCCTCCAAATTTTGCGTTGACTTGAAAATTGCCTGACATACATAGGGGATCAGTGCCTACGCATGAGTTAGCGGTCAGGACAGTGGTTTGGCGACGGTCGACTCACGCCAATGCAGGCATCATTCAAGCCAAGGTTGAACAATGTGAAGATGACAGAAGCGAAGCGATATGCGTTGATGCGAGGTTCGTTCCAGCTTTCTTGGTCATCATGGTCGTTCCCTGACGCTGGCTCATCTTCACTCGGCAGAGTGCCTGGAAGCAGTGCCGTTTCCTCGTTGACCTCAGGGCCCAGGTCGCTGCTGGTCTTGTTGCCGTCGGCTACCCGCTGATCCTCCGGCTTTTGCCACCAGGCTGTGGACTGAGATCCAGACATGACGACCTCTTGAATCAGGATGTCGTGCACGGAAACCACAGACGATGGATCTGTGTAGAGAGCGTGAGCGTGCGAGTGGAAGATGCGAGGCCTGCACGACTTTTGATATCGAACGCAGCACCGGCGGCGATAATTATGCCCGTGGGCATGAAGTGCTTGCAGCCACCCCCCGCGGATAAAAAACATTGGAGCCATAACCCACACGGCTCGCAGCCTACAGGCAAGTGAGGAGCATCTCCGCGATAAGAGGCCCTTGTCTTTTATTAGGCCCTTGTGAGAGCTCTAATGCTGCACGGGGCTGCGAAGCGTGCAGGGAGTTCTCCGCCGCCGCGTCCTGTCGTGGTTGTGCCCAACGTTACTCAGTCAGCGTACGGTGCTGAATATTAGAACCTCCGACTGCGCACGCAGGTGGTCAAAACGAGCAAGCACTGCATTCTTGGCTGCAGCTGCGCAATGATTACGGTCAGAGGCCGCGCCGCTTGATTCAGCGTGCACCGCCCAATTCGATCAATGAAGAATGAAGCTCATGATGGTCTTGTTTGAATAGCGGATGCCGGGTAGCCCGATGAAGATCTTTGAGTGTCTCAGGAATGTGGATGAGGGCAGGCACAGACAGCGACTGCCTGCCTGCCTCAAATCTACAGTAGCGTGGCCCGTTCAACTAAGGAAGGAACTGATTTCCACACCGACCTGCTCCTGATCACACCATGTATCTCTTCTGCACCTATAACTTGCTTGTCCGACTCCGGCCTGTGAATGTCTCGGAGAATACAGCAGCATACAGCGCCCCTCGTTGAATACCCTCCCTGCATTTCAAGGGTCCGCATGTGTCGCTGACCACCCAGCCATTGTGCCTCACCAACCAACAACTATCGCCCAGCCATTCGTGGCCGCAGCATCTGCAACTACAGACTCCAGTAGGCCAGCCAGCCACCTCCGGCTCCCAGTGCCCACAGCAAGCATCTAACGTACATCAAGTATTACGCGCACCCTCCCCAGCAGGGTGACATCACGGCTCCTTGCCTGCTTGCTACTGTACCTTCATCCATCCGTCAGACTCGCCATGTCTGGTAATCCCCCGCCAACAGACAGACCACCCTCTCGTAGGCGTGCCGACCAACAACATGGGCTCGGTATCAGAAATCCAGTCCGGCAATTTGTTTTCTCTTGGTCACAGATCAACAGACATTGTTCTAAGATCTCAAAAGGACTTGCGATCCCCGCCACCCAGTTCGTTCTCCTGGTCTAGAGCACCCACCCCACAACAACCCCTGCTGATGCATCGACTGGCGCCCAGAGTACGACAAAGCCGTCTGTGCAAAAGTGCGAGCCTCTCTATAGCCCTGTGCAGCTTTGGAGCCTTATCGTGCTCGCAGGCTAAATAGCTATGCTCGACATTGGCACCATATCTGACAGGGATATTGATCAAGCAGCCACACCAGCGCTACTGCAGTGACTTTGTCGAGAGAGCACGGTACGCTCCCATTACGTCGTGTTGACTGCTTCGCCCTGTCATGCGAACCTACATGAGTTCCTTGCGCCAGACATAGGCACAGGGCTGACTGACCGGCGACCCGGACGAGACACCTACATTCACCACAGATCGCCAGCCTCTAGCCGTCTCTTCGACTGCCACCAACCGCCAACAAACCATAACATGCCTCAAGTCTACGAGTACTCGGAGCATATCCACCGTCGCGGATCCCCGCCTCGTCATCGCGACCGAGACGATTCACCTCGTCGCTCTGGGGACCGCCGCGACCCTTTTGTGCGCGAGACAATGACTCTCGAACCTCCGCCTAGTTACGCCTCCCGGGGCCGCTCCCAACCGCCGCCCGACACTCGAGAGATGGTGCCTCGAGGTCGAAACCCGTCGCGGGGCGCCTACTACGACGATGACGACGACTACTACGCGCGCGGATATTCCCCTTCCAACAGGAGTCGCAGCCGCCGCAGGAGGAGCCGGTCCAGGGACGAAAGTCCCATAGAGCGCGCAAAATCGGCCGTGCAAGACAACTTTACCAATTCCACCGCCGGTATTGGCGCCTCGCTCATCGGCGCTATAGCAGGAGGATACGCTGCTCGTCAGGTCTCGGAGCGAGTGTCTGATAATCGTCGCCCAAAAGGAGCTGGTCGGCGGCGCCGCAGTGACGCGGACAAGGACGAGCGCATCCGTCTTGCGTCCACCCTTATTGGCGCTGCCATCGGTGGGCTTGGCGCCAATGCCCTGACAAATCGCTTCGAGGACTCCAAAGACCGCGACAGGCTCAAGCAGCAAGCGTGGGAAAGGACCTATGGCCGCGAAGATGATCTTCCGCATTATGACAGTGGCCGGCACGCCGACCTTGACCACCGCAACGGGCGCGGCGTTCTTCGAGGGCGAAGTGACGACGAAGATGACGATTACGACTTTGTTTATGACCGCCGCTCTGATGACGGGCTACGCCGACCACGCAGACAAGACAGCGACGAGAGCTACCGGTACCGATGATTTGTCGCGCTGCATATTATGACCTTTCCTCCTATTCATGATACCTTCTATTCCCTTTGTGCTTGGATATCGTTGGTTTTTGTCAGGACGGATTCTAGAGCAGCCCGGCCAAGCTTTCGATGACCTGCACGGGGCTACGACTAATGATCTGACGGCCGCGCAATGTTTTCCTGGACTGTATGTTGGATACGTCTTTGATTTGTTTCACTCTACATGCAGTTCCTCAGAGCTATGATAGAATATACTCCCTTGCTACGTAAGCCCACTCCTCCCCATTGCCAGTCATTCACGCAGCCTATTCTTCCTGTCTACGCCCGAGAGCCACGGCCGTGTCTAGCCTCGTGTCTGTGAGCGTGGTCAAAGGCCGATGGCCGAGACTTGCGCAGTTCCTTCTCACGAGTCTGCTTCTCCCGTTCGATACACACCTTGAAAAATTGGGCAATCTCCGTCAGCGCGAGGTCCTCCTCTCTGCCTACCCCGATGAGGTTGAAGAGACTCTGCGAGTCGACCAGCTGCTTGGCCACCACCGAGTCAGGCTGGCAAAAGGTCCGGACGCGCATGGCGCGGGCGTTGATCTTCATGGCGTCCAGCAGCCCGCAGATCTCCGTCGGGTTGCCCTGTCGCCGACCGGAAAACACAAATTCCTGCACATGCAGGCTCAGTATCTCGAGCTGGGTCTCGAGATCGTAGCGGAACCCGAGGACGCGAGGCCGGCCGAGCTGGAGCCAGTGGTCGCTGATCTTGTGGAGTCTGTCCGGCAGGAGACGCCCCTTTTCCAGCTGCACAGTGATGTACGTGTTGAGCGCGTTGCTCAGGTGGAACTCGAGCTCGCCGTACAGGAGGCTCTGCTCCCGTGCGTTCAGGGAGATGGCCAGCGTCGTGCCACTCGCCTCTGTGGCGGGATGCTGACCTCGTCGAGTCGAGCTGTACTGTTCACTCTGGCTCTTGGTTAGTATACTCAACAGCGCCAGTCATGCATTGCATGCAGAACATACCATGTCTTTCGCAATCTTCTTGATTCCGTCGAGGAGGCCCGTCTTCTTGGCTCCCCTTTTCGACTTGTCGGTTGTTTCGCATGGGCGCTCGAGCCAGCCGTTTTCTCCGATCATAGTCTTCTCCCCCTTTTTCTGGGTTGTAAGGCCTTGTCCTTGGAAGTAGAATGGAAAGGGGGAGAACATGGGGGACTCGACATCCTTGGCGCTGCGAAGCTGAGGCGGCCTGGGCCGCGTTGGCGAGGCACGTTGCTGCTCTTGGCGTGAAGTATCCGTAGTGCTCTTGGAGTGGTGCGTGTACCCTTTCAGACCTCCCACTTCGGTGTCTTGGTGGTCTAGGGGCTTTGTGTCTCTGTATGTGCGTACGTCCGCCCATTGCCCATAGGCCTCAAGGTAAGGGGTGTTGGCAAAGTACTGCGTGCCATCCTCGCCATCTTCCACACACGCAGTCGGGTTGGAGTAGTCAACCCGCTGGGGGGAGACAGGCAGGGGATCACCGGGGACCTCTCTACTTTGGCGAGTTGGGTCAATCATATACATCATTTTTGAGTCCAGGGGTGATGGGTCGTCACGGATAGGCTGCATCTCAACGCGGCGCGGTATAGACCGGGCCCTGTGTTGGCCGTGAACAAGGATTGGCGCTGGCGTTGCACGGCGCCTTCGCTCGGCGAGACTGTGGTTTGAGTCATGGAGTTCGGAACGCCGCGGCATCAAGTCGGAGAAGGTAGTCGAGTTGCCATCATGGGAGCCCAAGTCGTCGTTCCCGCAGCTGTGTTCCTGGAAGTGTACACAAGGTGACGAGCGCTCCCTGCTTGCGTCGGCAAGCTTGGATGGAGAACGACTGTGGTTTCTCGTAGGGCTGATGTCCACCCCCTTTGAGAAGCTACTTCGGTAAGTCTGTGCATCGCGACAAGGGGGATGGGATTCTTCTCACGCGTCGGTGATTCTGTCCATCTGCGTCTCGGTCAGGTTCATCCGGATATGGAGAGGTTGTTTCGGGTTGCGCTTTTGAGGTGAGAGGGACTGTGTGCGAGTGCTTCCTGACGCATGAGATCCTCCTGGTCTAACTGGAGTTGAAGGAGACTGTGTAGGGTGTGAGTGCCTGTTCGCGCCCTTGAGAGGACTCTGGCGCGGCATGTCGAGCCCAGTAATGTAAGCAGGCGGTTTGCACGGTGTAATTGGTGAGGGTGAGTGTGAGTGTGAGTTGCTCTGGGGCTAAGGACAAGCCTACCTTGTTATTCATTGAAGCGAAAAAACTCAAAGTAACATTGATATATCCAAGCTAAGGCAGCCCAAGCCGATGTGACACTGAAGTGAACAGGGAGTCAAGTTGGGATGAGATATACCAACTTCTCATCCAATAACAGAGAGTTGAACTCACGCATGACTGGGCTTTGGTTCGTCCACCAGCTAGTAGGTAACTTAGTTTAATAAGCCACTATCGAGCCGAAGGTGCGGTGCCTGTGGTCTGTACAAGTAGACAGTTGGCTGTTCGTTGACTCGAGGGGAACTACCAACATCTTGCAAATGTTGTCTGTCCACAGCATGAACCCTTACAACTGATGGTGGTTTCTTGGTATCCACGTTTATTACATATGATTCTTCAATCCTATTCAAGAACCGGTTTCAGTGTTGTGGCCTTTGTTCCCAGAAGTGGGCTGCCAGTCCAAGTCCTGCGGAAGCACGGAGAAATGCGTTCCCGCTGGTGCAAGTTGCGGTACGTTCTAAACGTCTTCAAGAGTCTTGGGTATGCTGCGGCTTGTTAGTATGTTCCAACGAGGGCAAATCGCGCATGTTGCCAGGCTCCTGGCAAGATCATCAAGATTTCGGGGACCCCGGGACCCCGAGTACTCGACAATAAGCCGACGAACCGAGTCGGCAACGATGCTCTTGGGAGTCCCTTGACCCTTTTTGAAGAGTCTAGACCTCGTGCCATGTCGATAGGCGGAGACATGCACGTTTTATGGTCGACCCATCCGTCTGTTGACTCCTGAGTCCTGATTCCTACTTTGAAAGTCACCAATGGTTTGTCCATACGGAGTAGTCCAGAGGCCCTCGTCTTCTGTTTTTGCCGTTATTCACCTTTATTCAGGAGACACGATTACCTGACTGGCAGCTCTGCGGTATCTTCTCGTATAGTTAATTAATGATGAGCTAGTCCCGTAATCAATTGAGTGGCTAGGCTCGTCGTGCGGCATGACTTCAATGACGCCAATTGCACTGAGCTGGGGTATGCCTGGGGTGAAGCCTGCCTGCATGATAAGAGTTTGTTAACGAAGGCCGCTTTTGACCAAACAAATGCTATCAGCACCTTAGCACTCCACGCATCTCCACTTGGACTCCAGGAGTCCAGTCCATCGCTGCTGCTCGCATCCCCCACCCCACCTTCCACTACCGATCTTTGTTGCCGACCAAAGATTCTGTCCGTAAACGCCAATGATTTCGTTCCTTCAGGCGCCACACACATGGCATGCCCAAAAGGCCTGATGACGAGATCGAGACCGAGGCAAACCAGGACTAGCCGCCTGCGAAGGCGAGCCGTTCGTGTGGTCCGTTGGCAGCTAAATGCCCGATGTGCCGTGATTACTTCCCGAGATCTCAAGCTGAGCCCACTGCAGCCAAGCTCACTCATGACCAATGTTGGTTATATAAATGGTCTGCAGAGTTGCTGGACTGCGCTGTCCGCCATGTTGTCTTCCTCATCGCTTCTACTCCCACGGCACGGACGTTGAGTTTGATACACCAAGGAGACCAGCTGCAGGCGCTCGCAGACTTCACGATTGATACACTCCACAAGCATGTCGACTAAAGAGAATGTGAGACCCGACGGGGTCGCTTACTATGACATTGGTACGAGCAGCACACATCACAGGCACGGATGGAACTGACATTTGGTACTAGTCATTGTCGGTGCCGGTCCAGTCGGACTGATGCTCTCTACGATGCTTGCAAGATGGGGCTACAAGATCAAACATGTGGACAATCGCCCTGAGCCAACGCCTACAGGTCGCGCAGATGGCATACAGCCTCGGTCTCTGGATCTCCTGAGGAACATGGGACTGAAGGCCGCCATCATGGATCACAAGCCTGCTCGGGTGTACGAGGTCGCATTCTGGGACCCCAACTGCAAAGGCATTGCGAGAACTGGCACCTGGGCTAGCTGTCCGAGTTTCATCGATGCGCGGTACCCCTTCACGACGCTGCTGCACCAAGGGCTGATTGAAAGGGTCTTCATTGCCGATTTGGAGAAGAATGGAGTCCACGTCCAACGGCCCTGGACAGTACATGACTTTCAAACTGACCCGGCAAAGGACGCCACATACCCTGTCCAGGTTGAGCTGTCTCAGGTAGACGGACCTCGAACTGAAAAGATCCGAGCCAAATACCTGTTTGGCGGTGAGGGTGCACGATCGTTTGTGAGGCAGAAACTGGGTATCCCTGTCCGCTATCATGACCCTATTTCTCATGTCTGGGCCGTGCTAGACGGTGTGGTTGACACAGACTTCCCAGACATCAAGGTAGGTGCTTCCGGGCTACGGAAAGCAGTCCTTATCCGATGAGACTAACGTAATGCAGATGAAAGCCACTATCCATAGCGAACATGGGTCTATCATGGTCATTCCGAGAGAAAACGACATGGTTCGCCTGTACATTCAGCTCGCCTCCTCGTCGGACCCAGACTGGGAGTCCAAACGCACCGCGACCGAGAGCGAGGTCCAAGAGATGGCCAAAAAGATCCTCCAACCTTACCGAATCACTTGGGAGAGAGTTGAATGGTTCTCGGTCTATCCCATTGGGCAGGGAATCGCCGACAATTACACACTAGATCAGCGTGTGTTTCTCGGAGGCGATGCATGCCACACTCATAGCGTATGTTGACCGACCATTTCACCGTTCTTTTCTAAAGCTAATGCCGTGCAGCCTAAAGCTGGTCAGGGGATGAATACGGCTTTCCTCGATGCTCAAAACCTCGCTTGGAAAATTCATGCGGTTGAGAGCGGCTTCGCCAAGCGGGACTTGCTGAAGACGTATGAGCCCGAGCGCAGGAAAATGGCCCAGAAGCTGCTCGAGTTCGACAACCGGTATGCTAAGCTCTTTTCTCAGCGGATACCTGCGGCAGACGAGGTCAAGGCAGCGTCCGACAATCACGGCACCGAAGCTGAGGAGCACGACAACGACTTTGTCAAGATGTTCAAGGAGTCTTGCGAGTTTACAAGTGGTTACGGCGTGTATTACGAGCCGAACGTCCTGAACTGGTCGCCAGACCACCCAGCACAATCAAGCCTTATGCTGAAAAAGGCAACGAAGCTCAGTCCCGGGCATCTCTTCATCAACACGAACGTCACGAGGGTTGTAGATGCAAACATTGTCCATTTGGAGCAAGAGGTCCCCTTGAATGGATCATTCCGCTTGTTCGTCTTTGGTGGTGACCCCAAGAAGTCACGGACAGCACTGTGCGACCTTGCGAACGGACTTGTGGCCAAGAACTCCTTCTACACGAATCACCTACGCCAAGACGTGTCGTTAGTCTCACACCACGAGAAGAACAATCCCCATAGCTTGTTCTTCACCATTTGCACTGTGTTTGCGACCAAGCGATCGGACATTGAGATCTCTCGAGATGTCCCGGGGGTTCTTGCCAGGTATCGAGAACACATCTACGCAGACGACCTGCACGACGAAAAGGTGCCAGCCGCCAAAGCACCAGCGCATGCGAAGACGGGCTTTGGCGACTCACAGGGCGTCGTCGTTGTCCGGCCTGATGGATACGTGGGCGCTATCGTTGAGCTGCAAGAGGGCAAGGGGACAATGGAGGCCCTCAACGAGTACTTTGGTGCATTTTGTACCAAGGGGGTGAGTGACACGAAGACGCAGGCACGGCTCTGAGTCCGAGTGCACGCCTGGATATGTATAGACGTCGCGGATTCAAGTAGCGTTGCATAGTTGAATGAAACAAAGCCTCGATCAGTAAATTTGCAGATCTGCCGTATCCTCTCGACAAAGTCGCTGGCGCTGGTGTCTTGATTAAGAATATCCTCATTAGGAATTTAGGGGTGGTGCCAATATCGAGCAATAATTACCTATAAGTAGGTAGTATAACGCCTGGAGGCTGCACAAGGCTGTAGAAGTATTTGCACCTTTACACTACAATCATGTATTTTATCTTAGGTGGCTACGTACCTTGGTTCTGCTCACCATCGCTAGCGACTTTTTTTGTCTTGCGTTTCAGACCCATTTCGAGTAGCGGTCGATGGAGTGGCTGAGTAAGGCTGGTTGGCTGTGGCTGGGGAGCGGGCTGACCAATGACAGGCCGGCGCGTCGCCCCATCCACCCTTGTCGCATTCATTCATTGTTGCGCGACCTCTCACCTTGTCCTTCAACTGGATGGCTCCGAAATCATCAACTTAACCGTCGCAAGCACCGAAACATCAAATTTATCGACTCTCAATGCCACTTACTCCTGAGGAGTGCGATTTGACACCAGAACACCTACATGTGACGGGCTGCCACGCGCGCAGAGGCTCGTGAAACGTGTCGAAAGTGCGAGCAGCGAACCCCAGAGGTTCAGAACAAGCTTTCTCGAATCGCCAGCCTGACTATAAACTCACATCGGAGTTGGATCTCGGGAGGCCGACCTCACGCCAACTACTCCACATTCGGCAAGCCCTCATCGATTGCGACATGCCTCTCTGATGCTCTGTATCAGAGTGTAAGATGTTAGCGACTTCATCTTCAGACGTGCGTTCTCTCTTCGCTTGCTTTGCCGTCAAACGCTCATGAGCTTCTATTATCCCACCAACCCTGCTTCATGTTGAATCCTCATCACCGGCTCCAAGATTTCTCTCACTTAACTGTCGTCGCCGGCCCGAGCCATTGAATCACAGCTGACCTCTCATCTTCTCATAGGTCGCTTCCTCCACCTTTTCCGTTCTCAATCTATTCAGCCTGTCGCAAGCACGCGCAGTCATGGAGTACATAACGGGGATAGTAACGACGGGGACCCGCTGGGTCGCCTCAAACTGTACGCATGTCCCTGGTGATATCTTCGCGAACACTCATTGACAAGTACAGTACCTATACCGACTTCAAACGCATCAACCCCTTCCAAGGCGTCAAAACGCGACGCTGCACCGACAACTGTCGCTCATCAGCAGAGTGACAGCCCAGGGAAAGGTCTCAACTCTCGCCATAGTTACTTCAACCTGCCACAAAGACACAGCAAACGACACATTGATTCACCGGAAAGGAAGGATTGCAAGCGTTTAAGGTCGAGCAGCACAGCTATGCAGTCTCCTCTCACAACCCGCCGGCACCACCATGCTCACGGCACTGCTCCGGGCGTCAGTCGGCTATCCCTGTCGCCCCGGGGCCTTAGGAAGCGGGCCTCGTTCACACGAGTACCGCCCGGGAAGAGCAGCGCATCCCATCGCCTTGTCGGTGCGCGCAGTGGTCTTCTCTCCCCCGAACCAGAGGACAACATACCCACTACTCAGCATGTCGGATCAGACGAACAGTCGGCACCGGGCCACCAGCACTCTGCAAAGGAGCAGCAGCCCCTTTCCCTCCTGGCCGGACTCGAGATCTCCACCTCCTCTAGACGTCCGACACCCCCTGAGGAGGACGCCCTGCTCCGCGAAAGCACACCACATCCCGTCGGTGCCTATCCAGAGACGCCAGCCCCTTTCCGCGAAACTACGCCATCAGATGCGACGCCAGTACCGCCAGAACCTCCAAAAATACCGTCATTTCCTCGTCCTACTTATACCGGCAAAGCCAACAGGTGGGAGTTCCTCGAGTTCTGCAAAAAGTACGAGGAAGAGCAAAGGAGGGTTTATGAAGAGATAGTCCCGCCTGTGGCTCCTAGCAAGAGACCCACACTGAAAGACTGTCTCGACGAGTTGCGGAAGCCAATCGCGTGGGACGATTTGGCCAAACGCCCCTATGACAGGCTCAGTATTCTGTCGGAGGCTGAGCTCCGCCGCATCTTGGAAGAGAAGGAACAGAAAGAGATCGAAGAACAGCTCCAAAGAGAGCAGCAGGCAGCTAAAGAGGCAGAGGAGCGCCGACTTCGTGAAGCAAAGGAGAGGCTCCGCAAGGAGCAGGAGCTACTAGCCCTCACAGGCGGGCTACGCGCTCCCAAGGCGCAGTTCATCTCCCCGCTGTCTGACGACTGGACAAAGCGTGCACATGAAACCATACGGGCCCCTGGTGGCAAAGTTCTGGCGCAGACGGCCGAGAACACGGGACTGCAACAGCACGACTTTGCAAGGGTCGTTCCGCCGACCGTGTGGCTCAATGACGAGATTGTCAATGGAGCACTGCTCTGGCTGGAACAGGCAATCAACTCGGCCGCAGGTATCACCAACGTCAAGACGCAGACGCGCAAGACGCTTGTCTTGAGCTCCTTTTTCTTCCCAAACCTCCAGAAAAAGGGGCCCCTGAATACACAACGGCCCCTGGGCCGCAAAGGCGTCAAGAAGGAGAATTTCCTCGACATTGACAGCATTTTTATGCCCATCTGCGAGCATAGCCACTGGACACTCATTGTCGTCCGGCCGCAGAAGAGAACAGTGTCACACATGGACTCGATGAGCCCTCACGGCAACAAGAAATACACCAACCTCACCATGGCATGGGTAAAGGACATGTTGAAGGAGAAATTTGAAGAGGACGAATGGAAGGTGGTGACCCATGAGGCGCCACGGCAAACGAATGGCTGGGACTGCGGCGTCCACACAATCACAAACGCCATGTGCCTTGCACTAGGGTTGAATCCGATCGACACATACACGTCTGACGAGATGCCGCTCCAACGGCTGCGGATCGCATCTATCCTGCTCAACAAGGGGTTCGAGGGGGAGTTCAGCTTGAGTGCGTATTGAGCGTGCAACATAATCACGGACGGGTTGTACAACACAATGAACAAAACAAGGTTGTGGTTTGTCCGGGGCGGGTCTATTCAGTTATTATTCGTGTCTGTTACAAGCCTGATCATGGCCTCTTGGATGATACATTCATAGCATAGCATAGCTTGGTGTTCGGGGTCAATATGCACCGCATTTGCTTCTTCGCGACGGTGTCTATAACGGCGACGGTCTAACGTTATCTTCTGTAGATTCACATCTCGCGTGTCGTGTGTCAATGATTTCAGGTCCGCTCTCTATTACCACAATCGGAAAAGACAGCAGAGACATCATGTTACAGAGACTTCGAGGTAACTACTTACTTACCCACCGGTGTGGCCGTCCTTCACTTGGCGCAAGTTGTCAACAACTCCACAGCTTCCAAGACACGAGAAGTTGCACGACAGGTTTCGTAGGACCCAAAGTTCAACACATGACTCAATTTTGTATCAATATTATGTGTTTCGAACATTGTGCTCCGTAGTCCGTACTCGACGGCGGATCCCGAAGTTCAATAAAGCCCGCAATACTATCGCTGTTCGAGTCATGGGGACGAGTTCTCCCCATATCCATCGAATCTGAGCAACGTAAACTCGGTGGATATCACAAGTTCGGTGGGTGCGGCTGAAGAAAGGGCTTGTCCAGCGGCCAGCCGTTTCTCGCGGTAGTACGTAATAACAGTAGACAGCATTTTCACCGCTGTCGTGCCGACGCTGGTCGATGAATTCTGTGGTCGTTTCTCACTTTGGCACAGTGATCTTTCCACTCACCAGGAACGATTCACGTTCTCTGCATTGAACGTCCGAGATCACTTACGGCACGGTGCGTGGCAGTAGTGGGTGCACTAATCAAGGGAGGGCGGTGGTGGCCGAGCTGCACAAAACAAGCATTCACGTCTCACGGGAACCATCGGCTGGTAATGACATGCCCCAGCTCTCTCGAGCCGTGAAAGCCATTCATCGCGCGACAGGACAGGCAAAACTGAACTGGTAGGGGTCCGGGCGCCTGCAGCCAACCGGTGAGCACCCAGGAGTGGGACGCGCGCGCAGGGAGGCGCAAATGCGACTGTAAAATAACTTCTCGCCAAGCTTGTGGTTATCCAGGGGGTGGCGGCGCGTGCTCCAGTGGTTGGACTTGGACCATCTTGGATTTGATGATGGTGGTGATGCCAGAAAATTTCCTTCAGAGACTTGTCGCGCGTTGCGTGGTGAGTCAACGCACAGACGTGCGTAGTCAATGCGGACGGAGTCTCCGTGTCCTTATTACCGACAGCGGATGTCACATCAGGCCCGTGGTCATTATTAGGTATTTTTCCGGCAACAAGCTTACAACGAGTCAAAGAGTCAACCACTCAACCTTGTACGGATCCAGACCCGCCTGCCTAGTAGACCGGACAAGGCGTCGCCTAGAAGGCTCCAAGCAATAAACAAGTGACATGTCATGGCATGGCAAGATGAAAAGGGTTTCCCGGCCCTGGATCGGCTCGGTGCTGCCGTGCTGTGCAGACGTTAGTCGGTTCGGCTCGCGGCCGCCGACTCGTAAATAGATACGTATCGACATCGTGAAGAGAGTAAAGTCGGTACTGGCAAATTTTTCTTCGTGGCACCAAAGGGCAGGATCCGCTCATCAATCATGAATTTTTATCGGATCGAATCGTGGGGGTGACTGATGTCCGCCTGGCCGGGAATTTTCGAATTGTTCGAGAAGGCCAGCCACCGTCTGCGGGCTGCGCAGCCTGCGCAAGGTTCGGGATGACCGTGATCGCGTTTTCATTTCCAAGGGGCGTGCTTGGGCATGAATTGGTTGTGGCGTTGCGCGCATGAATAACGAGGGATGCAATACTTGCGACGCCCAGCATTGACGGGGTACTTACTGGGCTGATCGGTGGCCAGTGCAGTAATGGTTGATGCTCGTCGCCTTGGGGTCTGGGACAGGACAAAGTTCAAAGTGTGTTGTTGGAAACTTTGGATGAGGCACCTCACAACGCGTAAGGCTTCCGGCGATGATCCATCATGGGCAGGCTCATGTTTCCTTGGGAGTTTGACCCGCAAATCCCCTGAGGCCTGGCCCTCAAGTTCCTGTTGCCCTTCCAGAACCCTTCGCTGCATGATGATGTCGTTTGCCATCGTCGTGGGTGGGCAGTAGCCAGTTGGTGGGCAGTTTACCCCCTCTGTAGTCTGTGCGGAGTGGCCGGGCGGGAATAGTCGCGCAATATTGTTGGGAGAGCGCTATTGAAGTGGTGAGTGCTCACTTGCTTGAATGTGTCCGGGGTGTATCCATTCTTGCCAAAAGTTCTCCCCCGGTCTCGTTTGGCTGTTCCTGAAAAGTCGCCGTAATAATAACGTCTGTGAGACTGTGATGGACGACGCCACGGTAGGGGCTGTGCAAGATGGCTGAGGCCCCAGGGACGCGAATGACTCAATCTCGTTGATTGTGAGGCTTATCGTGGTGGCTTGGGCCCGTGGCAAAAACGCTTCGCTTGCGAAGTTCACCGTTAGCACGAGCTTTTCTCAGGCTCGCCAGCGTTGCTTCTTGAGAACAAAATCATGTAACTCGGCGATGACCGGCGCTCAATCTCCTGATTGACTATACGTAGCATTGTCTCGCAACGACGCGTTTACAGGCCGAAATCCCGGACTGTTCTCGAGTGGTGTACATAGTGATAAGTGAGTGAGTGCACTGTGCATTGTGACTATCGGTGTCGATCTCCCATGGACTAATAGAATAATTCCTTGTTGCTATCGCGTTGCGTGCGGGGAGCAGCACTGGGCGGGTGGTGTGCCAGGCCCGCCATGCCGAGCATCAAATGCCGAAGCATCGTCGGCAGTGTATACGCAAGTGTCGTGCGAGCACTCTCTGGTTGTGACTTCATCGAGCTTGATGCATCTGGTCGTCCTAGCACACAGCAGCAGGACATATAATAATACTGACTGTATTGGATGCTGTATCCGTATTGCGACATAATTATATGCGGGACAGAGGCCTCCCTGTCTTCTGTGACAAGACGCTACTGCCTATCAGTGCGATAGCCAGCAAACGCATGAACGCACAGAGGCAACGCCAGACTCGGCGGATCCATTGGTTGTCTCTCTGCCGGCCTTAACTTAAATTACTGCTGCGTCTGTTGTGTTGCATCGCTTCTGGGTTGATGAGGGGCCGCATCCAATACCGACAAAACGCTAATGCTCAAAAGAAGCATTGGGGCATATGCTTGTTGACCATCACTACGGCGCGGGTATGTGATGCCTTGTGGCGTCCAGTGGTGTTGTGATGCGCTGTGGAGAAGGTTGTTCAAGTGCCTTGTATTATTACAAAAGAGATAGCCGTTGAGGCTCTATTTATGCGTTCTTGATCGCATGATCCTATCCTCTTAGAGCCTTCCTCTCTAATTTCCTATGTTCCGGGTCGTTTACCTCCGGTCTCACTAATTTCAGGTTCTCACCCTTCCGGTGTTACCTTTTCACCGCTAACGGCAGAATCTCAATCGAGCCTAGCCCCGCTGTAAGGTAGGCTCATCATCACACACCCCCCACTTGTGTGGTCATTTGACCACGCGAGTGTCATTGTCGTTGCTGATTAGTGGGGTTCTGAGGTGGGGTCTCTGCTTCATCTAAGGCGTTGGAGCATTGTTCTAATGGCTGTAGTGCTCATGTGGGTTGATCTGATGTTGTTGGGTCCTATAGGTGGCGTCAGTGATGTGGTGATGCCCTCAATTGCTATTGTTCGTGAATGGTTGTTGAGGCCTCAATAGGCTATTTGTGACTCGAACAATGCTTTCAGAGCATTGAGGTGAGAGGCCGAAAGTGCATAAGAGAGTCGCATTCCCCTGCCTAAGGCCGGAATTTGATGTTTCCTCTTTATACCACTTTCATCATGCCTGCCCGTACGTTTGATACGCTCAGTTTGAGTTTTACGAGCTTAGCTAACGTGTGCGAATAGTTCTTCCATCTCACGAGCGCCTCACCCAGACCCGCGCCCAAGTGGCGGAAGCTCGGCGGCTGGCCGCCGAGCAGGCCGCGAAGCAGACCAACGCTCGCGATAGCGCCAACGACGACGACGACGATAATAATAACGACGAGATTGAGACGCCCAAGAAGCGTCAAAAGGTGAGTTTTCGCGCTTTGCTCGTCTTGCTCAAACGCTCACAAAGCAACGCCCTCCCTTCGAAAGTACTCTCCGGCACCCACCGTGCCTTCAATACGTTCGCGCATTCATCTCGGGCAAATCTGCCCTCGAATGTCACGAGCCCTCCTCCCAGCGCGCCAAGCGCTATCAACGCTGCGCCGCAGGCCATG